TTCAAGTAGCATTTAGATCAAGGACGATGATGTATAACCGTTATTCAGTGCCAGGTCCGTAAATTTCACAATTTTCTCTCGAATCTGAGAGACATCTAGGGCAAGATTGCTGCCATCAGATAAGCTCTCTATTGATTGTCCTTCCACTACTAACTGGTGTCTCGGGGGTTACGTCGGGTGTCACTGCCGCTGAACTCGAGAGATAACCGTGTGAGTAGAGTAGGGATGAGTGAGTTCGGCCGTGATTTTTCGCACGGAAAGTAGAGTTGTTTTTAAGAACAGATCTCCATTGCGATTGAGGGTTTCTCGACGTGGTGAGAGAAGAAAACTAATCGGTCTCGTCAGTATTCAGCTGGATGAGATGCGAGGACCGGACTATACCTGTCTGTGCGAGCGTAGAGATTGCTGCAAAGTTGACCTTGCTGCACCAGCGATATTGCCGGAGCGCCGAGCGCCTGTGCTCGCAAGCATTGTGTAAAATTCGCTCGACGTGCCGGTCTGCTTTTCCGAATTGCTGATGGCAGCTCTGTTCAAATCTTTCCTTCGCAGCGAGAAACTCAAAAGAAATAGTCTGCCAAGACATTCCCCAAAGTTACGGAAAGCCAGTCCGACATCTCGACTCAACATTACAATAGACTACGCCATTCAATCTAGTTACTTCACGGAGTATATTCTGTTATTTATTACGAACTTATTCCTGGCGTATATTCATATATCTTAAGAGAGAGGAAGCTCGCTGAAGGCTAGAGCGGAAGCGAAAGGAACCAAAACGCCGTTCACCCGTGTTTATGTCAAAATAGATGCATCATACACCGGCTATATTCATATGTTCAGTCGCTCAAACTCGACACAGTTCGTGCATCGGGGTCAAGTCTGCGCGCGTCAAGCTTGAAAGACTCATTCGAGGGAAGTCGTGTCTTGTAGACCAAACGCGTTCCGGGACCGCCTTCGTGGAGAGGGCTCAGGGGCGTCGGTGCCCAAACCTGCAGGCCGCGACCTCCGATACGTGGGGAAAACCTGAATGTCAAAAAGGGCCCATGTCAACTAAAATATACTTGCCTGGGTGAAAGCGAAGTTGGGTTGCTGGGTGCTCCCACCTTGGTGTTTGACCAGCCTAGCCGGAACGCTGCTTCGTGGGCAAATAGCTCCCCAAAACCCAACATCAAGCCGTTTATAAAAGGAAGAAGCAAGTTAATTGCCGCTCCCCGCAGAAAGCCCCATATCGTCGGCGACCGGTAAACTGTCACAGAGTTTGAAGAAGGTTCAGGGGATGAAGATAACCCGTTATTCGTAGGATAGGTTTCGGAGTCAGAAGGGAGAGTCAGGGCAGAATCAGAGAGCTCTCTGCCCGGCCGCGTATACGCTTCCGAGCCCATTGCGGACGGTATAGTTGGAAATGAGGGGCCACAAAGAGGGGGCGAATGTCGGGTTGCAGCAGCCAATCGAAGCGGAGGCACAAAATACAACACTTCTCCGAGAATCAGAATACCACAGGATCCAAGCCAAAGGTGGAATTTCGCCGTGTTCAAGTGTCCAGACAATCGTTCTGTCGTTGTTGCGTTCAACCATTTTCGATGCGCCGATATTGAGCGATTAGGTAATCCACTAGTTCGATTATATAATCCAAGGCAGCCAGTGACGTAACAAAGGAGGAGTGCTTACATAACTCACTGTAGCTCAATGAGGGATTGAGATGCTTGCCCGCGAACAACGAGAAGTTGTATTTCTTCATCAACATTCAAAGGATAAAGTGATATACCAGAGTCGTGAAAGCTGCAGGGATTCATTTCAGCCTGCCAATTTGTCTACTGTCGTGTTTGTCTTTTTCCTTCCACCCCTTCCCGCGCTAGATCCAGCTACCCCTCCTTCGTCTGGATCATGGCTCCCTCACCAGCAGAACAAGACACGTTGATCTCACATTTCTGTGCCATCACTGGAACTAATCCTACAGATGTAAGTACTCAGTTTCCCCGTGTATTGCTGTACGTCCTGCCCCGTTTGTCACATTTGGAGCTTACATGGCCCGACTTGAGCATCAGGCTAGAATCTACCTTGAGAACAACCAATGGAACCTCGACCTCGCCGTATCTGAATTTTATCCCGAAGAACCAGAGTCGGATTCAGCAGACGACCAAGAATTATATTCGGAGCAAGAAGCAGGCCGTGCAGATGAAAGAACTTTGGGCGGCGGGTCTGAAGCATCCGCGCAAACTACACGACCCTCTGGGGCAAAACCACCCCGAAAGAAATTTGCGACTTTGAATGATTTAAGCTCAGCGGATACAGCGAGCCATAAACCACAGGACGATGATCATCCACAGAATCTCTTCACTGGTGGGGAGAAGTCTGGTTTAGCTGTCCAAAACCCCGACGACCTCAAGAAGAAGATCATCGAAAAGGCAATGAGGTGAGAATCTCCGGCCATTTGGCTTATATTTCCTCTGATCATGTTATCCTTAGAGAGTTGCCGCGTCATGACGATCCGCAACCACGGAGATCTCATTTTACTGGCACAGCCCGGACCCTCGGCGGTGATGACGCACCAAGCGAAATCATCGAAGATGCCAATACAAGTCGCCCTCGGCCCCTTGAGCGTGTACATAGAGTGCTACACTTCTGGAATGACGGGTTCTCAGTAGACGATGGTGATTTGTACCGCTCAGACGACCCCAGGAACGCACCTATCTTGGAAAGTATTCGACAAGGCCGCGCACCAATTGCTATAATGAATGTCGAGCAAGGACAAGCTGTTGACGTGGAAGTCAATCAGCACGACACCAATTATGTGAAACCGAAACCTAAATATAAGCCATTCTCAGGAGCCGGCCAGCGCTTGGGAAGCCCGACCCCAGGCCCAGGTACACCCGCGGCGGCCCCAGTCGCTTCCACGACAGCTGCAACAACCACAAATACGGAGCCGGAGCAACCCAAAATCGACAATTCTCAGCCTACAGTGACGCTTCAGATTCGACTGGGAGATGGCACGAGAATGACCAGTCGCTTCAATACGACGCACACGATTGGTGATGTGTACGATTTCGTGACTGCCTCGAGCCCCGCTAGTCAAACACGACCGTGGGTGCTTATGACCACTTTCCCCAGCACTGAACTCAAAGACAAATCAGCCGTGCTTGGTGAAATCAAAGAGTACCAACGCGGCGGAGTAGTCGTGCAGAAGTGGACCTAGTAGATAGAATACTCTCTCTGCTCGTATGGTCTTTCTGTGAAGATGGTGCCTTGTTGAAAAAGAATGAGGAACCGATGTTAATAAAGGAGTGTTTCCGGGGCTTCAATATTGAATCTACGCCTTGGGTCGCCTGGGATGATCCAATATTAGAACCTGACTTGAAAGCGGCATGAAAATAGAACCATTCAAATTGTGGTCATTGATTTTTCCAGCTCTGTGTAGACATTGCCTCAAATCTGGGTAGCCAACATGTTTGATTGCTAATAATCGAAAATGTATGATAAAGCAGTCAAATCCACCAAAGCATCCAAACTTCCAGCTATCATGAAAATCATATCACTATTTTTATTCTCTCTCTAACAGCTGTCCACTGGTTTATACACTACAGCTATCTACAATCATGCCGCTGGATGGTGTGAAGAATATCATTTTGGTAGGAAGACACCCCCCGCCACTTTCTTATCGATAGGCTGAAGAGAACCTCCCTCCTGGCGCCGGCCAGCTGAGGACCGTTTGGCACAACCCTCCATTTCAGAACGGCACCTAAGGATGAAGTTGACTATGTGAATACAAATTTTGCTGATTATAGACTATGGTTAGGTCCTCTCCGGGAAAGGCGGCGTTGGCAAATCCTCCGTCACCCTCCAACTCGCGCTCACTCTGAGCCTGCAAGGCCGCTCCGTGGGCATTTTAGACGTCGATTTGACCGGACCGTCTATTCCTCGGCTTGTAGGATTGGAAGACGCGAAAATCACCCAGGCACCGGGCGGCTGGCTGCCCGTCACCGTCCACCCTGCGCGAACCACCTCCCCCAGCGACGGTTCGGAGAGCAAGCAACCCGCCGGTGAAATTGGTGATTCGAATGGATCCTCCAGCTCTACGACCGTCAATAATACACAAACGCCCATAACTCCGCGCGGGTCTTTACGATGTATGTCCCTTGGCTTCCTCCTACGCGATCGTGGCGATGCGGTAATATGGCGGGGCCCGAAAAAGACCGCCCATGGTGCGACAGTTCCTCACGGACGTCCTATGGGGAGAGACGGGACTACCTTCTTATCGACACGCCGCCGGGAACGAGCGACGAGCACATCGCGCTGGCTGAACAGCTGCTCACAATCCAGCAAGCTTCCGCGTCGCATTCTTCAAGCGCTGCTTCCCCGGGACCGAGATTGGCGGGGGCGGTGCTGGTCACGACTCCACAGGCGATATCAACTGCAGATGTGCGCAAGGAGATCAATTTCTGTGTCAAAACGCGCATTCCTATCCTAGGCGTGATTGAGAATATGTCTGGATACACGTGTCCCTGTTGTGGAGAGGTGAGTAACGTTTTTTCTCGCGGGGGCGGGCAAGTGATGGCGCAAGAGACCGGGGTGAGGTTTTTGGGCGCCGTACCGATTGATGTTGGGTTTGGTGAGATGGTGGAGGGATGGAAGGAAGACCTTGGTAAAGAAGACAGGGAAAAAGAATCGATGGGAGACGGGCAGGATGCTGGCCATCGTGTTATTGATGCTTTGCTGGTTGATAGATATACAAAGTGCTGGTCTTTCTCGATATTTGAGGGCTTTGCTAAGAAGCTGGTCGAACTCGCTGAAGGTACTGAGTGATGAAATGGCAAATTATGTAGTTCAATATGGAGACAAACTAAGAGTTGTTAAGCTGTAGATAAAGCGTTTCTACTTTATCCTGCTAGAATAGACTAGCAACAGCCGTCTGTTCCATGTTTGCTCCCTGTCGAAACATGAGGATAGAATACCCAATAGAGCCCATACTGACATTTGAACCCTTGATCCATATGCGTCATCAGGAGTGAAAGTAAAATGAAAGTAAAATAAAAGTCGTCAAGTGGCCGTTACTCGTTTCTTCGTTAGAGACATGGGAAATACACATGCGCTGAGAAAGTATCAACATTCGTGATATAATCATATCATCCATAATGCCCATTTTAGGCACCTTCGTCATGTAAAACTCGATTGTCCCCGTCCCGTGAAAGTAACTGTGTATCCTGCTTTTGCAATAACTCGCGGAGCTTCCTCTCTGCTGTTGGACAAGCACCGTCCTCACCAGAACCTCTTTGCTGACGAGCGTGTTTGAACCAACCAAGTAATCCTCGTATATCAGTGACAATTGAAAGCCTCTCTGCTGCAAGTTTGAGAACTGATTTCTCCTCATCAGAATGATTTGGCAGCGCAAAGGGCCAGTCTGTTTCAGTTGAGAGTCGAGCCGTTCCACCAGCTTCCGCATCAAGATAAACCTCGGAGATCAGTGGCTGGGTTTGAATTGATTGTCGATTCGCGCGGTTTCCGTGATTTGCACTTTTCCCTACAAGTGCCCATGGAAAAGAGGACGGCCTTGTTTTGGTTCCACGCGAAGATCGAGACTGCGACTGCGACCTTGACTCCCCCGTGGATGGTAAATGCCCGCGTAGGGTTGTGGGTTGAGTGTCACTTTCAGCCCAAGGAGCCACGGTGTTTGGGTAGTCCAGGCTGCCAATATTCGGTTGCATATTTTCCAGTAAACCATATCTTGAGTACGGCTCGCGTCCGTCAACCGTGCTTATATCGTCACCGACTATAATGACATTATCGCCTGCTAACCGCTCGTTGCTCGAGCTGGTTTCTTCCACTGCAAGAAGCCCATGGTCTGCCAGTCTAGCTGGTGCGCGAATTTCGCCTAGCGGAGGCCGATGACTTCCGTATTCGTTGGCAAGGCTGAGTTTGCTACGTCCACATATCTCAGCGATTGCATCGAGGGTGGTTTGGATATCTGGCTCTATGGCGCGCAGGATCCCATCAATGCCAAAGTCCTGCACTCGCGGCAGTTTGGCGGGTGGCCCATGTTCAGAGCGAGAATCGCGACGTGACATTGTGCCCCGTGTCTCGGTTTCTGCAATGTAGGTCGTGACAACAACAGGTTGAGATGGAAGAGGGGAGCAGCTACCAAGAGTGGTTGTCTGGCGGCGTATGCGCTGAGGCGGCCGTGGCACGCGATTCAGTTGACGAAACGCAGCAGTTCGTTGAGCAAGCGTGGGTTGATCCACAGAAGGGTCAAATCGTCGAGCACGGTGACCAGAACGAAGGATGAACGGCTGGTTCATCCACTGCTGGGGGGTATGGGTGGAAGAGACAGGATGTCCATTATTAGAGAGGACGGAAAACTGATCTGATCTGGCCTCCATCATGAAAAGTAGAGTGGCCAGCCCAGTATGCATGCATGTACAATATAATACCAAGGTAGATATTCTATGCGCGTTTCAGGAGGGGTGGAGGCTGCGAATGTGCAGGCTGCCAGGCTGGTGAGATTGCAGGGAAACACTGAGCAAACAACCACCGGCAGAAACCATAGAGTGGTAGCGTGTCACGGCGTAGGACGAACCGATCGCACAGCAAGTAAAAAGGCTACGAGGGTGTGGACGCAAGTCTGGTGACTCGCATTGGCCTGGAGATGGGATATGGGCCAGGGTATATTCAAGATTGCATTTCTTCAGCCCTTGGAGCTGGGATCATTCTCCGTTTCGGGTGAGCAAGCGACCATCCACGTTGTGGCGAGGATGCAGACGATGAGTTGTCAGTCCCGCACTCTTTGCTCGCTGTTCGTGATGGATTTGCTTGAGCGGTCGCAGGTGGTTTTGCGATCGTGCTTAGTCAGACAGGCCATGGCAACGACGGTTGTTGTTTGAGAGGGAGAACGGGAGGACGCTGGATGACCTGCTGGAGGCGGGACTGCGAGCACAATGATCTCAATTGAGACGAGGAGAATAACCCGGAAATGAACAGGTTCTATGTATGCTGCAACCCCCCTTTGCTCCCCGATTCTTAAAAGAACGCGAATTAACCTCGAGGTGACGGTGTAGTTTGGGGACTCCGACGAGTCGGAAGCAGAGGCGAACGGCAGCGATGGATACCTGCCGTTCCCAAAACCTTTGTCCAGAGCGTCCTTCGTCACTCCAGACTTCGATCCGGCGGAATTTCTTTCGTCCCTCGCCAATCGCCATCAATCTCTCGCAGATCTGCAGACAGAGCTCCGGGAACTAAGCCAATCTCTCAGCAAAGAGCTTCTCGACTTGGTCAATGAAAACTACCAGGATTTCCTTTCCCTCGGCACCGCTCTGAAAGGAGGTGAGGAGAAAGTTGAAGAAATCAGGACAGTATTACTAGGTTTCCAGCGTGACATCCGGAGCGTCAAGGAGAAATTTGAGAGTAGAAAGGCCACGATCAAGGAGCTCTTGGATGAGAAAAAGCAATTGGGATCTCAAATTGCTATCGGTCACGATTTATTAGACATTGCTGAGCGAATTGAGCTCCTCGAGCAAAGGCTCATGGTCCGCCAACGGCCCAGGGACAATGAGGTGGATGTTGAAGATGTAGATTATGATGACGGAGAAACTGACGAGGACGAAGACCAAAGGAATGGTGAATTAGATACCACACCTTTGATATCCTTACGACGACTTGAGCGACGCACTCACCAGTATCTCAGTTTGAAGGTTGTAATCACCCGGGTTGGTGAACAACATCCGTTTGTTATCGGACAAGGAGCCAGACTCGCAGTCATTAAGTCGGGCTCTGCTAATGGACCTCAAGGCTGCGGTAACGCAAGCAGAAATGGTCCGGAGAGAACAGAGAGGACCGTCTCTTGAAGCTGCTTCATATCCATGAGCTTTTAGGGGAGGAAACCTTAGTCCTTACGACATTGTTGAAATTGAGGATCTAGCGCGAAAATACCTCGGCACAAAAGTCCTGTTTTGATGGCAAGGAGTCAGGGGAGTCGAAAATTAAAGAGAATCATTCTTTGGAAATACTACGTAAAACGCCTTAGAATAAAGAGCTCAGTTAATGTACATGTCTGTCAACTCATCGCCCCGTAAGTGCGTACGCGGGGGGGGAATCTTCGGATTTGCAATCACCATTGAGGCTGAATCCAGGAGCGTTTGTTGAGCTTAATACCTGGTTAAAAATTAGACATATATCGAATGCATTTTGTACAATATATGGAGAACTTACTACCTCCCCAACCTCCTTCGACACTTGGTCAGTTAATGCGGCGGCATCCTTCTTCACTTGACCGATGAATGTCCGCAGATTGGCCCTAAGTTCTTCAGGTGAAAACCTCAACTGACCAATGGGTATGCGAATAACGCCTGCTCTTTCCTTGTACACACTTCCCGCGCGCATATTCTTAACAGCAATACCAACGTTGTCCACCACAGTTCCCAATTTTGTACTAGGCATCAAACCCCTCGGACCAAGGACCCTACCAAGCCCAGCCTTGTTCAGGTTCTGCAAGCTGGCTGAATGGCATATGCAGGCCTCGAACTCAATGTTGCCAGCTTTTATCTGCTCAAAGACATCTTGCTCGCCAACAATATCCGCACCAGCGGCTGCAGCATCCTTTGCAGCACGCGATCCCGGCGCCGCAATCACACAGACACGAGTGCCGGTCTGGACGGCGTGCGGAAGGCGCAATTGGTTTCGAATCACGGGTCCGTCCTTTTTCGTCCGTAGTTTTAGGTGAACTTCGTATTTGACCGTGGTGGGTTCTCGACCTGCTTCAAAAGCACGGATATATCTAAATTTCGTAAGCCTCGTCGCGTTCATTGAGAGCATTGCAAAACTAAGCTGTACCTCATAGCATCGCATAATGAAAACTGGACCGCATCTTTCATGTCATATTGCCTGAATGTCCTTTTCTTCTTCTTTGCCCTTGCACTTGCATCCTTCCCTTTGGACTTTGAAGAGGTTCGCAAATCTCTGGCTTGCTGTTGAACAGGGTACAGGAACGGGAGAACGGAGGAGGCATTGGGTCTGACGGGTTGAAAAAGTGACGAGAGTGTACTTCGAGTAAACGAAGTGAGATACTTGTGCGGTGTTGCCATTGCGCCGGCGTGCAGCATCACAGCTGTTAATCTGCCGAGTTGAGTTCTTTTCGTTCTTTCCGCTCTTGGCTGTCTATTCGGACAATCGTGGCCCCGAGTTCCGGGCGAAGTCAGCAAAGATGAGTCAGCGCCGTTAGCTACCCGCCCCTTTTGTTACAAGACAACTACATAGTTTTGCAAATTGTTTCTTTTATACTATCAGTACATGACTGGGGTGTTTGCCGTGGGAAAACATGTTGCATATCAGTCACTGATGTGTATATCTCCGGATTTCACTCTTTCAAATCGATAAAGTCCTCCCTTTGGAGCAGCAACCCCTGAACAATTTGACCCATATGAGACTTTGAGAAATCTTGACCACGCCTTCTAGCTCCAAGAAGTGCATTGATGTACGGTAGTGGGTTGTGCACGAATGGGCAGTTCTTCCACCCCATTTCCGCTCTAGACGAAGGGCTCACATACCCATCAACCGTAATTTTAGTATCTTGATGGGACGGCCGGGTGTCCAACCCAGACCAAACCCCCAGGAACTGGCAAAGCTCTTGGTACTCCTCTGCCGATGAAAGATACAGCTGTCCAGCGAATAATCGAAGAAGTCGGAGCTCTTGTGGCGAGACTTTTCTCTGTGGCTCCGACGGGATGTTATAGAAGTCAAGATCATCGAAAGAACGCATTGATTTCGTTATCCTAGGAGCGAAAATATGCAACTTCACGTTGCCTATATTCTTGCCTGCCAAAATCTTGTTGGCTTCAAATGGACTGATAATAACCAATTTTTTTTCCTTGGGGATATTACTCGACAAAATCCAGTGCACCGGGCGGAGGTAGAGATCATTTTGAGCTCCCGCAAGCATTAGCACGGTTTGAGTGAAGTCGCGCGTCACATAGAGTTCCGAGTCCATCCCGAATTTGCGAAAACAGTCATCCAAAGTGAGATGAGCGAGGCTCTCGAATGCTCGAATAAAAGGTCCACGTAGCTCCGACCCAGATCTCACGAATTCTAGCAGTCCTGGAGTCATTTCATGCTTCATCGGCGGCGCTAACGGCGGCCTTTGATATTCCGTTTGCTGTTCCATTTCACACACCGTCTCCCTCTCGTGCGCTTCGTAAAGTCTTGACACGCAAACGGTTTGATCGATATGGTTGTTCGAAATGTTCACCAACTCCGAGAGGACTGGATCTTTTTCGATTTCTTGTTCTGAAAACTCCGGACGTTGGCGGTCTTTGATACCTTTACTCAAATACATTGATGCTAAAGACTTTGCCTCGCGTTCTCTGATGCGGTCCAAAAAAGCTTTTCGCGATACTGTATGATAAATGGCATCGTCGATAGGTTGGTTAGAAAGAAATTCATGTTGGGCAAGCCGACGTTGGGAGTGGTTTAAACCTCTCTGGATGTAGAGTGGTTGAAGCCGCTCGATTGCCTGGCATGATTCTTCTAATGTCCATCGCAAGACGTCTTCGGTATCGAGAATCTCGTCATTCTCCTTTTTAGCCAGGCTTTGTATTTTGCGATAAATCTCGGGTGGAGCGAAACAAACAAATGACTGGCCATTCCCGAGTTTTCTTAATCTCATGCAAGCTATGTCTAAGTTAGCACGGCGAAATCAACAATGGGGTCGTCAGCATACCTTGCGCAAACCGATCTTTCGTTAAGTGGGGTCCAAGAGTAACAGCAGCGCGGTAAAAGCTGGGTAACTGAAGGTCGGTTCCCCTAGTATGGGCTTCGTCTAGATAGACGCAGCACTCGCCCGGCCGCTCTCTATATCTGGATAATATCAAGCTCTCAACGGTGCCCGCTCGATCTATCACCATTAGTTCATCGTTGTCATTGAAAAAGATTGCTCCGCATGCGTCCGGTGTCAACGCAAGCCATGATTGCGCCACGACATGATTTTCAAGTTCTAGTACCTGAGCTCCGACATCGATTAGTACACGAATTTTGGGTTCTTGTTTTGCGATGAGAGCAAGAAGGCTCTCAGCTGATAAGGCTTTGCCTTCGCTGTCCGCTGCTAGGAGACATAAGTTATTCTCGGGGAGCAGGAGCGTCTGTAGTACTAGCGCATTTATATGCTTGAACTCCGACAGATCTTCCTGCTTAATGGACAGAGGAAGAAGAAATGAATTATCACTGGTACCACTGAAACCAGTCGTAACCATCTGGGTATCATCAGGAATATCCCAGGCCGACGTTGATAACTTGTAAGGAAATTCCACGGCCTCCTTTGGAAACACGGTTTTCGAGAGAAAGAAATCTATAACACGTTTGTTATAGCGGAGATGAGGAAAAAGATCCCGAGTGCATAGCTCCAAGTCCTTCAGGTTGACGGCGCCTAGGCTTCGCAACTCGTCTCCCATTTCGGTGTCTGCTTGCCATCTATGATACTCGAGGGAAGGATCGCTTTCAGCTTTGAGGAATTTGAAGGCCTCCATAACCTGAGCATCTGTCAAACCGGTGTAGTAATAACTCAAGCAAGTGAGAATAATCGCCACGTCCGGGTGAGCAAACTCCGAACTATGGGAAGGTACTCCTTTTGCACGGAAAGGGACGGCCATGAGTGTTCTACTGAGGTCCAGCCCGTAATTGACAAGCCATCTTTTTTCTTGCAAGATCAACTGGATGATCTTAAACGCAAGGAGCCCACGTAAAAGAAGAAGCGAGGGATAATGGCTAGTATCACCAAATAATTGTTGAATCCGGTTTTGTATATCCGTGTCGCAATTTATCTTTGTGATAAATTCAAGCACAGCAGAACGGTCAGCATCCGAGAAACGGTGAAAAGAGATTTCTTTTTGAGCTCCGCTCATGATGTCCGCAACTACCAAGGAAATTAGCTCCCGGCCTGCGAGGTCATCAAGAATCCGAATCCTCGGAAAAGCCTCTTTTCTCCCTGCTTGATACTCAATCGACATCGGCGACGACCGGTGCAAGGTGTAAGCATGCCTTTTGAGAAGATCAAGGACCGATTGTACCAGCTTCCATCGCAGGGCGCCTCCATCCACCATTTGCTGCGTACCGACGGTATACACTAACTCGAAATTCGTACTTAGAATCTCGTCGCTTTCGTCTAGGATGTCTCGGGCATGTTGGCGAAGCCATCCATAACCTGAAATCAAACTTTTCCCCAATGTCAGTTCACCACTGCAGAGTTTATCAAAGCCGATTAGTTTTAAGGAGAGAATATGTTCTGGCTGGCATAAAAGGATTCCTCCAGTGACCCTGCAATCCCAGAACAAGGAAAATAGCCGATTCACCCTGTCTGGGGTCGCTTCCATCTTCCTGGAAACCGGCATATGGTAAATTGGCCGATTTAGCATACCACTAAAGCGGCTGAATAAAATTTGAAGCATTTGCTTCGCCAGTGGTTTCAATACAACAACTCTGACCAATCTGTTGCCATTTGCAAGCGAGGATGCTACCATCGGGATTACAACCGATGACTTTCCCTCGCCCATATTAAATTGCAGCAAAGAATTGCTGCCAGAAGAGGGCTCAATCATCTGTTGCGCGATCGTCGCTTGACCAGGCCGGATGTGGAAATTATTTTCGATTTCCATCAGAAGCCAGTCAGGATGTAGACGGTATAACTGGGCATCTATACCGGAATTGTCCATCTCACGCTTGAAAGAAACGTAGTCCGTGACACTAGCATAGCGGAAAAGCCGATGGACTCGCTGAAGCCTTGTGAGGCAAATCCCATACCCAATAATTGCCTCTTTCCAAGCACTAGGAGCGACTGACCTTGATGAAGACAGCTGGCCTAAAAGAGAGCGCGGTGTGATTCGAGGATACAGGTCAGCCTTTTGGAGGCAATGACCAACAAAATCGCTTGCATAGAGCTTTTCGACGAGCGCTTGAAAAGAGCTTCTCGCATTTTGCAGGCAAAGGTTTAAAAGTTCAAATAGACCCTCTTTGTCTATTGATTCAATCTCTTTTTGACGTTCATGACTTGACCAAAGATTCTCGAAGCTGGAAAGTAACTTGGTGCCATAGAGGCGTCTCGTTTCGTTCCCGAGTAGCAAACTGGTGAGAGCCTCCTGGAGTTTCTCAGTCGCAGGTTGGGTACGTAGAATAGACTGAGCGCGATATTGGATCGGCGAAATGGGAACCTCGATATTTGGTTTAGGCTGGCTACGCACAAAGATATCTGAGATACTGTACCGGCTATATAGCCTGCTTCGAATGTGCACAGGTGTAGAAGCAGGCCATCCATTTCCACTTGTGTTGATATTTCCGCATGCGACGTACACAAAGTCAGGTCCATTTTTCTGGTTCAGAATGATCTCTACGCTCAATAAATACTTACGCATAGCGAGCGTTCTATGCCACGATTCATATGGCTCCACGAGTCGAGCAGAAAGACGTGGGATATTTATTGATGGGACTAAGTGCTCGTCGGGGAGGCGCAAGTCGCCAGACTCCCAGGTTTCCTCGATGCAATGGAAGACCAGATCTTGTTGAGCCTCGAGAGGCACCTGCGACAAATCTTGACGGTTCTTTGCAAGATCGGCCGAAGGAAGGACACATTCCCGGATCCTGGCCCTCACTTCCTTGAGGGCTTTTCTACGCGTATGAGAGGGTTCGAACACTCCGGGCGGAGGTGCCGGTAGGACCATTGGGTCGATGAGGAGCGCACATCCGATCAGAGTCTTCCATTGCTTTTGCTTGTCTGGCTGGCCGATCATCAAAGCGGCGAATAAAAAGGTGAGGTACATCGAATCCTTTTTTGCGGAACGTAGACAGATTTCGAAAAGGGAGCCCCAAAGGGAGTTCAGCGGTAAAGAGAGCAGTTCAGTGTAAGACCTGATTCCGAAAGGGGTCCCAAAAGCGATAGTATCGAAAGCCTTAACGGACTTGTATAAGTCTGGTGTAGCAAACCGATCTGGCCAGGTTTTGAACAAAGATGCCACCCAACAAGCTGTTTCATAATGAACATCACCATGGTCCCTTGAGTTGTAATGCGCGGTCAAAATTCTTTTGTCCAAATCTCCTCCTAAAAACTCTGGTCGCTCTAGATAATGATTCCGCATCCTTGACCTTACTAGCAAATGGGTATCACCCCGTGATTTGAGCTGGATAACTTCCGAGCTGTCATAGAGATCCCGAAATTTATTGTTATACGAAATCAAGGAATCGCAAAGGGCGGCATAAATATCGTTTTGGGTCCACAGCGGGATGTCACTTTCCCACCTTACATCCTCCATGCATCGAAGATGTATAGGGTAGTACACCCGTCTTGGCGTGAGTTTTGATATTAGATTCAGTAACGAAATGGCTTTGGGGTCAAGAGTTTCGCAGGCCACGGAACAGGATTGTTGTAATCCCGTCAAACATTCCTCTGTTCCAGTAACTCCGGTAAATGGATCCGGAAGAACAAACGTTGTCAGTGCATGCAGGTAGGATTTATAAAGGGTGGATACTAAGTCCCCCATGCCACGTAGTTGACGCAGGTATGGATCAGCTTCATATTGAAAGTATCTGACTTGAGATTCGCCGTCGGTATCCACGGTAACAAGGACATGATCTGCCAGCAGCGAAGCTCTGACATTCCCGTAAGGAATTAGTATTCGGCGCCTTTGGCCTTGTGTATCACGTAGCACGAGTTTATTCTTTAATCCTATCAAGGTTCCTAGGGTTTGGTCTGTGTCGACAATTGCCAGGAGTTCGGAACATTCAAATTGGCCGTCGGCGTTCAGGAAAAATCGCAACTGATACCGGGGAATATTGACCTCTAGCGTCCCGCTTTCGCAGTATGTGACTTCAAGGTATTCCGGCGATTCAAGAGGTTCGAAAATAGGAGCGACACACTTGAAGGTGATAGAGTCGCGTTCTATGAGATATCTCGATTCCCTTCTCAACACTGATGTGCCCGAAGAATGTGACAACTTCCAACAGTCTAACCAAGGCTCCCGTAGAGCTTCTAAGGGACAAAATGTGACTTCCAGAGTGGTTAGATTTCGCCAGTGGATGAACTGGTCCAGTAAAGATGCAGGAAAATCCCCAGAAAGTTTATCCGGAGAAATTACTTCAAAATAATCTTTTCCATCAAAAGTTCTAATGATGAGGTCTTCCTGGCTCATAGCAAAGTAGAGACGTCTTCGCACTCCACCAGTGGTCATATACTCCAGCGAGGGAATGTCAGAAACAGCAGTGTTGAAAGACTGCAAACCAAAAACGCGTTTATAAAGTGGATGATCCGTATAGGTTTCCGGTAGCTTCTGAATCGGCCGCCCATCTATCAGCAGCTCCCCTGATAAACAGTTGAAGTCGACGGTTTGTGGATTGGTTCCTCCAGACTTCCCGCGAATCCAGCAATAACTGCCATGTTTCTTCCAGCTCTGGACAGATGAACCTTTCTCCCATTTGATTCGGATGCCATTCGATACGTCGAGTGGGCGCTGTCTTGCTAGCAGAATAATTTTGGGCTCTAAAGAGTGACATAACTTTTGATAACGCAGCCAGTCGACACAAGAGCTCTCATTCCGGGTATCAATATCTTCTTGTTGGCATTCAAATGAAAATTCACTAAGTATGACAGCACAGGCGACAAAAATCGTGAGGCTTTCAGGCTCTTCAAGAACAACATTAATTAAGTTGTCTTCGACATTGAAAGTTTCTTGGATCAAAAGTGCGACGGCCGTGGTGATCTGCCGCTTCTCAGTATTCGGCGTTTCTGCATCAAGGTTGCGAAGTTTTTTGGCCCAAGCAAAGAGAGTGAAACGTATCCTGCCCAGAAGTGCCAGGCCACGTGCGATTATGGGCTTGCTTGAGGACAAGGATAGTAAACGCAGGAGAACGTGCACGATCACTCGAATGGCATTCAGTTCTGACCAGTTGCTTTCGACTTGGCGATAGCAGCTCTCCAATACTACGAGCAGGCACCTGCAAAACGCGCTGTCTGTGAACGTGTTGTGCGCTGCTCGTAAATCGGTTTGGTCAAGGGGAGGTCCGACTTGCCAGGCTGCCTGACAGATTAAAATGTCAACCGCCCGGGAGTTGAGCTGAATGCCACCCGACCCGAGTTCGCGCAAGATATTCATCCATTGTAGATGTATTCCAGAGCGAAGAAGACCAAACGCTAGGAATTCATCTGCACTCAACTCTGATGAGCAATCAAACAACCTTGAGATAACTTGATTTGGGGTATGGCTGGTGGCATTTACGGCCTCTTGCAGTTTTGAGTCCAAGTATGGTCCCGGAGGAAGATCCGTAATGCAGTCGCGGTGTACGCTTGGAGGCGCTTTTTGCGCCGACACCCAGAGTTTCTTCGAGCTATCGAAGTACCTGAAGGATAGGCTCGATTTCACAAACACGTCATCCACTGCAACTGGGAAGTTGCTCGACCGATAATGGGTAACATAGAAGGGTTTAGTATTTGATGCCAGAGTGATGCGCGCTGCTTTCCGGACGGCAAGATAATTGTGAAAGGTCTTGCAGTTGGCCAATGTCAACGAATACACCGGCTTCTCCGAGGGCTGGCAATGCTTTCTCCCCAAGTCCTGTAGGATCATCCAGGTCGTATCCCGCCACATGCTAATCTCGCTAGGGCACAGCAACTCGGACACCACTGCCTTTAGGGAAACATCATCCGATGGTAATGGCCATTCATGCTTCTCAATTTTGAGCGATTTCATTTCTTTCAGTAATACGCATTTACGGCAACGATGGGGTATATGTAGGGGTTCCCCTTTTGGACCCGGACTATCAGCATGCTTAAGAGTATTTTCTTGTTTAACGCATACTAAATATCTGTCCATTTTCTGCCGCCATTCACGTCGTTTCTGCTCCCTTGCTTTTGCAGCCTCTCCCTCAATTTTTGCTCTTAATCTTTGGGGCCCTCTGTGTTCATCATAGAATCGGACAGCGAATGAATTTGAGGAGATCGGGGAAAAGAAAGCACTCATTTTCCATTTAGCATCTTCGTATCGCATTTGAATATATTGTTCGATGTCTTCAAGGCGACGCATATCCGATCTCTTCGGTAACAAAAGCGGTGTAAGGAAATCAATTGGAATATCGGGTGGGTATTCCAGTAATAGAGGGTATTTTCGACATGTTAACCGATCCAGAGCACACCATAGCTCTACGATGGTTAAGAATTTAATTGACAGGTGTTCGGCGATTGACCCATAAATGGCATCGGCCTTGACATTATACAAAGCCACTAGCTCTCCTATCTGCCCAATCTTGGATTCCCAGTTTTTACTCTTGCTCAGCCAAACTGGTAACCGATGCTGAACCCAAGCCTCAAAATCTGCAAGACCATGTACATCCTGAGATGACAAGCTGCAAAGGAATTCAGAGCTTGGGAGTATATCTGGTGGCGGGCTGAATCGTTTAGGAGTTGGAGGATCCGGCATTGTTGCATGACTGGGAGGTAATGTCCTAACCTCGCGAAGGTAGTCGCGGCTATTGTAGAGACACAAACTAGTATCCCTTGAGATGTTCGACAAAGAGAGTTTGTTCAGTCGGACCGCATGATATGTTTGCATCCAGTTCCAACGGGCTTCCAGATAATTTCTAACCCTTGCCATCATCTCCGCAACGCGTGCGTGAAGGAAATCAAAGTTGGAACGGCCTAGCTTCGCTACACGGTGAGCCATTTTCGCGTTGAGGACGAATAACATGTCCGAAGAACTGTATCGGTCTAGTGCAGAAGCAGCAATAGCCAAAACTAAAAACAAGACAAAATTTTTGTACTCAAGTTCGCCATTCGGTAGCTCAGCGTCGTTAAGATATAGCTGGATAGAGACTCGAATCGTAGTCCAAAGTGGTGACCTTCTCCATGGAAGCTTACTCTGGTGCCAACAAACATCATCACGAACTCGTTTCTCAATACTTCGAAAAATAGTTGGAAATCCATGCGCACTCAGAACCCCCATTATAAGCTCTGTCACGAGAAAAGGATTTGCGGTATCGCGTTCTTCGACAACTTTAGCTGTAGCGCGTTTCGTCTTTGCCATTGCAGCGTCCACCTTTTCAGAGTCCAATTGTCTTAAAGCAATCGTGAACTGAGACAGAAAGCTATCATTTTGAAGTAAATCGAGGGGAAGGGCTATAACGCGAGACGGAAAGGTTCTTCGAAGGGCAACGGCCTCCATGACAGCTGAATTCGTTGCAGAAACCTCGTAGCAACCAACAACAACACCGATGCGCTTTTTCTTCAAAAAAAATCCGGCGTTCTGGGCGGAGATATCGAGGCATATCATATCTATAAAAGACGATCAGACAACGCATCCCGAAACAGGCCCTCGGGAAGGAGGCAGCCAACCATTTTCCTCCATCTTCTTTAAAGCATCCACAAGTTGGAAGGATGACAACACCCCGAGTGAGTAAACATTTTCCCAAACCCTCAACATTTTGAGTATCTGTTTCCAGACCTGCTTTGATTGGTCATGAACGAAGGCACAGTAGGCTTCTGCTTGGGTTCTAACAAATCGTAGTAACGCGAGTTCTCGACGCCGGCTTCCATCGTCTCCAGATGGCAGTTTTGGTGGGAAAACCACATGGTTGTAGATGAAAAGGAAATCTTCATCTGATAGGGGATCGCCATCCATGGCTGTGAGGAAAATGCAGCAGTCTCACCCTGTAGAACGGAAGAGGATATAAACACGTTGCGGTCTGTAAGAAGAGAGGGAGGGATGTTGAACTAAGCAACGGGGGAGGCAAACACCATGTCTGACAAATGTTATGCTGACATATCCAGATTCGGGTGTTGTGACTTCCCAAAACACGCACCTCAGGACCTTGTTTGGGTTTTGCCGTTTTTGGGCGCCTAGTAAGCGGCTCTTTGAAACCCCAGTGGTGTTCACCAACAAGGGTGAATCGCTGCACCATAGATGTATACACAGCCGATGTTGGCAATGCTGATTCTCCTAATGCATTCATACCCGGTGATTTTCAAACAGTACCATGTTTGTATTCTATGTTGGATTCGAAAATTATCGTCGCAGCCGCTATATTGTTTGTCGGCACGCAAAGCTCAAGATCCTTGGTCACAAAAGTCAGCATGCACATAATCTGTAGCCGCAGCTGCCCAGTCGAAAAATAGAGCGCCTACATGGATAATGGGTGGTTGTATTAGTATCTCTTGACTTGTGCCATCTACCGCAACCGGGTGAGATCCAGAGAGGGCTCCTCGCTCCAGCAGCGAGCACCGTATCGGCTTGGCCTGGTATCTCATCTGTGATCGCTAACCGGTGGATTAGCTCAACTATATACAAGTTCCTCGGCCATGTTGTGCTCCGTAATGCTCCGTAGTAACAGTAGTAGGGCGTTGTGAAGCCTCGTACGTTATCCGCCGTCAGCTATCTCATACTTCGATGACCTTTTCAAGGTTGAAGGCATTCTCAGGTGGACTAGAGTTGTTCCAAGTTTTCAGTTTCTTTGAAGTAAAATTACTAGAAACTTCAATTCCTTCATTTTCATCTCGGTTCGAACGTATGTAGCCCCGTTGGTTGCTGACAAGCTTTACCTGCCTATGAACAAATTCAGAGCAATGATGCGTGTGGCCAAAGATCCACCACTGCACATCATCAAACGCCGGCTTGTCCTTGTTGCCAATAAGATCAGTCGCAAAGGCTGAGCTCCATGGATTGGCCTCGTTTGAGAGCTTCGAGGTCCCTTTGGTCAAGGGGGCATGGTGGGAAACTACAACGATGATCCGTTTGAGTCCAGAGTTGGAGTCAGCTTGTCGGACCAAACCAATCTCATTCTCCAACCATTCAACATCCCTTGCGTGCTCTTCCAAGTGGTCGGCAACTGTCCAGTCCACAATACGACGGAAGTCACCGACTTTGGTCCGTACTATTTCCTCTGCTTCCGGGAGTATATGCGAGTAGAGAGTACAGCCTAAAATGGTGACATCCTCCAAATCCACCCGTTTTCGATTCATCACAATCAGCTTGCCCATTAGTTCGGGGTCATTTTGCAGCTTATCCACCAGCTGCAGGGCTTGCTCCCGCGAGATATCAAAGAACTCGTGGTTTCCCGGGACTAAGAAGACCCGTTCGAATTTGCGGCACACAGAGCACAAGAAATCGCGAAAAGGTTGGTAATCCGCAAGTCGACCGATATCGCCGGCTAAGATCAGATTACTGGCCTTTGGTTCGATTTCGAAGGTGCCGTACTGCTGGCCGACTTCGAGATGGAGGTCGGACATAACCTGAAAACGGACGGGGGTTCGGGCGCGCCGCAGCGACAGAAGGCTAGTAAGGGCCATCTGAGAAAGTGGTGGTAGAGATGATTGTCAGTCAGGTCACAACGAGTGAGGTTGTACGAAGGAGTGAGGTTGCAAGGAGACACGTCTACGGAATAGTTTGAGGTCTGCCCTGGTCAAACTAGCAACGGAAGAATTGAAAGGCCGACGTGCTGGTTTAAAAGGTTGGGATCCTTTCGGATTGATTTCCCTTTCTACAGTATTAATTGAAACTGAACCTATATACGGCATCAGCTGGTCTTAGTTCCTTATTTTCGGCTTGCTGATCAAGGATTTTTTAGTTTTGTTCAGGGGTAGAAGCCAATCCGCCCACCTTCGACTTCCCCTTTTTCGACTGCCGGATTCATTGGGGCCTAGAGGCATTTTGGCCCTTTGATGGAGATTCCATCCAGTTCATCTCCAATTTTCATTGAAGCAGCCCTACTGCTCCAACAGGTCGTTAGTACCCAAACAGCATTTTGGGAGGATCCTGCTTGCCTCTTAACTATGGTACTAGTTTGGGATGCATTCAGTTACAGTCAGCATGTCCAATTCAATGCCAGACATCTTCATGTTTTTTTCACTTCTGAGAGCCAGATATTGCTATTTTACATAACCCGTTGCCATGAAAACTCATCCTTTGATGGCATGTACAAAGCGACTGCCAAAAAGAGTCAACATCATCTAAACCGATGGAAATATACGCCCTGACGCCAATGCCTCCAATATCCATCCTTTCCTTTAATCGCCCTCACAGCCCATTTTCTCTTTGTATACCTTAATCGAATTGAAACCCCAGTAACTGCCTAGAAATGCGTCTGGGTATTTGGCGACGAACTCCTCGCATGTCGACGTTATCGATGCGCAGGGCGATTCTGCCCACACTTGCCCAGCCCACTGACCGCAAAAGGTTGTGTTGATCACAATTCTCAAGTCTTTGAAACTGCGCGTGAAGCTGCAGTTTCCCGTGAAATGTGCCGTGGGTGGCCCCCAGCTACTCGGATCTGGTTGCTGCTGCTCGATATCAGAGGGGATCTGAGTGGTCCGCGAGAAAAACCAAATCTTAATGGCATCCGTTGTCCATTCTGTTGCATAAACTCCGCCTCCGAGCCCATTGAGACCGCTGCCAAAGCCAAAAGGATCGTGAGACTTGACTTGGCATCCTTCATTGGCGCCTTGCCCGGGCGCAGCGATGTCGCAGTTCGTCGTTCTCATTCGGCCCGTGGATTTTGCGCTACGGGTAACTGTGCAGCCTGGACCAGTGTGAAGTGTCATGGAATTTTGGTATTCGAGATTGACGCCCTCGTAGATGTCGATTTCTCCTCCGTGAGGCCAGTTGGGCCCCAGCATCCAGTATGCTGGCCAAGTTCCACATGTGGTATCGGGAACGTGCGAGAAATCAGCGATAAACAGGCCTTGGTTGTACGCCTTTTTGCTGGTTATGCGAACGCTCTCGCGGCCTTTTGGAGCGACGTTTGTCCTGTCCACGCTCATCCAAGGAACGTTGTCGCCATAGTAACTGCTGCTGAACCCGATCAAACCGTTCTTCCTCGCATCGGGCTCTGATATGTACTTGACGAAGCCTTGAGTAGGGTCTGCTTCAGTCCAGAAGGTAAAATTGTCGAAAAATGTGTTTCCGGCATAGTTGTCAACGAGTTCATAGACGGCCGCAGCCTCACGCAGAAGGAGACAAAAAACGAGTGCTAATAAATTCTTCACCATTGGATCGCCCAAAGATACACAAGAAGATTTAATCTGCAAACAAAGAGAACTATCGGTTGATTGGTAGTGGAATGTGATGTTCTATCTTGCAACATATCTACAGAGTAGAAAGATGTTTGAAGCGGAGGTCCTGACATGAAAAGGAAAAGGAAAAAAATTCACAACACAAGAGGGCTGGTGACAGAAATCATATCAATGCTGGGCTATTGAGGAGATATCTCCATTCATGGAACTTTCACCTCCCTCACACAATGGACTTTTGTTTTGTTTGGCGCTGTGTTCCCCCAAAGACTGGCATTACCCCTGAAGCGGGAGAAAGGGGCCTGGAGGATCACCGCCAATAGGGCTGGCGCCACCTGGTGATCAGTGACAGCCAGCCATGCCGCCCACACCAATCAATGGTTCCAGAGCACCTGGCACCAAACATCAAAGTGGTCATTCAATAGTCTTCTGCGCAGTCAATGACTACTAACTAGTCTCATGCCATAATACTAACAGGATTCTCTAACAATCTCATCCAGCTAAGATGGTTACAAACATGTGTCATTACATCTATTCTGCAAGTTCAACCATTCTCATAGAGACCATGTCCAGTGAATAGTCATCTGACAATTTCTGTGTGCAAAACCACCCACTAGCAATACTAGTCTGATTAAGTCTCTCGAAGAATGCCCGCAACTCGCCTGACAGCTTCATCATTGCTAATATCATCCGGCACAACGCTAGCATTCTTCAAGATATCAACAACATTTTCTATGACGCCCTTCGCAATGCCCCTGGTATTACCTTGAATAAACCTGACGTCTTTCAACCATTCAGTGGCGTCCTCTTTTGAATACGTGCAACCCAACTCTCCAGTGCCCAATAGCGCCACAGCATGCACCGGATCAGCCTCAAATGCGGAGATGCCCTGATCCAGAGCTTCGAGAAGCTGTGACAATCGAGCATCATTCGCCGGATCTGGGAAAGTGGAGGTGGACGCAGCAATATGCCATGAGGGCCACGGGGTGAAGATCTCCCCGATCTTTTTCAGCGGCGGATTCGGGGTAGCCATGGTTACGTGAAAATATGGCTTGGTGGTGAATTCTTCCCACATAAAAAAGTCCGCAGTCGGGTCCGGTGGTGCATCTGGGTCGTTTGGATTTGCCCCTGTCACACCATTCCGGAGTGATGCGAAAGGACCTAGGATCACTGGCGTAAGCGGTGTCGAGGCGGGCCAATTCTGCTGCTTCGCAAGGACGAAGGACATGATATGCGATCCGCTGGTTATCGTAGGCAATAATATCAGCACTAAAACCCACCCGCATGTCCATACCGCTTAGAGGACAATAGCAGAGCTTTGACGTACCTGCCCAGCCGGCTCACCCCGACATTCCCACCTTTCAAGTCATCTACACTGGCAATATTGTCTCTCTTCCGCCCCGTCACAATGGCCCATCTCAACGGAGTCTCTACCCACTGGCCAACGACTTTATATCCCCCGTCCGCATCAGCTCCCTTTTCAATCTGCTCCTTGCCAACCAGCCCCGCAACCCAGCCCTCCGTAAGGCCAATTCCAACATCTATCTCATTCTGCCGTAAAGAAGATATCATGTGCCCCGTTCCGGAAGGAAAAGGCGTCAGGGAGACATTGAACGGGAGGGACGGGAAGGCGGAGCGGGCGGCGAGGTGAAGAGGAGTCAGGTAGTGTTCTAATGTACCACAAAATAGTTAGTTTAGTTTAGCCATTGAATGGAGAAAGTCATGGATCGAGCCAGCTCATTTCCAGTGCCCTTTGCGACTTGAAGTTACCTTGATGTCGGAATTTGCGAAGCACACGCGGGGGCGGGGCAGCAGTGTCAACAATGTTGGGTGCTTACCAGGCACGTAGCCAATTCTGATTGTCTGTCGCCCAAGAGATGCCATCTTTTTATGCAGTCTTTCCAGTCTACCAGAAATACTGAATTTCCCTCCTGAGTTCAGGTTTGATGGTCCTATATAGTTAGGCACCTAGGCACACAAAGCTCTGGGCCTGCTGTTTCTAAATTAACATCAGCCCCGCGCCGCCCTATCTTCACCCCTCAGCTTCACATTGCTTCACCACTTCACCTGTATTCTTTACCAGATCTGATTCTTGCTGCATGGCTGAGTCCATTCCTAGTCTATGACACCTATTCTTACAATGTATATCTCCATATAGGATTACAACAACCTTCAACCGGAGTCATAAGGTAATAAGGACAGAAATATGCAACACCGCTGCGGTCATCTCCGCGCCATAATTACCATCACTCTACAGTGTCCACAGCAAGCCCACCAGCAGAGAGCCACCAACAAGATGCTGCTGAACATGTCCTTGCACATGACAACAACATTGTGGATCATGACGCTGGCTTCGGGTGTTGCACTTGAACTCTACTCACTCCTCATGCACCCTTCTACAATGGGAACGTCCATTGCCGGCCCTGGAGGGTCCGGAGGAGGGGGACCGCCACACATTGATGCGGGCTATGAGGAGAGGATGAGAGATCAAGGAATAGACGGGCCCGATGGTCTGACGCGGAGAACGAGCTTCTTCTCTCAACGAGGCGCCAGAACAAGCCCTAGGATGTGATCCAGCAGAGATTCCCCAACAGGACGCTGGAGGGGAAATCACAATATGTCAAACAAGATGATCCTGAGGTGGACAAGGTGGAGTAACAGGGAACTCTGACATGGCCCCCTACATGCTCTATAGTTTGCTCTCCACCACCTCAAGGATGGTGCCTATACTAGTCAAAACTGAATCCAAGATGCTCAGGTTCACCCGAAGAAAGCAGGTCAAGAAGTCCATGCTTCACCAAATCTTCGCAAAAAGCCTTCTTTGGGGAGAAACCCTCTGGTAGAAGGTCATCATAGCGGTCGTCCTTGGATTTGGTGCGATTGGTTGACGCCTTGCGCCATCCACTGTTGGAAGTAGGTCCGGCGTTGGTTCGTCCTCCGTTGGTCCCATTATCAAGGAGCATCTCTGTGTGTGCAGCCAATTCCTCAACGGTTGCACAGTTATTATGCCAACACTTGTCAATAATATCATCGATCACCGGATCACCATCTAGCGTCGGAAATTTCATGTTCTGCAGCAAGTTCACGACCTTAGGTCCATGCTGCTTGGGGTTATCTGGAGTAAGACATCGATCTCCATAAACCTCAAAGCCGTAGTTTATTAGGTAGTACAGGGAACCGAGAGCGAACTGCTCTGTTCGAGGGCCTAAGAAGCCGGCACCTCCAGGATCGCTTTCGCTGCTGTTGAGCACTCTTCCGTATGGAGGTATACAGGCTTCGAAACCTGCCCCAATTTGAGCTGTACAGTCAAAATCGGACAGTCTAAGCCGGTCACCGTCAATGAGGATATTGTCAGGCCGGAGGTCGCCATGAGCAAGGTTGAGCGATTCGAGGAAAGCGACGGCTTGGGCAAGGTCGTTCAGCCATACCCTCCGCAGAGGTAGGGTTCTAATTTTTCTATTTTAATAAGAGCGCTGGTTTGCAGGTCCCGAAGTTGATTGTTTTGTATCCTGTAAGAAAGGGACACATCTAGTGATGCCGTTAGTATGTAGATAAACCGGTCAGCTGCCAACAGGGGGGTCGCACCTCTCATATACTCGAGAAAGATACCCTTATCCGTAGAAACACTGTATTATAGAAGGGCATGGCGGACGTTGTGAGAGGATATCATAGATTTTTAGCTCTTTATCAAACTGCTCTTTCTCTCCCCGGGCTGAGGAACTTTGACCACGATGCGCGGATGGACTTCGTAGACGAACGAGATGGCTCCTTTCCAGATCCAGTGCGCATCGGGGAATTGGCGTCGATTACCCATGAGAAGAAAGCGATCCTGCCCATCAACAAGCAACACGAGGTTGCCAAGTTCACATTCAGGGAGTTTTATGTCACTCTGGAGGCTGGATATTTCGTCAAGGAGTGCAACTAATTTTGATGAGTTGCGGTGCTCTGTGTGAGGGATGGGGCTGATTGGATTCCCCTGAAGTGGCCTGGTGTCGCTGACAGCGATCTGATCAATTAACTAACTATATGGCGCTTCATATGGTTAGTTAACATCGTTCAATTTGTGGCAGACCGGACAACATCTCCTCTTTCCTCTGGTGCATGAATTATTGGGAGGGACTCTTCTGTTGCAATTCCCACAGATAATAGCCGTATTTCTCTCTGGGCACCGACGGGTTATTGTTGGTGTAACTACGGAGTACCGGTTATAGCGTCACTTTCTGTGGCAGAAAGAGCGGCGTCGCCCTTTTTGGTGTAACTAGCGGTTAGTGCCTCGCTCCAACAGTTATGTGCTGAGAGAATTTGATGGCCAATCCACAACTAGATAAAGGGGCATTTTCATCGAGTCCATGTCTTCCTATGACTTTGAGAGGTACGAAATAGCTTGTCGGCTCCGGAGATGTGACGAGAGTAGTCGACATGGGCCGGTGATTAAGCTCGATAGCGTAAGTATATGTATTCCGTGTCTCTCGTCTAACGTCTAGATATATCCAAGCATCACCTTTGACGCCAACAAAATGGAAAAGAACAAGTGCAGCTCTATTAACCAATTATACAAGGCCGGGTGTTATCCCTGAATGACACCAACTCCGTCATGATAACCGCACATCTACATCCTTCATACCCCATCTATCATCCCCAGCGGCGACACTTGATGCTGCCTTGTCAATACGACCGGGAAGCCCATCGCCAAACATCCAGTATTGTACGCCGAGGTAGCAATCGCACACGCATTGTAGCATTCCACAAATCCGGAATGCCCATGGAACCGACGAGCCGTTATAAAAGAAGTAGCTCATTTTCATTGCATCTCCAAGCAACCAGGCCATGAGGACGGAAAATCGGAAGCCCTTGCAGGATTGAGATCTTTGGTTGGCAAGGATCTGAGGGACAGGAAGGAAGGCTTCGACGCCGAGCCCGGCAAACCCTAATATTTCAATATAGGCTTTCGAGTGCGAAATGGGAGGGATGAGAACGTGTATAAGGAAGAGAGATACTGAAAGGTAACCGAGGAACGTCCAGTAGCTATGCGGGTAATAAAGATTAGCAACGTGGCAAGCAATTCCACAGATAACGCAACGGGTATGCCATCATTCCGAAAACACATACGGTCGGGTTGCTCTCCATTGCCAAAAGTCATACGGCCTTCTAAACTCTGACTGTCCACCCGCCAGTTGCCCAGAAAACGGTGTATGGTCCACCGGGGACTGGGGACGATGGTCAAGCGCCACTTTCAATAACAGTATTTGTACCACGACCATCATCATCGCCTGCAGGAGCAAAGGAAACGAATAATATGCACCGAACCAATAAAACACCCTAACACCGAGACGGTCAGCTCTGGGTTGGCGGAGTAGATCAATTGGGTAAAAGCGCACTTGAAAATTGATGCAACAAGCATAATTAACGGTATATCTAGCGAAAAGCCAGCTGAGCTCTTAGTCCTCTGTATGCTGTATATCTGGTCCGCGTACGACAGGATCGGAGATATAACTAAGCTGCAACATGCGATTATTAGAACATTCACTGTGTTAAACTGATTTTGCGGCCAGGGCTCCTCTTACAAAAGCGGAGCGCCATACTCCATGGCTACAGAGATAAGCCACATTATGAATTGAATCGCTCCTTGCTCCTCTTGATTCTCAGACCTGACGGGCGACGACTCGGGGATTTCCGCAGGATCATCCACAACGTGAACACGCAATAACCGGATTATTGGGAGGAAAAGCGACTAGTAGATTTTCGCTTGAATAATTTTTTGGACGAAAATCACTCGCAACCAGCGGGCCTATCGACAAGTCTTTCGGCGTCCTCGTTTCTGTAGTTTCCGGGAAGGATACCCAAAATGCGCCAAACTCTTTTGCAGCAAAAAGATCAGATGAAAAGCCCTTCCCCAGCAGCAAGCAGAGCGGAGAACGATCGCCAGTAGCCCAGTTAGTTCTTGTTAACGCCCGCCGCCGCACTCTTTCTCTGGAAGCAAAAGTGGAATTCGCAGGGCCGCCGAATACTCGAGTGTTTTTTCGCAGTGACGATGGTGCCAAGCAGAAGCCCTGGCCTGTGCAGGCTTGGCAGGAGCATTGAAACCTTTTACTCTATACTCCGTACGGAGTACAAGGGATATTATTCTTTGGATGGAATGGATTCAAGGTGTTATACAGTTAACGCTGCAGGATATCTAAACGCGCACATTTAAGCAAAGTCTATTTTCCAAGACTGGGTAATCGAGACGCGTGGGTTCTTCACAATCGCATAGGGCGCTTTACCGCCCTGGGAGCTATGCCACTCCAAACCAACTCGAGACTCACTCCGTACACCATCCTCTACCTGAACCGTTTCTTTGCTCTTCCACTTGTTAGGAGCCCCAACAACAATGATCTTTTCAACATATACCTCCGCCATGCTTCTCAAGTATTTCGCGGTCTTGGCGCCAGGCGTAACGAGATTCTCCGACGACAAGGTAGCCTTATCAAAAACGAAACGGCGGTGGATCTTCGCACCACTTTGATAATCAAATGTCTCGCCGTCGTCCACGTAGAGCTCGCCCTCGGCGTAGCCGTTTTTGTCCAAAACGACCACAAGAGTATAGGGGTCAAATTTCATCAGCCCACTGCTCCGACGTGGCCTATCTTTCCTCGGAATGATGTGTCCGCCTTGCATCAAGAGTGGAATCTTTTCCAACGGCGCTTGCACGGTGTGAAATTTTCCAGCTCCTTGGTAAATGGTATAATCGAAGTAGTCGTAGTACTTTTCGTCGTCAGCGATGTAAATGTCAACGCTAGTCGCTCCTTCAGTGACAACAGGTTTCGCGAGTAGCCCGGTTGAGCCCAAATACAATTGATCGTCAATTGCAAAACCATGCTCGTCTGAAGGGTGGACATAATATTGCGGTCGAACGATGGGTGTGCCATCGACAGACGCCTGATAAAAGGCAGTGTACCAGGCTGGGAGCAGTTGATATCGAACTCGCAAAGCTTGAGTAATGATGCTAGTGTAGGGCTCCCCACTCAAGTACGGTTCGCGCCTTCGAGTGTCAATGTGAGCGTGCGCCCGAAGGAATGGGTAAAAGATACCAGTCTGATACCATCTCGTGAGGAGTTCCTTGCTTGGGTTTCCAAAGAATCCGCCAACGTCAGCACCCGCAAAGGGAAACCCTGCAATTCCATTGTTCAAAACCATGGGCAAAGAAGCCGCAAGATGGCCCCAGTTGGCTTGGTTATCACCGGTCCACATGGCGCCGAGTCGCTGAGAGCCAACATAGAATGAGCGCGTCAACACAAAGGGCCGTCTGATTTCACCCTTTTTACGCTCGAGTAAAGCGTTGTATGTTGCATTGACAAACGTCAGGCCGTTGATGTTGTGCACATCTCGGTGTTCCCAACCGCCATGATGGATATTGTCCTTTGGCATAGTTGTTTCCGGTCCATTAAAAACAGACGGCTCATTCATATCATTCCACACGAATGAATTGTGTTGAGTTCCCTTGAAGCTGTCATATTTAAACAGGCCTTTCCACCATTCAATTGCAGCGGGATTGAAGCAGTCAACCCAATGGGAAGACCCAGGCCAGCACCAACCGTCATAGACACTCCCATCTTTATTATTAACTGCAAACTTCTTATTCTTTAGTTCATCCACAATTGGGTAGTTGGCTTCGTTTTTGATATGAGGATCAATTATGTAGACCAGTTTGCGTTCTGAATCATCGAGCTGCTTTTGCATGCCGATGGGATCAGGAAATGTGTGCGGATCCCAAGTGAAATATTTCTTTTGATCGGTATATTCGATATCAAGCCAGATCACATCGTATGGAATTTGATACATGTCGAATTTTCGATCAACATCCCGGACGTCCTCATCGGTTACATAATTCCAGCGGCATTGATGGTACGCAATGGCAAAATGCTGGGGAAGTTGGGTGAATCCGGTGAGTTCTCCGTACGATTTGGTGACATCGTACGGGGTTGGGCCGAGAAATACAAACACGTCAAGTTGACCGTTCTCGGAGAACCAGTGAGTTTGTGTATCAGTTTTCCCCTTGGCTCCGAGAGATAGAGGGTTTGGTGATTGCTTGGCTTTCACGATATCAACCCATGTTTCCGCTGCGTTTAACCAAAGCAGGCCCACAGTAGACCCAGGGCGATGGGCTTGCATGAAAGGAATTGCACCGTAAAGAGTCATCGGGCTGTTCAGCTCGTACTCAAAAACATCGGAATTGTACAGACGATACGGTTCGGTATGTTGACCCTCGCCGCCCCTATACGAAATCAGTATGCATACACATGCCACCAGCCACAGATCCTACCTTGTTTCCTTCAAAGACATTGAATCGGCGTGTTCCGGGATTCCGAAAACATGGGCATACCCCGGAAATGTGACATCTAGGCCAACACTCTCTGGGCCCCGAGGCTTGGAATCAGTGTTTCCTCCGAATGATTCATCCCACCATGTTGAATCGTCCAGTTCTAGGTCGGTATTTTGGGTTTCATCACTTGGCTCTTGTTTAGCCCTCCAATGTTCCACGTTGAGAAATCCTCTATCGTTGAGCTTGATATGCGTTTCGCCATCGCGTTCAAACGATATTCCAAAGGGGGAATGTTTTATCACAGCTTTGAATGTTCGATCAGGGCCGTAAATGACTTTTGTGAATTCGTTTGTTGGGTCCGACTCTAGTTCCGCCGATGGACTAGGACTAAGGTCTCCGGTGACTGCCCACTTTGCAGCCTCATTATAGCGCTCCTTTCTCACAGTACTTCCGTGGCGTAGTTCAATATCTCCATTTAGACGCCTTTCTTCGTCGATAGTAATTCGTGCAACACCAGATTTAAGAAACGACACTGTGAGAGGGAGTCGAACATCTCCGTCCTTTATGGTCGACTTTATGACAGTCCCCAGTAATTGTCCGTTTTTAAATGTCACAGAGCTCGGATCAAGCCTGTAAGGGGAGGGCCACGATGGCCCTTTGTCGGATATCGAATCCGCGAGTGCGCGATTCCGTTTGCAAAATCCGGACTGCGAACATGTCTTAAAACTCTCGTGCTTAACCATGACTACAGCCCAATTGATCCCGTCAGACAATGTACTTGTTTCAAGTGTTCAAGCCGGACTTACGCCCCGGTGCAACTAGGCACGATAGTATCACAATGGCCACCAGGGTCAATGACCACACTGGAGCTCGACGAGACGCCATGAGGCGATGGAGGAAGCGAGTGATCCAATGACAAGAAATACGAATGGGCAGCAATCAAATCATGAGCAGTCGACAGGCTCCCAAAAGTACGAAGTCCAGATTCGTACTCTTGATTGCCGCGAGCTGGTGTTTGGTGAAAGGCAAGTTGGCCTGTAAACACGGTGCTTGCCGGTGAACATCGTTGCTGCATGGAAGGCTGGCTTGGCGCCCTTGTGCCTAAACTCCGAAGGATGCTAGCGCCATTTGGCTTGGAAACCGTTTTTTGGATGCCCCTCCATCCATCCCGCACACAACCCTCTGCACTGCTCCCCGAGTTATACACATCAGAATTCAAAATCCCCTTCTGTCACAATGTCTTCTGAAAGAACGTGAGTAAGGTCGCTTCTATTCCCAAGCTTCTCACTCTAACCGATTGTTCTAGTTTCATTGCTATCAAGCCCGACGGTGTCCAGGTACGCGGGGTTCTCTCCCAAAACCAAATGCCCCTCCCTCCTGCCTCATTGCCATGAAGATACAACAATAGCGCTATTGAATTCGGGTTGCTGATACTCCGACTTCCAGCGTGGACTCATTGGCCCAATCATCAGCCGATTCGAGACCCGCGGGTGCGTATAAACCCAACCTGAAGCTGGCGGGGTAGCGTGCTGAGTCTTCACACAGATACAAACTCGTTGCCATCAAGCTTGTCTCTCCATCCAAGGAACATTTGGAACAGCACTATGCTGATCTCGCCGGAAAGCCATTCTTCAAGGGCCTCGTCACCTGTAAAGGCTCCAAACGCCTTTTTCTGCACCAGCACCCAGGCTAACCCCGGTCTAGATATGTTGAGTGGACCTATTTGCGCTATGGTTTGGGAAGGACGTGATGTCGTGAAAACTGGCCGAAGTATGAACCTTTTAACGTGGGCTTGCTATGCCATATGAACTAAAGGCGTTGAACAGCAATCCTTGGTGCTACCAACCCTCTCGCCTCGGCTCCAGGCACCATCCGTGGTGACTATGCAATTGTTAGTGAATCTGACACTATGCGTTCAGCAACGATCACAACTAACCATCCTCCCTAGGACGTCGGTCGCAACGTCTGCCACGGATCCGATAGCGTCGAGAACGCCAAGAAGGAGATTGCTTTGTGGTTCGGCGAGGGGGATCTTGTCGATTACAAGCAGAGCCAATTCGATTGGATCTATGAGGCATAAATTGCTGAGCTTTCGAGTTCAAAAAGTAGATAAAGATTAAAAGGCTGGTGTTCGCCGGCAATGACACGTTTATGAATTCAAAATGCAAGTCCAGCTTGCAAAAGCGGCCCAAAACCTCTTGACCAGGATTTTCACTGTGCCTCGTACGATACAGTGGCCGGGTAGCCCCGTTTATCGCCTTTTCGAATTCCCGAAAAGCCGGCCTACACCTCGTCTGAGGGGCACAAGCACGCATTTCGCGAACCACGGCGTTGCCCATGCACTAATCATGATCCGCATTGGGAGTAAAGCCTTGGTAACTGCGTATGCAGTTGCGAACTCTAGTATTAAACGCATCCCTTGATTTGTGTTCACATCAGAGGACCCCAAAAATTCTTCCTGTTCAACGGCGTCAATCACTTCTGCCTTTGTCATCTCATTTTCCACCCATCCCCTCTTTCGTAGCCACTTGCCGAACTTCCTCACGCCCTCGTCGAATGCACTGTCCCCTTCGCCATTCCCTAGTGATGGCATCCAGCCGCCATAGTGGAATAACCCAACCAGGCCGAATAGAGGTACGACCGCAGTTATTTCATGGAGTATGAGAAAGGACGTGATATGCATGACGGGCGCGCGAAGAAGAGGCGCGGTATATTTCCGAAGGAAGGGAGGGAGACGGCCGTTGAACCGTTCGAATCTGCCACGGGCGTCAGGCGTCGCTGGAGGCTTAGGAGGCGTGGAGAAATTGCGGTTCTGGGGATTCCCTGAACGACGGAGTGAAATCCGAGCTAGGCCAAGGCCATGGGGTAGTGAGGCGGTCTTCATCATTGGCGTCGTCGGAGGAATTGGGGTGATCATCGGAGTAGTTGCATGTCGTGAGGTTGAATCCTGCGCCTAGCAAGGACGGTAATCACGCCAATGCAGCGGGGATCACTCGAGAGGACTTTTGCTCCTCGCGAAACTAGGAAATCGAGGTGTTGGCAAGCAACAAGGTGATCAGTGATCAGTCAAGACAGGTAAAAGTTAATGAGTGGCAGCCTTTTGCTTGAGAGCCACAGATGATTTGCTTTTGTTGGTCTCAGTGCAACGCATTTCATTCTATACTGACGATGGCGGAGTAACTAGCAGCGTGATACATATTGGACTTCTAGAAATCAAACAAGTCCACTGGTAGGAATATTAGTTGATAATTTGCTATTCCTGTTCTTATATCATGAATTCCGGAACTCCTTGCTAAATATCGGGGAAGGGTCTATTGCATTGGAGACGAACCGCAGGGGAAGTTTTCAAAATTCTGTGGAACATCTCAATATTTGTTGAGCACAAAAAACCAGCTTCCAACAAGGAAACCTGATCGCTTCACATTCAATCTATTGTCACTTTCCTGTGGAATTCCCTGCTCTTCCTGCATGCGATCGCATTTAATACTCCTTCAGTCGCTCGAATTCACCCTTCCCTTCAGATTCCCACCTGTTGTCTGGCGTCAAGTTACCCCGCATTAAGCAACTCGACTTTACAACTTCTCGCAATATATACAGAGCCCTGGCACTATGGAGAAAATATCAGATAAAATTGCAGCTCTTCCTGAAGATGCAAATTTCTTCTCTTTGGAGTTTTTCCCTCCAAAGACGCAAATGGTGCGCTGCCCACTTATCTTCATCCCCGCACGTCGAACCCTTCCGCCCAGCAAGCTAACCCGCACTGCACCTCTAGGGCTCATCGAATCTCCAAGCTCGATTAGAGCGTATGTCCCAGGCCCTTCGACCGCTTTTTGTAACCGTGACATGGGGTGCTGGTGGAAGCACCGCTTCGAAATCCCTCGAGCTTGCGGAAATATGCCAGAGGCAATTGGGGTTGACAACATGCTTGCATTTGACGTGCACGAACATGAATAGAGCGCTGATTGACGATGCATTGGACGAGGCGAAGGCTCTGGGCATTCGGAATATCCTAGCGTTACGAGGTGATCCGCCGCGGAGTGATGAATACAATCTTGCTGGAGAGGATGACAGCAACAAAGACTTTACGTACGCGATTGATTTGGTGCGACATATACGCAGGAAGCATGGAGATTATTTCTGCATTGGCGTGGCGGCCTATCCCGAAGGCCATGCTGATGAATCTCACCCCGAGATTCAGGACCCCGTCAGAGACTTGCCCTATCTCATTGATAAGACCAAGGCTGGCGCTGATTTCATCATGACGCAGCTGACTTACGATATTGTTGCTTATAAAAAGTTCGAATCCATGTTGCGGAATCACGAGTCTGGAGTGTTCAAGACTATTCCGATTATACCTGGGCTCATGCCTATTCAGAGTTATTCTAGACTAACGAGAATTACAAAATTAAGCCATGCCTGTGTCCCGCCGGAAATATTAGCCCGAATTGAGAAATGCAAGATGGACGATGAGGCTGTCAAACGAGTTGGCGTTGACGTTGTCAGTGAACTGGTTGACGAAATCAAGACCATCTCATGCCCAGGTCCTCGCGGTTTGCACTTTTTCACTTTGAATTTAGAAAAGTCTGTGTCATTTATTCTCGAGAGATGCAACTTGATACCAAGCTCGTCAGAGCCTTCAAGCGATACGGAATCAGAATCGGCGGTCTATGCCATGCACAAGAACCTAACAGCACCGGCTGGCAAAGCAGCTTTCGTGTCAAGACGTCGGGCGTCGTCATTGAATTCTCAACCGTATAACCGCGTGATTATTGATCGGGCTGATATGTCCTCTCAGAGTTCTACCACCCATGAAACGTCTGCTCAGGGTGCTGGGATGCCGGCACTCAACCCTCCTCCTCGCAATACCACTCTGCTGATATCTGAAGGGATGGGCGCACTTGGGCGTGAAGCTACCTGGGACGACTTTCCTAACGGCCGCTGGGGTGATGCTCGTTCTCCTGCGTTTGGTGAGATAGATGGATATGGCCCATCATTACATGTCACAGCCAACGTAGCACGTCGATTATGGGGTTTTCCAACCTCTCGTGAAGATATAAATCAGATCTTCCGGCGGCATGTTTCCGGTGCGCTTCATGCGGTGCCTTGGTCTGAGGGAGGTGCAGCAGAAGAGTCGGGCGGTTTAAACCCAGAAACGGCCACAATTCGCCCATACCTACTTGATCTTATTGACAAACGGGGTTGGTGGACGCTTGCTTCACAGCCTGCAGTTAATGGCGTTCGCAGTGACGACACAACCTTTGGCTGGGGTCCTCCTGGCGAAGGATTCGTCTTTCAAAAAGCATTCGTTGAGTTTTTCTGCTCTAGCAATGACTATCGTTCATACCTGAAGCCCCTACTTCAACGCTATGGCCACGACGAATTCGCATGGTTTGCGACCAACGCGGCTGGTGACTTTGAAGCCTCAACCCCTCCTTCAGCGCACAGCCCTACAGAACCTGTCGACGCGGGCTTTGAAGACCCCAGCAGCCCTGCGGCTTCGAATCCAGGCGGCGTTAACGCGGTAACTTGGGGTGTGTTCCGCGGAAAAGAAATTATCACACCCACTATTATCGAAGAAGTGAGTTTCCGGGCCTGGGGAGAAGAGGCATTCCGCATATGGGATGAATGGCGACGGATCTTCGCCCGAGGCAGCCCGACCGAAAAGCTGCTGGCTCAGACGAAGGAGGACGTATGGCTGGTCTGTGTTGTCGGTCAGCGTTTTGGTGCTGGAGGTGAGCCCGGTAAGGATGCTACGGATGAAGGAAAGCTTCTATGGAAAATTCTAGCCGGGGAGAATGTCGCGTTGGAATCATAGGGACGCTCTGCTTATGATATATCAATGAGTGTCCAGTACAGGCAATTGAAGATTCTCTAAATTTTTTCCTTAGATCGGTTGCATAGTTACTTTTGGCGTGCCCATAAATAAATCTTGCTATCTGACAATGAACATATAACTATGCTTCCTCAAAGTCCAGACATCTTCTCGCTTCATTTATCCCACTGGTAACCCCGGCTACCAGTGGTGGAACCCTCATACTGATACTTTTCTTCTAATTCGTGATACTTATCAAATCCAAGGCCCTCGCAGACGTCCCTGTACGTCAAGATCTGTTCTGGCTTCCCGACCAAAAATGACGCCTTTAAATTCTCCAACGTCTCCCTGATGCTCTTCAATTTCGCAGCCACCAAAGTCCACGGATACGCCGCAGCTGCATATCCTATCTCCCCAAGCTCCTTTGCAGACAGATTCTCCGTCTTTCCTCCTTCAATGATATTAGCGAAGCAGGGAAAATCCAACTCCCGGAGGAATTTCTCCATAGTGGCACGGTCGGGGAGTGCCTCAAGGAAAATGCAATCGGCACCAATCTCCTTGAATTTGCGCGCACGGGCAAGCGCCTCATCGTAACCGTGTATGAAGCTATCAGTTCGAGCCAGGATCCAGATGTCAAGACCTGAATTGCGGGCATCCACAGCTGCCTGGATGCGGGCGTATGCTTCGTCTCGGGAAACCACTGATTTCCCTTTGGTATGACCACAGCCTAGAGTAATTTCTTTAGAGTAAACTCGATGCAGACAGAATCACAATTCGCTTTAGTGAGTTGTTCCCTTTCTGCTTACGTTTGGGCCATGTTTGGTCTTCAATCATGACTCCGGCTGCCCCGGCCAATGCAAACCTGTGAAGAAGCCTTCAGTAACAAAGAAAAAAACTCGAAGAAGTGCCGCTGATCAGCGGGTTTCAACCTCACGTACCCTTCGACAGTCCTTCTGACATTCATCGGGCTCCCATATCCCGTATCACCGTCCACAAGCACTGGCACACTAACCTGTCTCACAACCTCCTGGATCTTCCTCACGGCTTCTTCAAACGCGATATATCCCGTATCAGGGAGCCCGTAGGATGCCGCCATGGCAAATCCACCTAAGAAAATCACCGGAAACCCGGCTTCTTCCACTAGTCGGGAACTTAGGCCATCGTAGCTGCACACTTGAGCCACGATCTTAGAGGGGTCAGCATGTGCCTCTTTGATCATTGAACGGAGGCGAGAGGCTTGTAACGAAGGAATCCGGCCTCGAACATTGGGGATTTGGACAGCGAGGGTGGTGGCTTCGTTGCTGCTGCTCTGCGGGTTGATTGTAAGGCTTGTATTGAAAGAGAAAGGGTAGATGTGAGTATTGACAGTTGATTTAGACATGATCTTATATGAAGGTTCTACGGTGGTTCATTTGTGGTACTTTTTCAGCGTTTGAAGTCATGGGAATTTATACCAGGCTCGTTCTGTGACTCTTGACCGATATCGGATAACATGACTTTGCCAACATCCTTGCTACCACCTTGAACTCTCAAACATGCCCAAAGTCTACGATGCATCTCAGCGCGTTGTACTCCGGACACATGGAATGTGAATATTAGAAGCGCCACAAGAGAAATGGGGGAGAGGAATTAGGGCTCCTTTTAGAGCAGTTTACATATTCAATGGATTGTAAATACAATATTTCCAAAACATCAAGGCTGGTACGAATTTCTGATGGCTAAACAACATACCGGAACATCGGCGCGTCATCAGCGTTTTCAGCAGTATCAACCGGCAGCACTGGATTCGGCTTGCCATGTTTCTTGTCTCGTCGCGCGTTTTCGATTCTGTGGCGAATAGATAGGATCACAGCCATTACGCAGCTCAGGCTCAAAAACGCAAGCACAATGCCATATCCTCGAGTATATCTGGGTTTCTCGCGCGCTGGAAAACTCTTGCTGGCCAGGATACTCCAGCAGTGACCCGCAACTACAAGGATGCAGATTGCAGTCACCTTTTTCGACTCGGCTCCGGCGTTGTCCGTGGCCCATTGTAGCTCTAATGGAATGCAGGGGAAAATACCCGCCACAAGGAAGTAGATTCCAACCAGGGCCACTTTGGGATTCTCGTCGACGGGAAAGCTAAACACAAGAGATACTCCTATTATGGCGACCATGGTTGCGCCGATGATGAAGGGCCCACGCATTCTCAGTTTGTCCGAAAGGAAACAGACACTGAGCATCAAAACCCAGGCGACGAGGTATGGGCCAATAGTCATGTACTGGGCTTGAGTATTCGTATACCCTAGTGACTTGATGATGTTTGGCAAGAAGACTGAAATGGTTGCAAGGCTTGCATCATGTCCCATCTTGATCACGGCGCAAGAGTATACCTTCCAGTCCGTGAAGCCCGACAAGATATGCCTCTTAATCAGAACATTGTGGCCCTCGCTGGCCTGTCCACGATTCATGCGTTCGATAGACACAGCGCGCTCTTCCTCATTGCGAAAAAAGTTGGCTGTTTCCGGTCGATCGGGCAAAAAGAATAGGATCACAAAGGCGAAGATGACAGTTGGTAAGCCTTCTACCATAAAGAGAATTCGCCAGTGGGCAAGGTGCGAGTGGATCAGGGAGATGGCGTAGGCAATGAGGCCGCCAAAGGCACCCGAAAGAGCTGCCATTCCGACAAAAATCGCAGTGCGGAATGCAACCTCACTGCGAGTATACCAGATTGTAAAGTAAAAGACAGCGCTTGGTGCAAATCCAGCCTAGATGATGTTGAGTTGCGGAATTTTGAGTATCTGATTCTGGGGGATGCTCACTTCAAATAAGCCTATGCAAAATCGAGAAACCGCAATACCTGCGAAGTTGAAAGATCCTGCTGCGGCAGAGGCAGATATCCCCCATCCCAGGACGCAAACGAACATAAATCTAGACGGATGAAACTTCTTCCCATAAAGAGTGAACGGAATAGCGAATATCACGCTGACAGGATTAGTATTTCAAATGGAGTATTGGAATCACGGATGAGGACTAACTATCCGAAGTAGAATATGCTCGCTGCCCATCCGTAGTTGTCGTCATTTCCGCCTAGAGCATCCTTGACCAAGCCTTGCAATTTCGCATTGCCCAGATTGCTTCGGTCCAAATATGCCTAATTGTTACGCCATGGTCAGCGGTGGCAGCTCGCAGACGGAGGGACACACACACACCAGTAGGTAGAGTATCACCATCTGAGGCATGATGATCATGTCTTGCCGGCGGACAAGGCTCCTATTCTCCTTGGAGATTAGAAAGGCTAGTGGTTACTAGTCTAAAGCAAATGGGCTGCTTACTTCTCGATCTCCGCCCTGCGATCCCCAATGGCATATTCGAATGTTGTACATTCCACATCCTCAGTCACGTCGCCCTTTTCCGCGTAGTCATAGGTTTCTCTTGGAGAGGCCATTGCTCACAACTAGGCGGCAGAGTCAAGCGGGACCAACCCGGGCAAAAAGCAAAAAGCCATGCCTGCTTTTAGAGGGGGAGCTTGTTCCTTTATACATTCTTGCAGCTCCCTCGCCTCTCTATAGCCGGGCTAGATTGGACGGGTGCATACGGAGATTTACCAGCCATATGCATCACATACTATATATAAGCGACTTCGCCTTATGAGGGTTAGCCGGGCGCCTCCATGGGTCAATCCTGTGCCAAGGCAGCGTGATAGTCTGATGATCGACGATTTCTTTTGTGAAACATACAAAAGGAAACATGCAGCCTCTCAACAGCGAACCATGCTTCTGTGTAATCGACGGCAGCGGGGAACCCCCAGGAGGGAACGCGGAGCTTGCAAGTTTTCAACTGCCGGTATCCGCCCCGGGAGAATCATCGGCCAGTATTTCGTACAGGATTGGACGGCATTTTTGTGGTTGTTTCCTCTCCCTTGCGATGGTCAGTCGAATGGTGGAGTTTGAAATGCCAGACAATGCAGACTAATCGTTAACTAACTTGACGCCGCATTCAATGTGCATGAGTGGCGTCAAGTCACTGGGTATCAGAAAACATTGAAAGCATCCCCAGAAGCTTCATAACCAGATAGTGGATTGAATGTGCTTTGAGGCACTATGTTAGAGAGTCGCTCAGTGCTTACCTGCAGTCCAAACGTTCTTTGAGAAAGAGTATTTTTGACTTGGAGCGCAGTGTTTGCATGCAGAGAACCAATCGCAGGGACGCTCATGGGGCCTGTCCTCGTTTGAACATTCATTTAGCGGTTGATCTATCATCTTGTGCTTGTTCTCCACTGCCGAGTTTGTCGAACATTCTACGGAGTATGCTCCGTAATACAATAATATGTGATATAGTCTCTTTTTCTGTTTGCCTACTCCGGAGATTGAAAGGCTAGCCCGTAGGCGCATAGATACAAGTGGAGGATACAGAAACGTCTGCCCCAGCTATGATTGAATGCAACCCTGTGATACATGCCCAAATCAGGGACATTATCTGTTTTCATTTTCAGTATTGAATAGAGCCTGATCCCGAGTAAAAGGGCAGACGGTCCGATTTCGGAGCTAGGAAGCGATTGGCAGGTTTCACAGGCCGGGGAAGGATGCGATGAGATACCCGACTTTGTGAAAGCCGCTGGTGGACAATGGAGGGGTATAGGTACGCTTATTGTGATTTCCGAGCAAAGCCGTGTGCCTGCAACCCATCTGCTCCCGTATCTGGGGTAGCTACACCGGACTCCGCTTCCATGAGTTTCTCCGCATGATCATCCAGCCGACCATATACTTTAGGGTTCCTTTTTGGAGTCCCGTACTCTGATTTTGCTTGGTAGCCTCGTACCCTATGTTAATGTTAACCCAAGGATTCATGTTACGCACCGGGAGGAAAAGGTTGACGTACCTTGGACCTTGGCCTGTCTGCTCAGGAAATTCAGAGGCATATGTCCTCTCGAATGTGTCCACATTTTGAGAGAATGTTCCATCTGAGATACTTCTTCTGGCTGCTGCAAAGAATTGGTCCATTACATGATGATTATGAATCTGTAGCAATGTCCAGGCAAGCATTTCCTTTGCGTTAAGCAAATGTTGGAGATATGCGCGGTGATGGTTTTTACACGTATAGCATTCACAACCCTGTCTAAGAGGGGATGTATCGAATGCATTTGTTGGTGACCACATGTCGAGAGCCAACGGTAGCGGCCCTACACTATCTTTCACGGCTGGTTCAGGAAACGTGAAGTCAAATGCAAGACCGGCATCGGACGCGGTTCCGATGAACGGCACTGTAGTAAGGTCGACTCCCAAAGAGATATCACGTAGAACTTTCTGAGGTGTGCTAGGATCGGCAAAGGACATTCGGACAAGGTGGGACATGGATTGAGGGACGACTGAAACGGATGACCCATCGAAGAGAGCGAACCCGGAGACCGAGCTTTTCATCTCATCCACCAATTCCTGTACATAAAATGATTGCAATTCCTTTTCCAAAGGGAGTAGGGGGGCAAGAAACAGTGACCTGGTGGTAGCACCAGAAGTATTCCCGGCACCATACAACCTATCAATCGCATCCCTGGTCCATGCGTGAGTCCTATCCACCATCCGCTCGCGCCTCTTGACGCCAGGCGGCTGGGTTAAAACAAGATCGGTTAAACCCACAACGAAGTCAGGCTGTAGCTTCCGAATAGCATCGACATATTGCTCCTCTTCAAGCTGGCGGAATCCGACGGAGGTAAAGATAGTGATCGAATTCGAGGTATTTGGCGTAGTGCATGGAACAGCTGGGATCCTTCGCGGGCCCAGAATTAAGAGCACGTCATCCTCATAGCCCAAAAAGTTCCGTAATGCCGACTCCGAAGGTTGCGCTGGGATTTGATAAACGGGCGGGATTTCTCGCGGGCCTCTTTCTATGACTAGGCTGCTCCAGGGAGCAGAAGAGTTAGTTCAAGTAGAGCCGATGGGTCACAGCAGGGGCGTACAATCTTCAAGCCCGGCATAGAGTCCATGAACCGACATATGGTCTCGCATCGCATCATGAGAGACATGTGAGAGTGCACCTCTCGAGGTGATTGGGACGTAATGAGGGGTTTGAATGGGCCTGCGGCCTTTCAGACAGAGACGCCCAAGACGCGGGGCCAGGATCGATGGCACGGAGTTCAGCAAAGTAAATCCGTGCATTTCATCGAGTGAACGGTTATGGGGTGATTCGGAATTCATACTGGTTTGCTTCGGTCCTCATCCTGCTTGCTTTTCGCGAGTGAGTGATTTGAAGGCTTCCGATCAACGTCGCGTGTGATGGTCTTGGCGCCAGTCTGCGAATTTGATGAACGCGATCTCAACCGACTTTCAAGGCGATAACAAGAAGAGGAGCAATTTGACTTGCCAGCACGCCGTCCCACTATTCCAGTTGCGAGAACTTCGCGGTCAATTGCAGGAGTACAACACAGTGTGCACGAACCACGACACTCGTCTTTCAATTGAGCTAGCAAAGACGAATGGGTTCCGACGTCCTCACAGCAGGCCTTGAGCCTAAGATGACTCGGGGCGCTCTTATTGTTATGGAAGGCCTCGACAGGGCGGGGAAGTCAACTCAATGCGCAGTCTTGGTGGATAAGCTGCGTGAAATGGGCTACAAGACGAATTACATTCGCTTTCCTGGTACGTATATCTGGATCCTAGGCGGAATCAAACCTAAGCTAAGTGTATCATAGATAGAACGACTTCAATAGGCAAAATCATCGACGGATATTTACGGGGAGAAGTTCAGTTAGAAGACCATGCCATCCATCTCCTTTTCTCCGCGAATAGGTGGGAGTTGGCATCGCGGATTCACGAAGACATCTCCAACGGCATATCCATTGTTATTGACCGATATTCTTACTCTGGCGCGGTTTATTCGGCAGCAAAGGGGAATAAGGACTTGTCGCTGGATTGGGCATGGCGTCCCGAAATCGGGCTGCCTAGACCCGACATGTGGTTCTTCCTCAATGTGTCACCGGAGGAGGCGGAGCGGAGAGGTGGCTATGGTCTGGAGAGATACGAAAATGTCACCCTCCAGTTGCGAGTCGGCAAGCTATTCAAGTCGCTCCAAGGAATGGAGAATAATGAGGAGATGCGCATAGTTGACGCGAATCAATCCAAGGAGGAGGTTGCTCAACAAATTTTCGAACTATCCTCGGCAGCGATTGGCCAGATAGAAGGGCCGTTGAGGAAACTTGGTCAGTTGTCTTTTGAGCAACATATTCTCGAATAATATCCGACTTTTGGATGCCGATCGTTGCCAGCGGATTACGGTCCAATTCCATCCTGAATCGTCAGCCATTTGCTAATCTAGGAATATGAGCGTGGCTTCTTCAATCAACTGTCAAAGTAACGACCCTAGTGCCCAGTTCGGACACAACGATCCTACCTGTACACGGGGCTCCCTTATTCGATTTTGGCTCTCTATAACGGACGTTGCTCTCGATGGTCGCTTCACGTACTCTGAATGTCAGTTCTCTCATCAAAATCGACCATTTCACCTCAGTACCGCAGACCGGGCATTCTCCGCCTCTAGGAATCATCCTGTTTAGTTCGTTCTCAGCCCGAAGAAACTTAGACGCAAGGCACACTATATGAGACGCGCAGTTGCAATGCTCTTGTGGACAGAGAACCACCAGATTGTTGTCTAGGTCCAGCCTTTCCTTGCATATTGCACACTGAAGGATTTCGTCCTTGTCAAGAAGGAACTTTGACTTGCTGAAATAATCCTTGAGTTTGATATTCTGAATGTCAAGGCGATCAAGTGGCTTAACGCCGTCCACGCACTGATCTGTGACCACACTAATTGAATCTGGGACCAAATCGTGAAGCGCCTGGCAGCATCCTTGCCATGCACGAAATATCGCAGGTGAGAAGAAGCGGACCTCCAGCGGCCAGCGTGAGAAATACGGCGTGCGCAGAAGCACATGCAACGATGTTAAAACGCCTTTCAGGGACACACGAGGAATAGCATTGCCGTTGGTTAATTTACCCGTGGCGGAACCCCTGTGTGTTTTGGAATACAAAGTTTTATCCTCTTTGCTGACATGGGGGGAGTCTCGAGCATACTGCCACGACCATCTAGATCAGAAGACCGATTAGATTCTGTAGCTATAATGCTAGTTTTCCATTTCCAAGAATTACACTAATGCATTGTCTGCCCCACTCTGGAGGTAAGGGGGAAAGGACGTAGCATACTCGAATTGCAATGCCGCCGTCCTGCTGGTAAATCCGCTCACAATCATGACCATCTCCCATGGCCTGAGGGTCTCGTTATGGGTCTTCTTGGCACCACCGGATTTGATGCCGTTGTGCTGCGCTAACCTCTTCGCTGGGTTGGGAGTAGATCCAATGTAGAGGCTTGTGCTTTTAACCGTTGATCGTAGTAGATAGACGCAATAGAAATCCGGGATGGGCCTCACAAGGGAGTCTGCGCATGCCGGGCTTAATCGACAATGGTCATCGGTGTCAGAACTCATAGTCGGTTGAGTATGCGATGAAGGAATAGATACTGCCGGTAACGCTGATTGAATGATGATGAAGCAGTAAAGAATATCACGGTAAATAATGATGTCTCGTTTGTCCGGGTCTTGGTTCAGCCAGCGACTTGATTCATAGATACGGTTGGAGGGCCAACCAGCAAGCTCCGAGGTCCAGTCAGCTTACTAATAACTATCTTACAAAGCATAAAGAACTCGATCACTCAACCTCCTCCAGCTTCACTGTCGTCTCTTCAGATCTAACTCCCTTTCGCGATCCATTAAGCCGGCCACGATATCATGTTATGCCTCACTTGTCATGCGAATGTCACCTAGGCTTTCTGTGAAGACTTCTGAGCGTTTTGGGATAATGTCGTTGAGATGAGATGCTCGACGAACATCTCGCCTTTCGGAACCTCACGGCCAACGGTTTTCTATAGGCGTTGTCGGGACGGAGATACCGTCCTTGAGTTGTCCGTATTTTCGCCAAATCCCGGCCAGCTGCAGCTTGCAGGCACGATCTGTTGAACCTCTCCGCCCTCGAATAAGTATTCAAAGATACCTTGTCCACTGTCGAACCGCATCCGTGGAAAACGAATGTCATGGTGTCACTCACTTTTTTATAGGCGACAGCGGTCAAGAATTAGCAACTTCCACTCCTGAATAATGTCGACGCTGAGGCGCGGTTACCAGCTGGTGGGATTTTTCAATCTCAAATAGCAAGAAAACGCCATTCCTCGCTCGTCTGCATCTGCGCCACAATCTCGGACACAGCGCTCTATCAAAGTGAGAGAGGGAAAAATGCGCGGCTTTGTATGTATGTACCCAGATCTAGGAACAGGGTGGGCATGGACTACAGATAAAAGTTCATTGTCATCCTTGGACTCCTCAAATCGTCGAGGACTTTTGCCGGTCATTTACGGTTATCTCATCATCTGCCAGTTTGACGAAGCCGCCCATAAGGTTGATTCAAGCTGGTGAGATCCCAGGCCATCATGTGACCATGCAAAAACCAACCTTCATCCACAGCCGCGATGCTTTGGCATTGAGGAGGTGAACCAGCTTCAGGCCCTCTGTGTTGCCCACAACACTCCGCGGCTTTATCGCTAAGACGTGCCTGGATCGACAAAATGTTTGAGGCTTCAAGGATGCTGAATCTCACTTTCACGTCGCACTCTAAGCGCCTGTTGACCGTACCGTACCGCGTTCCGTGATTCGGTCCTGTCACACCCGGTGTGCGTACTGCTGTTACCGTACGTTATGTAAGCGATGCGCTTCTGTGGTGTGGGCGAGCGAGTATCATTATGCTTTTGGCGATTCAACATGAACCACGTTGTAGATTTGCTAATTACCGAACAGCTTTTGACTTATCTGCTGGCCTGACGGCCGACTGGCCTGTGGACTTCCGGCAGCACAGGGAATTTCCACGGGCTGGATGCCAGGTATTTGGGATACTTCCTCGATATAACTGACAAAGGAATCCGTTCGTTAGTTATGTCGACCTGGAAGAGTTACATTTCCCATGGATGCCTAGTAGTACACTGAAAATTATGCCATCAACAGGCAGGGTACGTACATAGAGCTACCCAGTGGCGCATCGACATCAGTAACCTTTGGACGCGAGGGCGAAGCAACCCTGCATGCCGGGACGCACAATTGACGAAGGGCAAGCTGATCATCATGATAATGAATAACTAAGTGGCAGGGAAGGGGAAAAAAGAATACTCAAATTTGAGTTGACTTTCGTGATCGAACTGCAGCTTGCTCGTGGATTCATCCTCATGTACTGCGAAGCTAGAGTTGAGAAAAGTCTAGTGCCAGTGCCGTTCCAACACCAGAGTCCATTCCTCGTGGATAAGCTCAGGACAGCAGCCTCATGCAGCTTTGAATCTCTGCGGTCGCCACAACACACATTCGCAGCTCCTAATAGATTGAATGAATCATAGTGTTGCAGCACATTAGTTTCATGTATTGCGTAGTTACCATACAGTACCGGCGACACTGATTCAGCAGGCCGTATTGTAAGGTACCGCGCTGGGAAGGCTCCACCTGGAGAATCATCGAGTTGGAGTTTAATCCACGACCAGAAGAAGTTCGTGAGCGATCTCTCCCCCATTTTTCGCTCTCCATGAAGCCAGTCTTCCACTCTGCGACCACCCATCCACCCGCCCGATCTTTTCGGCTGATCTTCTCCTACGCCGTTGCATCGTCACTCCCAACTCCATCATTGCCTCTTGTATTTCTTATCCCCCAGCACTCCCGGCTTATACGCCCCTATTGAGCCTTCACTTTCTCCCCCCAATTACTCCCCGTCCCGTCCCATCCATCGCTCATCTCGCCAATGCGGTGTTCGCACCTCCCCTAGGCTCCCTTCTCGGCGTGATAGACCTCTACCCCCTCCCGCCAACCATATTCCACCCATTTAGAGAATGGTGGCTCCGCCGTCAACGGGAGGGAACGCTGCCGTGCAGCATCCCCAGTCGATAAGCCGTTCGTCCATCCGGATCGCGAACTCCAACCCCTCCTACGCTCCCAATGTTCCTCTCAGTGCCCGAAGGGCTGCGCCCTTGGATCTTTCCACCGTCGAACGCCGGGGCCATCCGACTGCCGTTCGAGAGCCCGTCAAACGAGTCCGACCCCATGGCCTGCCCGAGGCCCCGACCTTCCGTCCCACCGAGGAGGAGTTCAAGGACCCCATGGAATATATACGGAAGATTGCACCTGAAGGAAAGAAGTATGGAATATGCAAGATCATCCCTCCGGATAGCTGGGATCCCCCATTTGCCATTGATACCGAGGTATGAAGCTCCTCCTTGCACGTCCTCAACAAGGCACTTGGCGATTTCCATTCCTCGCGGAGACACGAAAGCCCTTTGTATTAATTGTTATGTACAGCGTTTCCATTTTCGAACTCGAAGGCAAGAATTGAACTCGGTGGAAGGAGGTACGTTGCGCCTAGCCGACTTGTGTGTAAGTGTTATTTCTAGGCCGAAGCTGACTATCATCCAGGAACTCGAGCGAACCTGAACTACCTAGACCAGTTAACCAAATTCCATCGGCAACACGGCACAACATTGGCGCGTTTTCCCAGTGTCGATAAGCGGCCCCTCGACCTTTACAAGTTGAAAAAAGCGGTTGAGGTGCGAGGTGGGTTCGACCAGGTTTGTAAACTCAAGAAATGGGCAGAAATCGGCCGCGATCTCGGCTATAGCGGAAAGATTATGTCGTCGTTGTCGACTTCTCTTAAAAATTCTTACCAGCGTTGGCTGCAACCTTATGAAGACTATCTTCTCGTCGCGAAACCAGGAGTGCAACAGCAGTTAGAGATTGAGCACGGCGGTCCCTTCACACCGTCTCCAAAACCATCTCCTACGAAGAAAAACTCTTTGACCACGAATGGAACTACAGGCGTAACGAATAATCAGTCACCCGCGGTTAAAGCATCTGTTGCCCTTAACTCTTCTCTCGAAAGTAATGCTCCGGAAAAAGCAGATACCCCTGAAGCTTTTCCGCATCAGCCTATAACTACTGGGTTCACTGCTGTCAACGCTCCTGCGAATGGAATCCCCAAAACGACGTCTTTCGTTGCTATCAATAATGGACCCCCTGTCGTAAAGACGGAAACAGATCAAAGGCTTGAAAGCTCAACGCTCCCATCTAGCGCGGGACCAAAGAACTCGGAATCCCGTCGCGCTTCTGGGGTCAACGGCCGTGACTCGCAAGCTCTAAAGCGCGCCCTCAGCAATGAGAGCGGAGCAGCTAATTCACAGGCAGAAAACGGAGACGGGGACGGTGCAAACGGACGACGGAGCAAGCGCATCAAGAGAGGTTTGCATTTCCTCTGTCCTGACCCACCCGCTGAATGCTGATTTTTTTTTTCTTTTGCAGATGCCCCTCCAGTTGTTTCGGGATCGAACATGAGTTTATTGCGGCCCACTCCTTCCCAATCCCGTGGCAAACGCGGAAACAGGAAAACAGGAGATGTAAGTGTAGACCAACGGGTTCTCTGGAGCGACGAGTGGCGCTAAACTGTTGGCATATAGAAATGTGAAAGTTGCGGGAGGGAGCAACGACCGGCCCCTCGATTCTCGTGTGCGATGGATGTGATAACGGATTTCATATGCAATGCCTCGATCCGCCTCTGAACATAGTCCCCAACTATGACTGGCATTGCCCAAAGTGTCTTGTTGGAACTGGAGAGTATGGCTTCGAGGAAGGTGGAATATACTCCTTGAGGCAATTTCAAGAAAAAGCAGATGCCTTCAAAAGGAACTATTTTGCTGGAAAGATGCCTTTTGATCCCGTTATCAATGCTCATCGCCGTGAAACCGAAGACGACATCGAACGAGAATTCTGGAGACTCGTCGAGAGCCTGACAGAAACGGTGGAAGTCGAGTATGGTGCTGATATTCATTCCACCACTCATGGAAGCGGGTTTCCCACTGTTGAAAGGAACCCATTGGACCCGTATTCGGTGGATCCTTGGAATCTGAACGTGCTTCCACTGCATGGCGAATCGCTCTTCCGCCATATTAAGTCTGATGTGTCAGGAATGACTGTGCCATGGGTATATGTTGGGATGTGTTTTTCGACGTTTTGCTGGCACAATGAGGATCATTATTCATATTCGGCTAACTACCAGCATTTCGGAGCTACCAAGACCTGGTACGGGATCCCCGGCGCAGACGCGGAGGCATTTGAGGCAGCCATGCGCCAAGCTGTACCGGAATTATTTGAAACCCAACCCGATCTCCTATTCCAGCTCGTTACGCTTCTTCCTCCAGACCAGCTGAGGAAAGCTGGTGTCAATGTGTATGGGCTTGACCAACGTGCTGGCCAATTCGTAATCACTTTCCCTCAGGCGTACCATGCTGGCTTTAACCACGGGTTCAATTTCAACGAGGCGGTTAACTTTGCTCCCGCTGACTGGGAACCTCTTGGACAGGCTGGAGTAGCCCGCCTTCAGGAATTCAGGCGCCAGCCTTGCTTTTCACATGATGAGTTATTGCTTACTGCTGCAGCCAGGGACACCTCGATTAAAACGGCGAAATGGCTCGGCCCCGCGCTGCGGCGAATGTGTAATCGAGAGCTTGAACAACGTGCCAGATTGCTCGCACGTCAACGAGAGTTGCATCAACGAAATGGGGCGCAAGAATCCGATGGAAACAAATCTGAAAGCCCGGAGGATTTTACAATTGTGGTCGAGGATGATGATCTTCCCGAAGAAGAGTATCAATGCACTTACTGCAAAGTGTACAGCTACTTGACCCAATTCCGTTGCCACAAAACGGGCAAAGTTCTATGCTTGTTACATGCGGAAAGCTATTCGTGCTGTGACAAGGACGTATCGGAGCGCCTGCATGGCCCAAACCATAGTCTGCGTTATCGAATGTCCAACGATGATATTCAAACTTTCACGCAGAAAGTCGAAGACCGCGCGCGGATTCCAGAGGCCTGGGCAGAAAAACTCGAGAACATTCTGGAAAATGAACCGAAGCCTTCGTTAAAAGCGATGCACTCGTTACTTTCCGAAGGTGAGAAGATCCCTTACCATCTCCCCGGTCTACAAGACCTGGCCGCATTTGTGCAGCGTTGCGACAAATGGGTAGAGGAAGCAAATAATTACATTACTCGAAAGCAGCAAAATCGCCGCAAGAATGAAAAGCTTTGGCGCAAAGGCAACGCTGCCAAAGCTGCGCAACTTGAAGAGCGCGACCGTGAACTACGCAATATAGATAAGATACATGCCCTGCTCGCCGAAGCAGAGGAACTCTCGTTCGACTGCCCACAAATTGTCACTTTGCGCGAGAAGATTGCAGAGATACAGAAGTTCCAGAGCGATGCGCAAGCAATCCTCTGTAATCCGCACGTCACTTCGACGCAGGAAGTCGAGGAACTTGTGGAGCTTGGGAAAAATTTCAATGTGGATGTGCCTGAAGTTGACAAGTTAGAACGCGTCGTAAGACAAATGAAATGGAACGACGAGGCTCGTCGCAGACGTGACCAGTACCAATCTCTAGACGATTGCCGGGAATTCGTCAAGCAAGGTGAAGAACTGGGGCTAGCAGAAACTAATGAACATCTCGTTCACTTCCGTGATTTATGTCGACAGGGTGAAACCTGGGAAGCAAAAGCGAAGGAGCTCATGTCTGTTGAAGCTGTGCATTACCAGCAACTCGAGGCGCTCTCTGCACAGGCCGCCAGGTTCCCCGTCAACCCCGAAACACTGGCTGCGGTAGAAGCGATTTTGACGAAACAACGTGAGGCTCAAAAACAGATTTCCAGCCTTTATGAAAGAAGCAAGAGTTCGGATTTCCGAATGCGTCCGCATTACAAAGATGTTCGCGAATTGATGGAGTCACTGTCACAATTAAACAGCAAACCCACCGGCACCATTGACTTGGAACGGGAACAAAAGCGCCATGAAGATTGGATGAGGAGAGGTAAAAAGCTGTTTGGGAAGGCAAACGCCCCGCTTCACATTCTCAAGGTGCATATGCAGTATGTTGAGAAGAAAAATTCATTCTGCTTTGACCTAGAAGATCGATGTCGCCCTCCAGTGGAGCCAGCATCTCGCGAAACGACGCCTGAAGGCGGAGAATCCCATTCGTGGGTTGGCACTCGCTCGAAGAAGAAGGACGTGTTTTGCATCTGTAGGCAACAGGAGGCAGGGCTGATGATCGAATGCGAAGTCTGCCATGAATGGTAAGTCATGACTTGCTGTTGTTGATTCAAGTGATCTGATGGAAACTAACGAATAATAGGTATCACGGGAAATGCCTCAAAATCGCCCGTGGAAAGGTGAAGGAATATGACAGCTATACATGTCCGATTTGCGATTGGCGTGTTAAAATCCCGCGTGACGCTGCGCGTCCTAAACTGGAAGACCTTATAGAGTGGCAATCTGAGATAGCCGACCTTCCATTTCAACCCGACGAAGAGCAGATCTTGGAGTCAATTGTCGATAAAGCTTCCGCCTTCAGGGATTTTATACGCTCATTTACGCATTCTACATGCACAACTGCTGAAGAAGTGCCGACGCAGATTTTCTACCTCCGCAAAATCGAAGGGGCCGAAGTTTTGCTTGCATATGAGACGAATTATTTCCGTCAAGAGATTCATAGATGGGCCCCGGTGGCACCTGAGCCTCCGCCAATCTTGGAGCAATCCCTTTCAACTCGAAAACCCAGGCCTACGAAACAGCAGAAATTAATGGCGCAACTGGGGGTGGATAAGCCTGAAGATCTTCCACTGCATCTTCGCACAAAATATCACACCTTCCCGCCGAAACGGAAATCCACTGAGCCTCATAGCGGAAGACCGGCTCCTTTACAGCCGGCCTCGATCAAGCGCTCTGCGACTCCAACTGGCGAAAACCGGCCGGTCTCCGCTGCAAACGTGACGACTCCGAATCTTCCCCCAATTCCAGCGTCCCAACCTCCATCATTTTCGTCTTCCAACCCTTTCTCTCTTGCGGCTAATGACGGTGGTCCGCCATACAATCCTGGGTCCGGGAATTATCTTCCTCAAGACGGCAATTCCCACTCCCCTACCTTTGCCTCAACTTCTCCAACAACTCGTCACCCGGACCTTGATCAATCGCTTTTCAGCCCTCCAGATTTCACCCGCAGCAACCCGTTACGGTCACAGTCGCCCCCAGGTCTTTCTAAAAACAATAGGAGTGGCGGTGTAGACATCGACCATAACAACCCCTTTGGCAGCAGCCCCCGTCCAGACATGGATGATTTATTTGCCGATCTGACGAACCAGGACGTCGAGCCGGTTGAAGAGATTAGCCATGCAAACGAGGCGCTGGAGGCACTCAAAACTGCTCAGAATTGTTCGTCGAGGGATCGCTCGATGTCCGGATCTGGGGATGCGTTGGGCGACTCACATCGGGAGAATGGGCTCATGGACGGCCTCGGCCAAAGTGGAAACGACACCACTAGTGCACTGGAAGATGAGTTCCTCAGCTGATCCTGCACGTTCTGCTACACTGGCTTGTCGTACCTTGCCCGCCTACCTTTTTCTTGATTTTATATTTGTTCTGATGTTGCTTTTCACATTTATGTAATATGTATAACTCATCTGTGGCTTTTCATTTCCTCGAACTTACTGTCTCGATGCCTGGTTTCACGAAGTTTTTTTCTTTGCTGTTAGATTTGAAACGCCTTGTGGGTACGGAGTCCTTGTGTAGGGGAGGTATGGGCCATCGGAGTATGGGGAACGGCGCAACACCTCTCATCGGCCGGAGTTCGGTATCTATGCCCGGCGGTTTCTTGGTGTCTGTTGCATTAACTGGAGGTTGTTCCGATTTCCAAGTGCAGAAATGTTGCAAGATTTTCGCCTTGACTTTAGCGTAGAGAGGATGGGATGTATAATTTTCACCGTGGCCTGTGGATACCCGATCACAGGGATGTCATGGTGGACACTCACGGTGGATGAGACAACTGTATCAATACTATATATACTTAGAACTGTTTTTTATTAATGGAGAGAATCAACTTGTTGCTGATGGAAATCCATCTCGGGATGCCGCACGTGACCCGGATTGTGGCCAGCTCCCAGTCTTGCAATAGCACGTCGTCGATATCGTCGTTGGGTATTGGAAGAAAATGGCCACGAAATCTCGAGCCTCTACGGGTCTAGTTCAGTATCTCAGGCAGGCAGCCTACTATTCTTCTCAGCAGGCTCGACATCAGCCAGTGACATATGTTCTTGGGAACCCTTCAGCGGACTTAGACTCCATCATCTCGGCCATCATATACTCTTATATCGCGACGTCGACCAGACAAGGGTGCTTACCCCCTCGCCATTATGTACCCATAATCAACCTACCTGATGTCCGATCGGGCAACGAGCTAGGGCGATTACGCCCTGAGTTTATCACGGCATTGAAGCTGGCGACAAAAGATAGCGGGAATCAAGAAGCCGACGACGCCGCCTTTCTAAAGCAGAGCATCTTGACTGTGGCTGACTTGAAGGAACAAATACGTCAAACAAACTCTCAACCCGATTCTGCGAAGCCAATCGAGGTGTTTATGGTCGATTGGAATGCTCTACCGGTATTATCGAGTGGGCGACGTGGGATTGAAGGCTTTGATGATGATACCCACGGTGACATTCCGATTGCAGTGACAGGATGCATTGATCACCACTATGATGAGAAGTTTGTTCCTCCTGATGTGACGACTTGGTGCATTCAGACCGGAGTGGGAAGTTGCACGTCTCTCGTTGTCCGGGAGCTTCGGTCCCGCGGCCTGTGGAGGGATACCCCCTTTGTTGAAGCGGTACATGAGGGTCATCCGCAATTAGAGAGCTCTATTATCAGCAGTTTGCGAGCTGAATCTGAAGTTGCTAAGCTCGCCCTCGCTGCCATCCTCGCCGACACGACTAATATGACCGCCAAAGACAAAGTTTCCGAGGTTGATCGTTTGGCGGTATCATTCCTCAAAAGCAAAATCAACCAGGCCCAGGATCCATCATGGAATTGTGACAAGTTTTATGAAGAGATTATCAACGCAAAAAACTCTAGTGTTGACAAGCTAACCACCGACGAAGTTTTGGGTAGGGATTATAAAGACTGGATTGACGATATACCCGCGACCCGGGGAATTGTGAAGAAGATCAAAATCGGCATTTGCAGCGTAGTGAAGCCAATTTCGTGGCTTATTTCGAAAGCCAGCCAGGAGCATCAAAGTCCTGAGTCCCCACAACAGTTTTTTGATTCTCTACGTGCCTTCGCCCAATCTAGAAATCTTGATGTCGTCGCCGTCATGACTGCATATACAACCCAGCCCGAAAACCAGTTTCACCGTGAACTTCTGGTCTGGTGTTTAGATAAAGGGCACTCCCAAGGCTTCGAACTCTTTGAAGCCCTTGCGATTGACAAGCTTGGGTTACAGAACTTGTCAGGCAGCAATATCCAAACGTTTTCAAACACAAATGACGATATGATCCGTATATGGCGCCAGACAGACGTGTCCAAGAGTAGGAAACAAGTTGCCCCGCTACTGAGGAATGCCATGACGGAATCCTTGTTATAAGGACGTTTATGAATCTAGTTTACGGATAACCTATATCTAAAAAAAGTTCTGAAATCCAACACGACAACTATTCCATTTACAAAAGTTGGAGAACTCCAGGCTCAAGCCGAGACATTTTACCATTTGCAGTTTCGATATTTACGAGTACACCTCGCGAAAGAAGCCCGCCTGCCCAGAATGTAATTGCCGATCAAATTTGCCATGATGTGATTCTAGAATAGCATTTCCAACTCGAAAAAGGTTATGAACAATCGAATGAGATTCAGCAGAGAAGGTATTAAACATGAAGCCGACCCTCAAACATCATATCAGGCTAAGCACGGATGCAGATATCAAGCCATGTTCAGTCATATCTTCCTTAATCCGAAAAATGGCGGAACGAAAGGAAACACTAGCAATCAACCTGCTGTGCACGAAATGATAACACGCTTTTTGCACCAATCGGGGTATAAAACCACCTGTACATCCCAGAAAGGAGCACACTGCGCCAAATCACCCAGAGGCTAAAACGGCTCAAAATCAAATCAAATCCCAAGCAAAAAAAAGGAGCTGGCGCCAAATGATATGATCAGATACACTCCCATTCTCCCCAAACGCACCATCTAGCACTCCGATCTGCCAGCACCAGCCCTCTCCAAACGCCCCGCTCGCTAACCTTGATGACCGTCTCCCAAACGCTCCCATCGGGAAGCCCATCGTTAGCCCATTCAGTAGCCATGCTTGTCGTAATCATATGATCCGCTTTTCTCGTCAGTCGTAAAATCTTGCCTGATGGAGTTTGTACCGCCAACTTTGCTGGTTTCTCGCGCGAACCGTGTCCCTTGCTGTTCACAGAAGTAGTCGATGCATTTGAAACAGTGGCGATGGAAGATACCATGCTGAGTGAGCTCGAGGGTCGAGCGAAAGGGTTCGGAGACACTCGACCACTCACTTCACTGAAACTTGCTGTTGTGGAGGGCGAATAGGCCGGATGCTGCCGAACGGCAAAGACAAACGTGTTATTGATGGCCAACCGCCCACATTGCGGCTGTATAACGTACAGGTCATGACGCTGTGCGTGAGGAGTTGGGTGACGAATAAGAAATTCATAAGGAGGGTTTTCACCAGTATGAAGGATTGGAATAGCAAAAGCCAGCGGATGTGGAATGTCTTTTGATGAGTGCATTAGACCTTTCTTCCCGGCATACACCTTCAGCACACCCTGTCCCTCATCGCCTGGCAGCACAGCTTTGACTGTGAATCGCTTCTGGCCGCGGAACCAATCAGCCTGGGTCAAGGCCTTTTTCTTTACCACGTCACCGCTCTCAAAACGGTCGCCATCTGCATCACAGGCGAATGCAATGGCTTCAACTTCCGCAATGCATTCCACATCAGGGGGAACATGAATACGAATCTGCACTGTCTCCAACCCATTTATCTGAAATAAGCTGGTATCATAATTCGGCAAGTGCATACCATTTTTGAAAAAGGCAGGGCAGGCACATGGAAGAGACAGTAGGATTGCAGGGTTAATCGGAGGGCAGACATGCTGATGCTCTGGGAGTAGGGGGATATGTGTGTAGCAAATCTCCATCGGTCGAGCGAGAAAATACCAGCTATCAGCAGCTTGAGGGTTCACGCTGGAATATAGGGATCTCCGCGGATGCGTCGGGCTGGCCAGCGAGCAATCCATGATTCTCCATTCTCCATCAATCAGAACCGCGTTCCACCAGTGATTCGGCCTAGAAAGACAGTCGAAATCTATAACTTCACCAGGGGTCTTCAAATATCCTCGCACAGCCTCAGCGTGGAGACCAACTGCAGCACACATTTCCATGATCAGTACCGCGACTTCCTGTGGACAACCTCGTTTCATGAGAATGACTCTTCGCAGGTCAACATCACCGTCCAGATCATCATCCCACGTTATCTTCTCGCTAACCCAGGTGAAAATAGCACGCAATCTCTGTGCATCGCTTCGGTACGGGCGACACACATATCCCTGAGCCAAGCTCGTAGGATTCATCATTGGCGGTAGGCTGGTGATGAATCGAGCACTTTTATCTACCAACTGCAGATTCAGATTATTCCAATTTGTCGGTTCAGCGATTGGTAAACCATCAATACCTTCGTCCCCCTCCGCGTTCTCGTGAAGTTCTTCCACCGGGGCTATCACCGGATGATCCATCATTTGGCATCGTTCGACTCGCTCAATGAGCTCATGCCGACTAGGAGTAGTTGCTCGATTAACATCTCTTCGGACTTGCACCCAATCATTCCCTCCAATACCCATTTCTTTTGAGGCATCTTTACCGTGCCGAGTAGGAGATAAGGAAGCGATGCCACTCTGGATCAAATTCTTTGTTGGGGATGATGGGCGCGATATTTGAGATGCCGCAATATTGCTCCTCGCAGTCGCAGCGCCGGTTTTCGCGGATTCTAAGATTTTCTTCAGGAAACCAGTTTTCTTTGATTTGGGCGTTGTGAGTCCTCCGAAAACGCCTGGAGAGTCGTTCCCTTTGTTATACTCGGACCATCCCATTGCAGATGTGGCGCCTTGTCGAGATGAATTGTGACTCGAATGATACGATATTCCTGTCAAAGGTGTTTGTGGCCTACTGCTTGTAGAGTTGCCTCTTTCTAAGCCATAAACTCCTCGAGACCGTGGGCGGTTTATCGGACTCCGTGGTCTATCCCCCGATATTCCAAATGCTTTAGTACGCCGGGCAAAGCTCGCTGCACTCGTTGCACTGAATCCACCCGCGGATGTACCGCTCATTAAGCTCTGGCTCGTTAATCCAGTGCTAGTAGTACTATTTGTCGCCACACTCTGGACGCCGCTCGAAGAATTGGTTGCCGTTGACTTGGTTGTGAATGTGCGGCCAAGATACGCGCTATTAAGTTCGCTAATTGACTTTCGGTTTCTAAGCGATCGTTGCCGTTGGGACATGAAGTCCTCGTTCCCCTGAGGGTCTTTCTTCGGTGGTGTAGGTGGCGGGAGGTGAAGCTCATCGCGATCTTCTTGCTCTTGCGCATGCAGCTGTCGCAGTCGACTCTCCATTCTTTCAACATAGTTACTGAGCTGTGGAGGGCCGTCATAATAGCGATTACTAGTATTGCTATTATTATGCTGATAAGAAAAGTCATCTTCCTGGGAAGGATCGTGACTACCAAGGCCCAAGGAAGTTAGCGGTCGCTCATTTCGGCCTCGGCCGGTATGCTCGTGTATTTGATCGAAAGCCTCCGGTGACCAGGGATTCATGGATGCATGAGGCGGAGGTTGGGGGGAATGGGCCCCACGATGGACGCCCATATCATGCAAGGAGGACATGACGTCTTCAATTGCATCCCTCAGCGGTGACGGCGTATTCACGTTAATAGGCGACTGCGGAAACGGGGAGGGCGTCCTTGGAGGATAATTATTTGGTACCTGGCTGTAGTATCGCGGTTGAGGTGATACAGAGCGCCTGTGGAGAATCCGATGCGGAGGCGGAGGTGGAGGGGGCGGAGACTCATCCCTTTCCGCTACTGGGGCCGGCGGAGGCGGCGGAGCGGGCGAAATAGCACGTGACGGAGGGCGGACGGGAGGTTCGCTGCGTCTCGCTGTGGGCGTGCGGTCGGGGTCCCGAGGCCTCTTTACAGGTTGCCTTTGGGTTGGTGTTTTTATAGGCGACACAGCTGGTTTTGATTGCGCAGAAAGGCTCCCTGACGGCCCAACCACCTCCTTGTAACCCTGAAACGGTTTCCTGAAAATTGTCTTTTGTTTCTTGGGGCCGCCGGCAGTGGAATTTGACGGAGTGACCTGCGCACTGGGCGGTAGCGGGCTTACGGAGCGGCTGCCGGGCACGAAATCCTCGAGGACCTTGACGAAATTCGACGGAAACACTCCCACCATGCGTGGATCGCGCTTCAAACGGCCCGTCCACCATGACCCGTCGCCGGCATTGAGACATTCAATCAAATCCCCTTCCACAAACCCCAAGTCGCGCTTGGTTTCTCCACCCCATGAGTATATAGCCCTACACCAACAAGGGAATTTCGTGGGTAGCTGAGAGGCTTCGGGAGCCATTGGAGGCGGTCAGGAGGTCAAGCGCGGGAAGGAGAAAAGGAATTCGGAGAGATGGAGATCGAGCAGCAATTGCATAACATGAGTGAGCGGCAGGCGAGATACTCAAGGTCATAATAGGGAATAGTTATTATTGCAAATAATACATGAGGGTACCTGGCAGTCAATTGAAAGCACCAACTCCGGTAACTAGCGAAAGACAGACTAGGCCAACCAAATGCAGCTTGAAGAAGGGAGAAGCAACAGGATCAAGAGACGATAAGGATGAGAAACCACGAGGCCATCGCAACAACCCGCTCACCCGAGCACATAAATCGCAGAGCTGGACAGGACAAGGAGCCGTGCTGCAGGTTGTTTGGCGGCATCACGGGGGTTTGTTTTGGTTTGTTTACGGGCTGCTGTTTTGGGCCTAGCGCCGCCTTATCGATAAAGCTTCGCGCAGCCCCTATTTAGTAGAGCTATTATTATTTTGATATTTTGATATTATTATGCTTCTTCTTCTTCATCAGCTGCTGGTTAGGTTTGAAATTGCTCTGGGCTGGGCTTCGGGCCCGCCGTCGTCGTCATGGAACGGTGCGACGCTCTTGGGTTGGCTCACGGACCATATGGCGTCCGGCTTCAACCATGGTAGGGGCCGCCCAGCTCCCCAAATAACCGCTGTTCGGCAGCCGATACCCACTGCGACTGTCTCTGGATGTCGACCGCGCTCAGGATGCCCGTCTCGCAGATGTAATGGTTGATATGGCTCGCAGGCACCCATTCGAAATACACGTTCTTCACCGTGACGACTTCGCTCCACGCCTCCTGTGATATGCTTTCACGCACCAAAGGCGCCCAGGCACTCGAAAGCTCCGCCGGGTCGTTATCCTCTTCGAGGTGTTCCTCCATCCTCCCTGGCTTTGCGACTTTTTCAAGGTCCGATAATGTAGCAATAACAGCATCCTTCGATACGCTCTTCGCGCACAAAACCGCAGGGAGACTGCCCGTCTTATTACTTACATCTCCGGATTCCGAGATCCGATCGGCGCCAATAAGGACAAGGTCGACATCTCGTGCAAGGATTGCAACGCTGGCATCGGATGCGACTTCAATTCTCAGATTACCGGTATACCCTTTGCTGGCTGCTTCCGCCGCAAGCATCCTTGCGAGCTCCGCCCCTTCGCACAGGGGACGAGACTCCATAATGCGGAGGTGGATCACCAGTTTCGCTTCGCGCTCGCAGACATTTGGTTGATGCTCAAGCTCAAGCAAGGTCATCAGAGCATCCTTGATAGTTGAACTCAGACTTAATGTCAACACCGTCACTTTGTGCTCACCCGGTTCAGCGGCGAATCTGCTTCGAATAAACTGTCGTAAATTCTGTCCGATCTGCGCGCCACCCTGCCTTCGTTCCCTCAAGTATTCCTCCATCTTTCGGATCCGATGGCTTATCAATTCTGTACCACGGGCCTGCTCCGGAGCGGAAGTAGCACTCTCAAATTCTCGCTGGGCGGCCTCACCTCGCTCCAGCGCGTTGACCACAGCAACTGTAATCGCAGCTCCCATGCTAGGTCTCCCATACGTAGATATTGCCCAGCCAGCCCTACGGACCGTAATCCACCAAGTCTGGTCTTTATCATCTGTTGTCGACTGCTCGTTAGCCAGACCATTACCAGCAACCCGCCCGATTCGCATCAGTAGGGCCACGGCCTTTGTCGCCAAAGCCTTTGCGCCACTGGTGTGGTCATTCCGTAGATCGCCAATGCCTTCCAGCAGTACGGTTTGCGATTCATCGTGCCATTGTTCTGTCGTTGGCGAGAGGCGACGATCGCTTGACGAAGAGACCAATCTCATCTGAGGCAGATCTGGTCGGTTTTGGTATAGATGCAGGGGAGCATTGGGGGGAGTTCTCATGGTCATGGTTCGGCTGCGTTTGGACGCAGGATATCGCAGTGAATGTCTTCAGTAGTTACCGGGATTGTGATAGTGGCCATTCGAGGCAACACAGCTTCATAAAGCGGAGGGCAGAGCTAGGTTCAGCGATGAGGCTGTCATGAAATCATCAACTGCTGGTTTGGCTGCCACTCCGTCTGGCTGGTGGTTGAACTTAACCATCCTGAATGCCTGTGACCTCCCTCTTTTCACACCTACAGTACAACCAACGCTCCCGTCTCGATGAAAAGATATTCCTGGCTTGAAAACAGAACAGACCGCGTTGGCTGATGACGACGAAGTCCGTGAGCCAGCAACGCCTTCATGCAGATGCCCAAACGAAATCTGCAACGCTCTTTGGAATCCCCTCCAGCCGAGATCCCTAGATTTGGTCTCGTCGTCAGCGCCATAGCGGCCCAGGATGAGCATGCGCGTCCCTCACGGGAAGCAAAGCCATGAACTTCATTTTCTGACGCTGGAGTTTTACATTGCCGAGGGAGTCACTCCTGTTTGACGAGTTTCCTGACCATCTCAGGAGCGAAACGGTGCTATATCTCCCCGGCCATGGTCTCGTCTCAAGACAAACTAAAGCTAACTAGTGACAGGGCACTGCTTTCTAAAACCCCCCCCCCCGAAGGCATGTTTCTGCGTTGCCGCCTCTGACAAGCATTCCAAGGCCGTGTCAAGCTTCACCAAGCGGTCCTGCCGAGTCTCGCGGATCGTGAAGATGCCTTCTAGACTCTTAACACGAACACGCCGTCTGCATGATGGTGACGACTTCAACAGTGCGACTGCTCCTGCTTCAAGCCCCCAAAGTCAGGCAGAGCGCTCGGATGCAGTCTGCGAGAGATACAGTAGCCGGCTTTATCTAGGCGGCCATTTGTCGCCCCGGGCCACGGACTATCTCTCTTTTCGTTCTTGTTCTCTTGTTGCTCTGTTCGAAAGGATTTGCATGTCCTTTGAAACTCGAAAGATTCTTTTAATTGTTTAATTTTCCGCTGCTGGTTCAGCGCTTGTTCCGCTATCTACTACTATCACATTCTGCCGGCCATGTCTTCATCAGGTGACTCCGCGGATGCGATCCGGAACCATTCCATTGCTTTTATCGGAGAGTTTGTCGGGAGCTTCATGTTCCTTTTCATGGCTTTTGCTGGCACACAGGTCGCCAATGAGAAAGCCGGCCCTGGAGTGGAAAGTTTACTCTATATCGCGGCCGCTTTTGGCGCTTCTGTGACTGTAAATGCGTGGATTTTCTTTCGTGTCAGTGGTTCGGCTTTTAATCCCGTTGTAAGTGAAGCATTTTCAAGATCTCCCGCTCCATGTCAGCTCCGTATTTGCGAGTTACTCACGAGACCCCTGGTTAGGCTTCCCTCTCCCTATGGCTTCTTGGTGCCATTCCCCTTGTCAGGGCCGTTGTGGCAAGCCTCGCTCATATGGTCGCTGGAGTTGCTGCCTCCGCGGTCGTGGCGGTTCTCTTCCCCGGTCCTTTGACCGTTCAAGCTCGACTGGGCCCAGATACAAGTGTCGTGCAAGGCCTCTTCGTCGAAGCCTTTTTGACTGCTCAGTTGATGCTTGCAGTCCTCATGTTAGCGCTTGAGAAACAAAGAGCAACGTATTTAGTACCTCTTGTGGTTGGCATTGCTGTTTTCATATGCGAAATTGCTGGTATGTTTTTTGTCAACCATCTCCTAATACTTGTGTATCGACAAAACTAATGAATTCGTAGGCGCCCGGTATAGCGGAGGAGCACTCAGCCCTGCGCGCGCATTTGGCCCTGACCTTGTCTTGGGCGACTTCGCTCCCTATCACTGGATCTATTGGGTGGGCCCTACTCTCGGCTCACTCATGGCCACTGGATTCTACTATCTCTTGAAACTGCTCAAGTATGAAACTTGTAATCCTGGAGCAGACTCTGACGGCCTGGAACGGTTTGACGATCTAGACTCGAAGGTATAGCCGGGTGCTTTATACTCGGAGCATTCAAGACTGGATTGCTTGAAGCATGTCTGTACTTGCGCTCAAAGTTGAAGATATTGATCGCTAATGTAGCTGACATTGTTGGACGCAATCCATATCACTGGCTTCTGGCTTAAAACAATTCTTCCGCCCCAGCTTTTGTTTTGACGTTGTATGTATGCACATTTAATATTACATGCATGTATCAAACAATCATCTGAAAGGCCTTCCATATATGGGACAAGGAGCGTGCTATGATCACTCAAGTAACAATAGTAGGATCGAGCAAGCCACATAAAAATCAAACTTCATTTTGACAGAAACACTATCCAGTTCAGAGGAGACCTTTGTATTTTGACATGGATCAGACTAAAACCCAAAATGCCGCCCAGCTAGATCCATAAAGGAACCTCCCATATTTCGTAGATTCATGGACATATCAACAATACTCCGTACCATCATCAAAACTCATGGCTCCACGCGAAATCTTAGGACACTTCCTCGTCCGAGATTGTTCGACCCGGTCGACGAATTTGGCGCTGGGCTTGCGGGACGGCTCATTCCAGCGAACTTGGGGCTCCGGGGCTGGGTGCTTGTTGATCGCGTAGCAGGCCGATTCTTTCTCAGATCCTTGACCTCCTCCTCCTTCATCATCAAAAGCTTCTCCCGTGACGCAAGTAACTTTTCTAGCTCTTGCACACGAGCAAGGTGCTCCTTTTCCGTGCTTTGCGTCCGCAGTTCTTTCAACCTGCTTGCTTCACCGCTAGATTTCCGTTTCAACTCCTCAACCTGCTCGCCAAGTTGACGCACTTCTATCCCCGATTGGGCTGCAGCGCTCGAGGCGTTTTGATATTGCTGTCGTGTAAATTCTGACTGTGAGCGTTCTTGTTGAGATACACGCTCTAACCTTGAATTTTCTTCTGACAGTTTGCGGATTTCCTCCTTAGCGTTTTCCAAATCTGCAGGCAAGCCTCCACCCTCCCGAATGGTTTGTCGAGCCTCCTCAAGGTCTTTAATCAAAGCAGACTTTTCATCCCTAAGCCTAGAGATTTCTTCCTTCTGCTTTTCTACTCGAGCTGCTGATCGTTTGGCGGATTCGGCAGTTTGGTTAAGTTCTCGACGAATCTTATGATATAGTTCATGTTTCGATTCATATCGATGTTGAAGGTTAGCAAAATTTGCTTCCACCGCTTGTAACCGGTTTTGTAAATCCTCCAGAGTTGCTCGGAGTTCCCTAGTCTCCGCATTCTCGGCGGTATCACTCTTACCCTGAGACTTCAAAGGGCTAGCCTCTTGGGTTCCTTGAGTTTGGCCTTTCATTGAGTCACTTATGTGAGTGATGTCCTGGAACGGCGTCATCCTCTGTCGCTTCGATGAGTTCTCAATATCAACTTCTTCTCCATCATCCTGGCCCTAGGTTAGTGCAACTCAATTTTTGAGCTGATAGACAACTCAACTTACCAGCCAACGCTTCTGTCTCGAAGCCGACATTGTGCGTAATTGCTCGGGTTCTAAAGAACTTTGCTCAGAAATTGGAATCCCCACCACCTCAACGTCTGGTAAAGTCCATTCTCTGGCGTCTGGGTCCGATAAGAGGTAACGGAGAGTCTCTTCAGCATTTTCCTGGACTCCAAGAGCGTCATCTTGAACTTCTCCCGCAACGCTGCTGTAGAAGTTTGTATATTTGACAAGTAGCCGAAGTTTGTCCAAATCGGAGAATTCGGGCAAACAAAGTGCGATATGCTCCGCAGTGTTAGAAATGATGAGTCTGACAACGGGAACGAGACGGTCAGGAGAAGAAGTAGTCCGCAATTGGATGACGGTAGGATCGCTCGCATTGAAAGAGCTATCCAAAGCAATAATTATCGAAGGCTCTTTGAAAGGTGTAGCTGTAGGGTCCCCTCCGGCCATGCGGAGTTCAAAACTAAGGTGACCAGATGTAAACACCGATTGCTGCTTTCCCGGTACCTCTGAAGGATTCTTTTCCAGTTGCTTGCCCAAAAAATATTTCGTTAAAATATCAATGGTGGTGCCGGGTTTTGCCATAACAATCACATGGATGGGGCGTGCCAAAGAAGCTTCCGAAACTGCATCTATAAAATACCCAAGGAACTGAAATTTAGAGCTTGAATATTCTGCCCAAGACGCTTCTTTTTCTACTTCCAGAGAGCCGCTGCTTGGTTGGTCGGGCAAATTCAGATCCGGGTGAGTGCTAATATTATCAAGCCTTTCTATCATTCGACGCATTTGCGGTGCAAGTGAATCCTACGTTCAATTAGAATGTGAAGGGAAAAGGGCGAGAATCATACCTCGATCTCTGCTCCTGTCGAACTTGCAGAACCAGCCACAAATTTCCGAATATTTTTGCTCATCTCTTCAAGAGTGTTATCATAATCATCTTTAACCCTGGAGTCCATAGAGAGAGGAATTGCAAATTCAAAGGACCCCAAAGAAACCCCTTTGTGTTCTTCCATCACCCGTTTCTCGAACGAGGCCCCATGGTCCAACTGCTGTGCCGCTAACTCTAACGACGCAGTCGGCGTTGATAGATTAGTTGTGCCCAGCTTCACTCCAGCTTCTCCTAATAATGCTGGCTGATCTGGGTTATAGTGCAAAGCCTGAGGGGCAACAAACGGAACGGGTGACGCAGTTTCGTGGCCTAATCTCGCTGGAGGGGCTTTATCGTGGCGGACACTCAAAGGTATAACGCCTTCTGCGGCCGTTGGAGGCGCAGACGGCTCAATATCTCCAGCAGAAGAAGGCGTTTCGCTCTCGGTGAGGCTTTGCAAAGGCTTAATGCTGGCACGCTCGGCTGCACGAAGGTAGGTCATCCTCTCAAGGAAAGTGGTCCCGGGATTATTGCGGGCGGCCTCTGCAACGCTTTGCGGTCGCTGCGAATCATTGCTCGCCGAGCCCTCCATGGTGTAAACCGAATATTCAGGACAATATGGGAAATCTTGTGAAAGCCTCAATGATCCCCTCTGGCTTGGAAATTGATGAGCCGTTCCCTGCTTCAGATAAAAAATCTCGATTGTGTTCCCGCTTTCCACGCTGTCTGGAATCGTCTGGGCTAATTGACCTCCCAACCTGGAATTTGCGGGTACTAAAGGAGATTCTTCGACAAAAGTTTGGGAATTTGGAAGCTCAGCCCCTCCGCCTAAAGAGTTAGAGTAGACAGTCTCCGGTATTGTACTCCTTGTTGAATAACTCAAACTTGCTGGCTGACAAAGAAGAGTTTTCCAACCTTAGATTATTTGTTAGTGATGGGAAATAGACATAAGGTCCAGAAAGGTTCCTCACCGGATGAACTACCAGGAGGATTGGAGGAGGTTAATGAACTAAATCCAGAGATACTGTCCTGAGTTTCTTGAGAAAGTCGGCCCCTTTCGCTTTTTTCTATCACAAAATGCGATGAAGGCGTCTCACCGATCTCTCGGGGGGCTTTACGGAGCTTAGCAGTGGGCTTTCTTTGGCTTCGGGAGGACGGTGTTGATAAAAGGGCCTGGGCGGGCTGTCGAAAACGAGAGGACCCTTTCGAAGACTGCTTGTTTGTAGACTTTGAACGCTGCGGCTTAAGAGTAGGTTCTTTTACTAACGATGAGACGTTCCCGGAACTGTTTGACGGCTGCGGGCTTGACCAATCGCTGTATTGCGATAGACCTCTGGGCTGTAATAGAGGACCTCCCAACCGTTCAGGCTGAGAAGATTTATAACTGTCTTCTAGGGCCTGTAGTTGAGCGCCTTGGCTACCGGTTACAATCCCAATTCCTGAAGGTTGGCTGATGAAGCCAACCGATTCTGACAGGTAGCTAGAGTTCTCACTCTTTGACTGTGAAAGTTGTCTTTGGCCTTGAATGGAAAATGTACTGGAAGATTGTGTCGATTCAATCTGGGAAGACGAGGTTCTAGCCGATGATACTCCTTGGGAGTGTATGGAGAAATCGGATTGCTGCGTAGGAGCAAAAGCACTCCCACTGCTTAACGAATTCTGACTCTCAGAAGGGACAGAGGACTTTGATGCTGAGGATTGGGATAAAGAGTTAATAAAGGTTGCCCGACAATTCCGAAGAGGTCTTTCTCTACGGTATCCAGCCGCTGACTGGCGTCTGTTTGCTTTTCTTGATTCCCAGACACGCACAGCAGCGTCGTTCACAAAATGCTTAGGCTCCTAGAGAAACAGATGGGTGTATGTTAGGAAAGTGATGCAAGCAGGGAGTATCAAAATGACTGTCCCGCCGTGCAGAGCTGGCAAAGGGGATAGCTTGTACATAAATCCAGGTATTGTGTTGACCTTACCCAGCTTGGGTCATAATCCCCTTCCCATGCAATTAAATACTTATCTCGTGACTCGTTAATGATGCACTTTATAGGATATTCGGTATCGCTATATTCAGATTCAAATTCAGTAGCTTTTGTGCTCGCGTGTCAGTAAGTGTAAGGGTGGCTGGGTGTAGTATCTTGGAGGCATTATACACACATTGAGTAAGGGTAGTCCCCCGGGTTCCCATTATGTTTTCAAGGGCAACACGCCATCTTCCCCGTGAAATTCAGGCGAGAATTGCTTGACGGTTACAAGGCAGAGGATTCCATCCAGTGTTATTGTTGTTGTAGGATGAACATCAACTGCAAGAAAGTTAACTAGTGACTATTTAACGGCTTGGGAACTCACGTGATGCTCAAGGAAGTGTCAGATCATAGAAGGAGTAAAGAATTACAGCGAGCATGCGCTAGAAGCCTACTTTGGCTCAAATGGCATGGGATGAATTTGTTATTGCTGGTAGCAGCACTTGATTGCACATACAGGGGATGTACCCTCGCCCCTAGAGCTATCTGAGACTATGCCATTGGAGCCTGTCTATATTGCCATAGTAATAGTCTTAGTTGAAATTGCAAAAGGTTCTATTGTGCAGCTCAGTTGAATGTAATACGCTAGTTTTGCCTTTGATCCCTCTTCCAAGCCTCAAAATCAAAGCCTAGGTCTTCCGGAAGGTAACAGGACTGCTTTTTCTCTCCCTGTGCTGCAAATGCTTGCTTGATCTGTGTAAAGCGTGACCTCAACCATTTCTCCTTCTCTCCCCAGCATGGGCCTTCTTTGCCCTGTCCGTCCTGGGCAAGGCCCGGTCGTCTTTCTGCAGTGGCGGCCCAATTATGGAGAAAGTTGAGATAATCTGCATCAAGCGGATATGCTAGAACGTGGAAACTTTTGCCTGAGCCACGTACAGCCTCATTGCGTTCTTCCCACGAATACATGGTCTCTTTGGACGGCAGAGTCAGTCTCCCTGCTAGAACTCGCGCAAAAACGGCGCTTTGAGCTTCGGCGATTGGGAATGGGATGACCTTTTGATTCAAAATTGGAAACACAAGGGTGGGGTGCTCGATATAAAACAAGTGCTCGTACACGTGAAGTGTCCTGCTTCCGTCTTCGACCACTGGAGGCTTCAAAGTCGAAAGAAACGGAAACGAATAGAGATATCCAGTGCAAAAAACAATCGCGTCAATATGCTCCTCTATGGTACCGTTGACAAATCGCACGGCTCGATCATATTCCCCAGGAGGCAGGAATTCTGCAATTGGGGGGTATTCCTTTCTATCGTCTGTGGCTTTGGTTGTGAAATAAGACTCGGATCTTGAGGATGAAAGTAGAGGTGCGGAACAGGTTTTGCTAATCTGGGCGCCAATGTCAATTCCAGATGCCGAATTCCCCACGACAATGACTTTCTTATTCCGGAAGGGTTCCGAGGAGCAATATGTCTTGGAGTGAGATATGATACCTGGGTACGCATCGTTCCAGGTTGGTATGCCAGAAATTGAAGGAACATAGGGTACATTATAATGACCATTTGCAACCACAACCGCGTCATAAGTATCTGTTTGTAACACTCCAGATTGGAGGTCTTTCCTAGTAACTGCCCAGGAATCAGGATCTTTATCCTTCAGTCGAACATCGACAACCTGAACGTGGAACTGTATTAAATGCTGCAGTTCTTGACTATACTTTTCAAGATAGTTGAGGACAGTCTCGAACTTTGGAAAAAGCTGGGTATCTTGGGCGAAAGGTAGATCTGTATACTGCATCAAGGTGCGTGGGATATTGGTCTCCAGGCCGTCATAAAGCGGGGAAATAAATGTTGCAACGCATCCGGACGTCCCGGCCGGATCTTGCGATCCTCGCGGATGCCAAATGGGTTCCTCGACCGGTGGGTTCGCATTCTCTTGAGGAACTGGGATCGATATCCGGGCCTTGTCGCTGGCAGGAGAATAGTTCCAAACGCCGCCCACACGATCGCGTTGCTCGAATATGTCAATTCTGTCAAAGTACCGCTCTGCCAGCAGATATCTATGTTCAAAGGTCAAAATGGATTATTCGTCCCCAGGAGAAGCCACAATATATGAGGTGTACTTTGCTGCTGTCAATCCGCCTGCGCCCGCCCCAATGATGGCCACCTTACGAATATTGGAGAAGGTTTGAGGCGACATCTTCGCTGATCGTCTTCGATGTTAAAGAGAGTACAGTTCAGCCATAGTCGCCATCGCCTTCGGTCTGTCTCTCCTTCACTCAATTCTCCCGCTGGCAACCCCTCGATGTCGTCGGCTTTCGGGCAAACCCGCGGTCGATCACCTGACCGTCCGGGTGATTAGTCATTGGGCTGGGCACCCATGAGTGACGTCAGTTACCCGGGCTCGCCGGATAAACAGAGGGTCCGATTACGCCAAGGCGCTAACAGAGCGCTAGCCAGATCACAAAAGTACTAAGCTGGAAACGGCTAGCGTCAACCACGCAGGCTGTCACTCAACGCCATCACGCGTCATGATTCTTGAAGCTCCCAGACATCCCATGAGCCTGGACTAGCAAAGAATGAGATGAAAATCATGCAGCTTTCCGATTCAACCGCCGCAACTGGACAATGGAACAGTTATTGCTGTCGTCGCTGCTGACGCCAATAGCCAGCCTCTCACCAAATATCGAGCACCTCGAACGACGGTATGTCCGCGCAGTCGTGATACTGTTATGGCCGTATTCCTCATCGACGAAACAATGTGGACTACTGCTTTCAGAGCCGGACTTTCGGTTACGCGGGTTAAAAGGCCAAATCAAAGCTATTTTTCATAATGGGGCAGCCGAGGCGGTCGCAAGATCTAAAATTGCGATCGGTGATATCATTTGCTTGAGCCTAGATCGCACCGCATGGAAAGCCTCTGATAATGGACGCTCGGACCCGGTGCATGGAACTGAATGGGATATTGAGTTTAGTGATCGTGTCTTGCTTGAGGTACCTAGGTCATTTTGATTCTGTGCTATCCCTAGTTTCGCTAACGAGTGCAAGGTTTATCGAGAATCGAAACACTTCGACACGGTTGACTTTACATCCATAACAATTGAACCCTTAGACGGGACTTTGCATAAGGCAACCTCTCAATCGCTCTTTCCAGTGCCCCGCTCACCCTCGCCGTTGAATGAAAACGGGCATATTTGGTCCTCGCCAGCTTTTGCCCGCTCGCTCCCGACCTCGATGATCACTGATGGAGTTGAAGAGGACGGCTTTATGCTAGGGAGAGGCAGGAAGCGCACGAAGTTTGGCCGGCTTAGCAGTGAATGGGTTTTCCTGGATTCACCCCCTAGTCCAATTGAAATTGATACCGGATCGCTCGAGGACGGTGTATCTGAAGATTCAAACGCTGAAGACCATGTTTCTACTGATATGCCCTCCCCACCAGTGGTCACTGGCACGAATAACCTTGCGGTTAACCAACAGGCCCAGGAGGAAGGATTACATCCAACTCCAAATCCAAGCAGCTCACCCAACTTTATGGCTACAGTGAGCCCTAGATCTCACGATGGAGTTACTCATGTTGATGAAATAGCAACTTCATCCGTAACGCCAAGTTTGAGTACATTGGACAGCGCTTCGTCCTTTGTTAACGCGCGCCGGACCGCATCAGAACCCGAACCCGCGCATGAGATTGTCCCTACAATAAGTAAGGCCAGCAAAGACCAACCCACAGAACATACACAAGCGGTCATCTCGCGTGATATGCTACCCGAGAACTCCGACATTGGGCGAATTGAGAAATCCCAGCAGTCTATCTTAGACTATCAGGAAAGTATTTCGAGATCACCGGTGCTTTCTATTCACCCCCCTTATGAAGTTACGATATCTAACGAAGGAATTTTTACCGGCGGTAATGATAGTACGCCTTCCCCTGGAGCCTCAGAGGATGTTGAAGAATACATCAGAAGTCCGTCTATCCCCGTTGGAGACTCGGAATCCGGTCACAGTCAATACTGGTCGGAACCTGCAGCTGAGGCAACTATGGAAAGAGACCTTGGGGAAACCGTGAGATTGGAGTCGGCGTGGGCAGAAAGCTGGGATGATGAATCGGAGGTTCCTACCAACGAGGAGATAGAATCCGTCTCATCCCGATTGTTATCAAATGACGAGGTCGAGCGACATTCTGAGAATGATTTCGGAACGTCGATTATCCATGATGACTTTAAGCATGAAATGCCCACCGGCACTTTCAACGGCACACCCTACCCCCAAGAGGTTATTGTTTTGGATAGCGACGATTCCGAATCGGATGCCAGTCATTCAGACGTTACCCCATCGAATGCTCCCCAAGATGGGATTGGAGATCGATTTCCAGAGGAAAGTGCTAGTAGGGACTCGTTTGTCTCAACTACTGATGTCGAATCCGAACCTCATCAGAGAGCTTTTTCAGTGGTATCTATGTCACAGGAAAAGGGGGATTCAGATTCAGAACCAGATGCGCAGGAGGGGCAGAATTTTATAAGAACCAATGAAATCCAACGCTGGAGCCGCTCTGCTTCATCAGCTAGCGAATCTGTGGGCGATATTGGGGAATCTAGCCTCCTTGGAACGGATTCTGAGATTAGCCCTGAATCGAAGGATCCGGTGTCGCATGCTGATAGCAGTTTTGCTATCGATCCTGCATTGTTCCTGGATGGGGCTGGTGCTGACCTACCCCTTGAACGACCAATCTATGGCAATATTCAAACTCTAACTCCAAGAGATACCCAGGAGACATGTACTTCGCATTATCAACCACCAGTGCCTACTGCGCGAGCTTCTCATGTCATGCCGACCCCCGAAATCTCACAAGAGACCCAAATTTCGAGACCTTCATTTTCATCGCTTTATGGTACGGAGACCGAGCCAACGTTCAATTCGGTTTTGGAGGGCTCTTTGGAGGGAATTCGCCCAAACATAGCCGAAATCCAGGATAATGCATTACAATCCCCAAACCGGGCCATTCGGAAAGGCGCCGCATTGCTGGAAAGAGACTCTCTGTTTGACGACGATGCACCACCCAAGGGTACAGATGCTGAAGATGCGAGTCACCGTAAGGCTTCCACGCAGGATCGTTCCCTCGAGCCCTCGTCTGTCGTATCTAGCCCAATCGCAGACACGCCCATCCAACACCACGGCCATCCCAGTGGTCACACGTCGGGGTTTCGCACAAAACTATCATATTTTTGCCCGCTGTCGCTCCTTGCTGGAAATTTCCACCAACCTACCGATACTATATCTGCCATCTTTTCAGTATCGCCCGTTTCGAAAGCAAGGGGCGTTCCATCTAATCATTTTATTACGTTACACATTACAGACTCGTCCATGGCCGGAGATCTTGTTTGTGCACAAGTATTTTGCAAATCTAAAACCCAGTTACCCGTTTGCACTCAGGGCGACATCATTCTGTTAAGAAATTTCAAAGTTCAGAGCATCGATCATAAAATGATGTTGAACAGCATGGACGACAGTTCTTGGGCAGTCTTCGTCCAGGGAGCGGTTGAAAACGTGCAGATGAATGGGGCGCCCGTCGAGTTTGCCGAAGAAGAGCGTGCTTATGTGGCTGGTCTGCGCCAGTGGTATTTGGATAGTGGTGCGGCCTTGGTTGCGAAGAAAATGCCGCGATCAGGAGATAGCAGAAGCGTGGAGACAAGCAGCAGCATCGCACCTAGTGAGAGCGGTAGCACATCAAGCCGAGGCCGAGGGGATATATTCAAAAAGTACCGCCGAAAGAGAAAATCTACTCCTCGACTCACTGTGCATGAATTGAGAGGCGGGAGGCGGTATTTGGATGTTGGGTCGCCGTCTGATAAAGAGAGCATACATGAGCTGAGAGATGGCACGGTATATGCTCATCTGTGAAACTGGTTGGCTGCACATTTGCGTTTTGGTCCTTTGGATAGTGAGATTTGGACGTGTCCTTCTTGGCTACAGGCAGTCCTGGATACCTTGGCACAGCACTCCGACGATACTAATTACGGACTTGAACTGGCCCAACAGTCCATAATATATTGGTCTCATGAAGCCAACCAAGAATTCAATATCCGAAATGAGAAAGTCGGTAATGCTCGCGGTTGAATGCCAGCAGTCTGACAGGTCAGAAATATATGGGCAACAATTGTTCAGTTTTATACCTGTCCACCATCTACGGAGTACACATAATCTAGATATAGCTTCAGAGGTACAAATTCTAAACCAGACAATTGTGCAGTCAGCATTATGATTGATCATAAGAAAAACACATTCGACGAAAACGAAGCAAAACCCCAAAAAGATCGCGGTCAGACTTTGCCATGCCTCTCCTCAAGCTCGACCAGCAACATGCCCCTCAAGTCAACGCAAGACCGGAGCAAGAGTGTACATGCGGTTGAGCACATTGGTTTACCAGAGCTGTTATCATTCTTCATCCCGACCCAGTACCTCCGCCACATGACCCAACCGTCGAGCAGCGAAGGGAGGTAAAAAGCAAGGAGAAAAAAAAAAAAAAACTGACAATTTCATCGAGTCAAGAACCACCCCACGCTAATCCATCCATCCATCCCATCCGCCGTAACTATACAGAGTATTTCTTCAAAGCGCGAAATAGGCTACTCCGTAAAATCTGTCCCTTCTCTCAGGTCATCAACATATCATGGGAAGCTCCGCGCAATGCAAGCCCTCGTGATGATGGTTTTTAAAGTGGGTAAATTGAACGAGTCAATTCAATCTCGACACACGCATCGGAATCGCCAGAGCAGTGGGAGAGAAATTCAAGCTGCCGCTGGTGATGATTTGAGTTGGAGGTCTTGGGTTTTTTTGAGAAGAGAAGAAAAGAGAAGAAACGAAGATCCGAAAGTTTTGTTTTCAAGAAGCCTGGGTGAGGCTAACCGTATGTAGTTAAAGTAAATTAGTCAGCGCGGCAACGGAATATCTACCATCCGGCTATCTAGATTTCAACTTTCGAATGAAGTCGCGATGAGAGACGCACGAGAATCGAGAGAGACTTACGAGAGAATTGAGAGCATAGGAACAGTTTTAATACCTTCAAATTCCTTTTTCAATGCCTATTACTATCTACCCAAGCCTGCCAATACCCAACTCCGAACCCAGGGCGCCCATTGCTATACCTAAAGAATTCTATCCTATCACGCATTTGCCGATGGTCATGACTTCGTAAACATTTCGCTGCCTGCTTAGCAGCAGAGGCTTCCATTAAGCTCGAGGGGTAAAAATCAATCCAAATCAATCCAAATCAATCCATCATACACTTCCTAAATGCACCGGGAATGTTATTGCGGTACCCCATTCTTCGAGCTCAGGGTGAGGTCCATTCTTTTCAGCGCCTCTTGAAGCCGCCACGGCTCAACGGAGAACGAAATGCGGGCCCAGCCTTTCCCCGGCGGCCTCCCGTAGTGATGCCTACCTGGGCTTACAAGCACTCCCCCGCCTCGCAATTTTTCGACCATGTCGTCTTCTTCGCTCCATGTCTTTGCTTTCGGCGCTAATTGGGCAAAAAGGTTCAAACCGGCTCCCACTGGGATGTATTTGATGTTTCGCTCAGTAAAGAACGTCGTGATGCAAATATAAGCCTCCGCAAGCCGCGCTGAACTCAATGCAATTAAAAATGGTAGGTTGGGCGATGATAGGATGTTCGTTGTGAGTATCGCAGATAGCGACGAGATCTCCGAATTCGGGCTCAGGGCGAGTCGGTTGATGAGTTTTGGGTTGTCCTGTGAGACAATGCATCCCTATCATCTGTCAGTGTCTGAAAGCGCCCCAAATTCAACCGGAGGTTTTTCTCCACAGGAAACCTACCAGTCGGAAACCGCTCGCACCGAATTCCACGCCAGTGCTCCATATAGTGTGTATTCGTGAGCGCTCGCATTTCAGCGCGCGCGTGTTCAAGGACAAAATAGAAACGAATGGAGCCGGGTCCGATACTTCCGCACAGGAGAATTCCGTCAATGCATATACCTCGTCGGAAATAAAATGAATATCTCGTTGCTGGCAGAATCTCAAGCAGGCCTCCAGGACTTCCTGCGGGTAGCATTGACCCAGCAACTTGTGGGGATTTGTCAAGACGAGCGCTTTGGTCGGACATGGAGCTTTGTCTATGGCAGCTGCCAGTGTTGATACGAATTTAGCCGCGGGCCCAAAGGAACCGGACATGTTGACTTCTAATGGTTGGACACCGGACCGGGCAAAGTGTTGTAGGTCAGAACCGGCTTCATCGTAGTAAGTTATCCGCATTTTTGACAAATAAGATCTTCGATCTTGGAATGCGAACCTGGAACCAAGACTCCGTCTCCCTTGTCACAAATGTCACATAATAGTGCATCGAGTGCATTCGCCTCCCCGGCGAAGGTGATGAGATGTGATGCTAGGACTGGGCTGAAAGGAGTAAAGTAATTGTTGAAGAATTTCGCGAGTGCCTCTAACAAGTTTGCATTTCCCGCTCCGTTTTCGAGTTTGGAGATATGCTGCACGCTCAAGAGTTAGGCTCTCCAGTACTCCCCGTGACGGCGATTTCGGACAACAAACCATGAGACTCACTTGAGACATTAAATTCCCGTTGACAGTGTTCTTGCAAATCGCGGCCAATTCGTCTCGGAGCAGATAATTTTCCTCTTTGCTCAGGTCGATGCTCGAGAGATCTCCATCCTGGCGCTCGTTCGAAGATTGAGAGTACGTAGACATTTTCCCTCTGGCGTATTTGGTTTCGTCCAGTGCAGACGTCCGGGCTGGCATCGTCTACCTTCGTCCAGGTGATGATGTATTGCAATGATTATGGTCTTGAAAAAAAAATATTCGCTCCCGGAGTGGGATCCATGGGAGACATATATACATCGAAGCCAAATGAAAGGGCCTGTCTTCCTCGTTGATTTTTTTTTGGCATAAAGGAAAGCCAATATGCACCTTGGCCACTGACCTTGTTACTTCAAGCGCGGGAACTCCGCTCCGGTGCTTCGCCTGTGGACAGATCAGTGGAGACCCTGTCATTCGTGCGTTATTACCTTTTCTTCGGACTTCATCGTTAGTTAACTAGCGAGTACACCGTCTGTGCTTGCAAACCTCAACGGGTAAATGAATCGTTGGCCCAATGGCCTTATTAAGCATTCTGGAATGGCGTCTGTTGCGGCATGCGCCTTCACCCGCATGCTTGAGTGGCTTCCAAAGACCACAAGGAACTGCTTATTCCTACAGGCTTTTCCCTCTCCTGGCTTCTGGGATGGCTTTTTCCAAGCTTTACCGCAAATAATAGCTCATACCGCACTGACGGAATCTGCTCCTGTCGCCGCCCAAGCGGACTCAAACAGTGAGATCCCCGCCTTCATCACGGAGCCATGCGAGCCAAGCAGTGTCAGATTGCCCATCTTGCATAACTTTGCTCTCCGGCCCCCAGTTGCGAGATGCACCAAGGTCCCAGCTGGCATCCGTCTTGAAAGCGCGACTAACCGAGAAAGGGGTTTGGGGACGCCCTATATGCACAGGAACAGCTTGAATAGGGCAACGCCAGAGAGGGCAGGTTTCGATGTTGACTCGTATACCATCTACAACGCGTCTCGGAACGCTCTTGTTTCTCGCGCAAGAGCACGCCGAAACAGCAAGTGCGTCCGCCCGCGGTCAAGAGTCAAGTAGTAAACTCGCCAACGGGCGCGGTGTCTGCAAATGGGTAGTTAACAAGTTACCTCTGTGACGCCTTGCCGGAGTATCCAGCCGGGCCTGCAGTCCCCGACGCGAAACAGAGTCGCCGACATCTCCGAGATGCGTGGCCTTAATAAAGGGTCACTGACGTAGCGCGTGTGTTTTCCATTTACCAAAACGAGACTTGTCGGCTGTCGATCACCACGTTCAGACACGGGCAAAAGGAAGCTCTTTCCTCAACAGTTCTTCTTCTTCTCTGCTCCTTCCCCCGCAATGCCTCGTATCTGCAACGCTCCTTCTCAGTGCGGTCGTGACGTTCCAAGTCCGCCGGAATAACTTTGCGCCGAATGCCCGTTGGTGGGGCCCGGCTTAAGGTTTGGTGGGTCTGTGGAACATCCCCAACAACGGGAAGGTGCCTTTGCTGTTTTGGGACAGTCGACGATTCTTGGGCGCTTCCCGTTCTGGAAAGCCGACGTTTTGCCCAGAACAGCAAGCTCGGGGCAGAATCGACCATTCCGCCGGCGGACTCGGTAAGCAGCCCGCACGTGTCTGGGTGACAGCAGCCGAACATGGTGACTCAGCCATCTGCTGCCATTTCTCCTTCCAGAGCCTGGCGTCGACGCCTGAGGTTTGAACTTTGCAGGCCTTCCTGCTGCCTGCAGTCCGCCTGTTACCTTCTATGTGCCTTCATCCCAGATCACGTCAGTCCGGCTGTTCCCGCTGTCGCTTCGGGTTACCCAGGGCTGAAACACAACGAGCCCAATCGCGATGCTTTGCCGTCTAGATACCCCCGTACGATGTCCGACGCTAGGCAGTGAACGTGAGCCGCGGGGCGCATTGGATACGAACGAAGGGACAGTTTTGGATGCCAACCTTCAGTTCAATCTGGCTGTTGGTAACTCCCGTTGGTTCCAGGCTGTTGGGACGGCATCGAACACTGCGACCCGGGCTCGAAAGGGCTTCCATGTCCGCGATCTCGTCTTGCGGATCAAACGTCTGCCGTGGAGTGCTACCTTTTCATTAGTGCTCGACAGATTGCTAGTCTGTGACCTGAAAGAGGGAACTGGAGCATGGACCGGATAACTCTCCTGCGACGTCCAGCAGCAAGCATTCGCCTGATATAGAATGTCTTCGCAGCAGGATGCCATATAAGAAACCCAAAGAACCATTGTTGTCGTTATCCCAGGCCAAGGCATGCCCTTTGACAGGAATCCTACAGGGCATAACGCCTTGCATGGATCCAAGCTGGCTCTCCTTTTGGAAAATGATGATGGTGGATGATTTGGCGGTGACTCGCAGGAGATGTCGAGTGTCCATGCCGCGCACCCGGAATGCCCTGGAACAGTCAGTCCAGCCTGACTTGAAACAGAATGAATCGCGATCATCTATTTCAGCTACTCTTGCTTCATAATAAGCGACACAAATGGACAGTTATGAGCCGTTGGACAATTTATAAACTGCATGCAGCAACACCAGGCTTACACAACGCGGGCATAACATGGTGGGACGTTGGACAAAGCCAGGCACAGGATACTTAAACACGGTTGCAAAACGAACCCCGAATATTCCAAGCTCCAAATAAAGTCAATCCGTAAACCAGAGCAAAAATTTACAAATCAAGCTGCAGCGTTATGTCTACAAAGGGGGAGTGACACAGCTTAGGATGTGGTTACCGAAAAGGCCCCTTGTAATGTTTGTTGGCTCAAGAAGGACTGAGACACCCATTCCACAGACTTTCTTTATAGGACCTGTAAACTGTGGGATTCCAATGAATAGCTCTCTAGGTTGACAGACTAAGAACCCCTTCGTTCGTAGTTTTCATTTTGCGAACATAGAAAGTCCACCAGCAATAGCGGAAGTCAGCATGGCATTTCACCTATCTGGAGTTCCTGGGATCATTCTTCACCTTTGCGCCAAAAAGAAAAGCTTCGGTTTCTGCCAACAGTCATTGAAAAGCTGCTGTGATAACACAAAAAACACAATTCACGCCCGAACCGCGCCTAGTGGTCGCACTAGTCCCTAAGAAGGATGGTGCCTGGGCCAGCCGACAGGCGCGCGCTTAGCTAAGCCTGATTACAGCAAAAGCTTGACGTTCCATCGCTGAAACCCCGACTTTGGCCAGTAACTGAGCAAGCAAAGCACTTTTGACATTCCACCCTCTCTGAAGCTGTTCCTCTTCCTGTTTGTTTCTTTGTATAACGCCGACATCTTTTGATATCTTCCTGCTGGACTTTGCCGTTTAACGCCCGTTTTATGAAATTCCCCCGATCGCTATTTTGACGCCACTTCCTCCGTCTGTCGCATCCCGCTTCCTTCGCCCTTCCATTCGTAGCCACGCTTTGATGATCTTTTGACCGCTTTCTTCGTTTCTTCGCTCGAATTCCGATATTTATTTTTCAAATGGAGAACGCAAACTTATGGACTCGAAGAGCGAAGTATGTTGATTCATCCCAATCCACCCTGCCTTTGATTTTTTTTTTTTCCCCCTTTGGCGCCGCCGCCGGAAGAGAAAGAACAAAAATAAAATATAAAAAAAAACTAATCCTACCCTAGCTCTAGCAGGCTTTCTTTGTCAACGGCTGAGAACCGGGACTCACATGCAAGATCCGATTCCCCGCGCGGCTCGTCGAAAAGATTTGGCGGTGACGGCCACGGTCGTTCAAACCCCTTCAACGCGATCTCGCCTCTCTCCGCGAGCGTCTCTTCACCTTCTACCAACGCCTCCTCTGCCTTTGGCCTTGGCTCTGGAGCGTTCGCTTCATTCGGGTCGGCGACGAAGACTCCAAAGACACCGAGTGCTTTTGACTTTGGTTCGAAAGCTCGGTCCGAAAAGCAGGAAGGGGAACAGAGTGGAGTTGGGGTTTCGAAGAGTGTGAAATCGAAGGGCTCGTCGTCTTCTCTCAATAGTACAGGGACCCCCGACGCGAAGGAGCATTTATTAAAGTCGACATGGGTTGTCTGGTACCGCCCCCCTACACCAAAATATTCCGATTACGAAAAGTCTACAATTGCCTTGGCGTCGATATCTTCTGTTGAGAGCTTCTGGGCTGTTTATTCGCACCTTAAAAGACCTTCTCTTCTGCCTACGGTTTCCGATTATCACATCTTTAAGAAGGGCATTCGCCCGGTATGGGAGGACCAAGCGAACAAAAAGGGTGGAAAATGGATTGTGAGACTAAAGAAGGGGGTCGCAGATCGTTATTGGGAAGAGCTTCTTTTAGCCATGATCGGTGATCAGTTTGCTGAGGCTAGCGATGAGGTTTGTGGTGCTGTTCTCAGTGTCCGGAGTGGGGAGGATGTCTTGAGCGTCTGGACTAGAATTGATGGAGGCCGTAACATTAAAATTAGGTGGGTTGATTGAAGCCCCTACATCCAAGCATCTCCCTTTGTGTACAGCGCGCCCTAACAAGCTCCAGGGAAACAATGAAACGGCTATTGAATTTCCCGGCGGATACCAACATCGTGTGGAAGAGTCACGATGACAGTATAGCCCAGAGAACCGCCATTGACCAGGCTCGGCAGGACAAAGCCTCTGGGAATTCCAATCATCACCAAGGCTCTGACCGTCGACGTGGGACCCATCTTGACGATTCTACCGGAGACAAGGGAAAGGGTTCGACCTCTTGAAACGGCAGGGGATTTGCCAGAGCATCTTCTATTTTTGATTCATGTATAAGTAGCTAGTAGTTCTTCTTGGTTTTCTGACTGATGTTTTCAAGCCTTGAAAGCATTATTCTGTCACGCGGATTGTTATGGATCCCTGACATTATTGTGAAAATGTTCAGCTTGAATGATATCCTCCATTGATAAAAGCCGTAAATATGAGAAATTCCCGACAATCCATGAGTGCAAATCGCCGTTCTTCTTTGTGGTTCTTAATTGGTTTTTTTGACGCGGTGGGAGAAGTGCATTGCAAGTGGCGCGTGTGGTCGACTTAGTTTAAGTGGTGAACATGGCTGATGAAATCACTGCCTCAAGTTGCTTTCTCAACCTCGCCAACCCAAACGCCTGCTTGCTCAGTGTCGCCCGCTTCCCTTCTTTTAACACAAGTTTGCCTTTCAATCCCCAGGTCTATTTAAACTAATGCGAAAGCAACACTCCCTCAGCTAATAGACCTCTATGAATTGCGATTTGCTTGCATCCCAACCACCTCGCCCAGTCCCCGTCTCCCACCACGCCAGTCCTCGCATTTCTACTACGTACGAGACCCATGACACCAGAAAAGGGCTTTAGTCATAGGTCCAGATGTTCAAGGTGAGGAAAAAAGGCAATTTTCTGAATAGTTCCGGCAACCATGCCTGTTACACATTTGGTGGGCTCGACGGAGCGTCCACTGTGCGGTTCCTGTTTGCTGCGGTTCTAACCCGCATTTAACCCTTGGCCGTTCCGGTGCTGATTGGCCTGGTTTATTGGATTATATAGGATATCCCCAAACCGAAATCTTTCCATGCGTCCTCACAACAAAAGCCTGGCTTCGGATACGTTAATGAGAAGCGAGACAGGTACATCCCCTCACGGTACAGGATCCGGGGCAAGAATGGGGAAGCTTATACAGGGCAGATATAGCCGAGTCCCCAGCGAGGGTGAAAAGAAGCAACTTGCGGACGAGCGAAGACTGTTTGGAGACTATGTGTATGTACATCAGACGAGACCGTCGACGGCTAGACAGTGGAAGTGTGCATATTAACGGATTTTTAGCCCTATCCATGACCCCGGGAGCGTGAGGATAAGCATTCCCGGAACGTCTACCGCCAATAAGCCCAAGCCCGCTTCAGCGGCTAAGGTACGCCGGCCCTCTGGTCTGGTATTTCATTGCATGCGGGGCTGATGGGTTTGTTTTTCAGTCGTTTTCAGTTTTTAAGCCAACTAATACGCTCGGTACACGCCCAAGTAAACCCGCTCCTCGCCCAGCAAACAGCAATATCTACAGCCCATATTTTTGTTCGAAACCTATACTTGAAACCTCACCCACCAGCGATCACAGCGAGCGTCCGCGGAAAAAGCAAAAGACAGAAACGTCAAAGGACGTCATAGAATTGGACGATGAGAAAACTACCGGTCCTGCACCTTCGCTAACTAAACTTGTATCTCCTATTCGCTCTCCCGTTCGAAGTCCAGCGTACCAGAAGCAGAGAGCGATTCCGTCAACGAGTGAATATTGGGAGACCGAGAAAGCCACGCACCCCTCTACGCTTCCGGTTAAAAGTAAGAAAGGATGGGTAGGGCGCGTGGGGGATGATCCTGAGGAATTTGACGTGGAATCATTTGTCAAGGAAGCAACAAAAGAGCGCAAACGTACGACATCTAGGAACAAGAGTAAGGCCCTCTTGCCCGAAACAAACGCGAAAATGGGTTCGTTCATGTCGGCTATGGAAGCCTCCATGTCTTCCAGAGACTCGGGTCGAATTGATGGTGACGGCGCTATATCGGAGTCCGAAGAACGCAGGCTGGTGCAAAGAGAAAGCCCAGATGAGCTTCAAGGCGAAACAACTGTGGATGACTCGTGGCGTAAAAACGCTGAAAGGATAGTTTCACCAAGTAATATTCGCCCAACATCATTTCCAGCAGTCCAGAAGAATCGGAAAGAACCTAGAAGACAAAGTTCGCGAGAATCAACGTTCTCTGTCTGTCTGTTCCGTTACGGAGATGATGAAATGACTGGAACCATGCGACTTATTGTGGACAGAAAAAGAGTGACTTTGTCGCTGAAGCCCTCCCAGAATTCAGCTAATGCCAAATCCTACGACATCAAGAAGACAATATCTGTCTACTACGATGAAAAAGATAACCTCCCGAAGCTTCGGCTTAAGTTCTCGAAAGCAAAAGATACAGCGGACAGTGCTGATATGATATTTCTTACCGGGAAAGATCGCAGTCGTTTCTGCCTTTTGATTAAAACGTTAGTCCCGAGTATCAAGGAGCAAGTTAAGGAAAGGTACTCATATGCTGCATCTACGTTGGTTTCATGGAGGGCTAACCTTTCCTAGTTGGTGGATGGATAAAATGTTCAGTCTCGCAACGCCTACCGAAACGATCGACGAGCCTCCTTCCAGGCTCAAGCGTCATCCTCTAAAGGAGATATCTTCTGACAAAGAGGACAAGATCTCACAAACCCCAAACCAGAAACGGGTCAAGCTAAGCGATTCCCTTGTGAATGGATCTGCCGACCGTTCCGCAGAGACGACTGCCCCAGGAAAAATGCAAAGGATTGAAAGCGTTTGTATCCCGAGGGCGCAGGATTCTCGCGTAGAATCATTTGATTCTTTTAGTCATTCTCACCCTAAGGCTGTTAACTCGGGAGAAGCGGTACGAATTCCTGTTAAAACCTATAAATCGCCTAGAACTACGGTTCATGCGACCCGATCGAAAACGCGCAGGCAGCGTGCAGATATTGACAGGTGCGTTGTTTTGCCTCTTGACAACCTTTCAAATCTGCTCGGTCTGACTTTCTGACTAGTGACGGCGATGTACCATCGGAATCGTCTTATGGACGAGGCCAGTGGAAAAGGTGGAGCAAGTAAGTGACAACCCAGAATCAAATCTCGAATGTTATTAACTAGGGTTAGGCCACTTCTGTATCCCAAAGTTGGCAAGAAGAGGGCGGAAGTCGAAGCGCACGATCTAGCACGCTTGAAAGACGGTGAGTTCTTAAACGACAATCTTATAGAGCTCTATATTCGTTTCCTGGAACATCATCTGGAGCGGCAGCATCCAGAAACCTTCAAACGAATGTACTTTTTCAATTCTTTTTTCTATGCCAGCTTGACGAATACTTCAAGGGGCAAAAAAGGAATCAATTATCTCGGAGTGGAAAAATGGACGAGGTCCGTGGATATATTCAGCCGCGATTATGTTGTGGTCCCGATAAATGAGAACGCCCATTGGTATATGGCGATTATATGTAACTTGCCGGCGCTATTTGACTCAGCCCCCAAGAAGCAAAAGAGTGTTCAGGAAACTATGGCCCGCGATGAAGAAAATGCGAGTGGAGAACATGAAACTTCCAACCTTCATACCACGGATGATGGCCATGAAACCCCTCATAGCACATCTAGTGACGAGCAATCGGATATTGGTAAGGATAGGAACCTTACAAAATCTTTTGGTTCAATGGCCTTATCAGATAAAACTACAGAATCACCCTTCGGGGTCACTGAATCTCCGAGAGAAACTGAACTCACGGACAAAGATGAATGGCCAAATGATGATGAATATTCAGCATTGATTTCAAGAACGAAACAACCTGCTATGGAGAGAAGTTTGGATGAAAAAACCAGCAAATCGAAGTCAAAAAAGAAACGTGGCCAAAAACACCCCCCTCTACAGAAATACGAGACGAAGCAACCTATTATTATAACATTTGATTCACTAGGGTGTTCCAGGTCTCCAACCTCGCGGACACTACGAGAGTATCTCGAGGAAGAGGCGAAATCTAAACGGGCCGTTGATATTGATGTCAAGGAGGTCAAAGGAATGACAGCAAAACAGATTCCGCTGCAGCCCAATTTCTCTGATTGTGGCCTTTACCTCCTAGCGTACCTTGAGAAATTTGTTCAAGATCCCGACTCTTTTGTCAAGAAGTTGTTACAGAGAGAAATGGATGCGAAGAACGACTGGCCAAATTTGAGATCAGGTGTACTTCGTCGTCGGTTACGTGGCTTCCTCGATCAGCTCTATGAAGAGGAAAGCGGGAAACAGGATGGGCCACTGCTGGTCGATTCTAAGCCGTTGAATATTTTATTGGTTGATGCAGATGCCGATAAGCGGAAGAGTCAATCGAAAAACTGTTCAGAGGCATCAACATCATCGCCGAAACCACTTGAAGCACCTCAAGCCTCGCTTCATAAGGAGGCTCTTAGACCTCTTGCGGATCATGACGGACCCCAAGGAGACAGGCGGGCCCGAAAGGTGTCGCGGCCAACAACTCCAGTAAAAGGGTCTCTATCGTCTCGCGGAAAAGAAGCAAAAAGCGACTCGGGTCTAGTGGATATCACTATTGGCACGGAGCCGCCTAAGTCTCCCGATTCGCTCCTTAATGATATCGAAGCAGCTGTTTGGTCAGGGTCGACCGACCGCAAACCTCAGAAGTACAAATCTATAGTGGAAATTCCTAGGACCCCGTCTCCCGAGGTTCAGAGTATACAAAGGGATCGAAGCAGCAGTGAGCGCATCTTGAACAGTCCCTTGTTGTCGAGCCCCTCGAAGCGGGTGAAACGGAGCCGTTAGAGCATGCCCGTCCAAGCGTCGCCCGCCGTATCTTTTATTATGTCTTAAAATTCAGCCATTAAAGTGCATGGGTAGCAAGGTTGTTTGTATTTTATTTGGTTTGTGTGCATGGCGCCTATACAATCGTACTGCATGTCTGGCGGATAGACCTGAGGATTTGTCTGGAGTATTTGTGGTTAATTTTCCATTTGCATCTGCAGGAGTAACTACGCGAATGTTGGGAGGTAGGCTGGGTTCTCGACTATTATCGCCTTGTATATATACCTCTATCTATTGAACCGCATGGATTAGCATCCCGCTCCTCCTCAGCTTCGTGTTCCTCCCTGGCTTCCTCCCCTCGAGGGCGGAGCGGGCGCCAAGGCCGGCCCTGGGCTCCAAAGCTTGTCTTATCAATCTGGCCAGAGTGCCAACACCAGCTTCAGCATCAACAGCGAGGAAGCACAAGCAGCGCAATCCCCTCGGAAGTCACAAAAGAAAACAGCAGAATACAAGCGCTGCTTTCTTCCTCGTCTCTCTAAAATTCCAATTGTTTTTTTGCTGTTGACTTGGTGTTCTTCTTTTTGTTTTTCTTTTTGGCATAATGCATTCAGCGCTCAATCGCTTCCAAGGCGTGTTCGGCTTCTTCACCACTGTCGCCCTGGTGCTGGGGCTACTAACGTCGCTTTCTGTGGTGCTACACCCCGCTGAGCCGGTCACGAATATCGAGCTGTCAAATATCAAAGTGTAAGATATCTTCCTGCGATTCGCGACCGGAATGCTTCTTCCGAGTTAACGACCCTTTTTTCGAACAGTATCAAAGGCCGCCCGCACTATTACTCCGTAAAACGAGAAGAATATGCCCAGATTAGATTCAATCTAGACGCCGGTAAGATTTTTCCCCTAACGCCAGCCTTCCTCCCTCCGCCCAGCGAGCCAGCGCTAACTCGTGGCCCATTTCAGACCTCTCATCGCTTTTCAACTGGAACACCAAGCAACTTTTCGTCTACGTCCTGGCGTCTTACCCCTCCGCTACCTCTACGAGCAGCTCCTCGTCCTCCTCATCTTCCTCTACCAAAAACCTCACGACCACCACCGAATCCATCATCTGGGACACCATCATCCCCGCACGCGTTTCTCCATACTCTTTCTCCTCGCTGAAATCTCGTCTATTGCCCTCCTCCTCCTCCGCCAGCGCTACTAAGAAGCGCCGTAATTCGAATAGCAGTAGCAATAACACAAAGAAAGATGAAAAGGTCCCTGGCAAAATCAGGCTACGCAATCAAAAGCCCAAGTATCAGATCACTGATATCTCAGGAGCTATTGCTGAAAGGCAAAATGCCACGCTAATAGTGGGATGGAACGTTCAGCCATGGATTGGTGCACTGCAGTGGAGTTCAGGGACAAATATTGAAACTAACCTTGGTGGAATTTTCGGGAAAATCTTCATTCCACGTCCACGGGCGGGCAGAAGTAAACCCTTCGATTTCCCTGAGTTAAAAGGCAAAGTAAAGGCATCCCCTCAAGGGACTGGTTCCAGTTCGTCGTAGTCGATTGCTTATAACTCGATTTTACTTTCTATAGATTCACCATGTAACCGAATAATGGGATACTTGAGGGGTTTCATCGTTCTCAATGAGCTGTCAGCAGCATTAAGACACCTAATAAGCACTACGAGGTCGGCGTATGTACACGTAGATACATATCTAAACCAAGCCCTTGACAGCGCCACCAAGGTTATGCTACCCCATGCCTAGTGAACTAGAGAAGAGCTCAAGAGTGTGGAGAATGATCGTTTGTGGCCCTGTAGAGCCCAGTATCGAGGGCCTATGCCGACGTTTCGATATCGTCACTATGTGAGGTTGCTGACAAGTATAAATAGGGCAGTCGAATCATCGAACCCGATCCGTATAGGTGGGAGTCAACTTTTAGGTCAAGGGAGCGGGCTTGAGTGCAATATCAAACTTTCAACAGCGTTCGATACGGACAACAGGACATCCGATAATAGGCAGCATTATTTTGACATCCGTCTCCCGCAACAACTTAGGAACACCCGTTCTCAAACCGAAATTCGAATCTCTCTCTCTCTAAACATTCGCCGCCGGCCGACTTTTATTCTGCACTGGGGTATTAGGGCGATTTGCTCCAGCAGGAGGGGCTTGAGGGGGGGGATGGGAGTGTTCCCTCGTGACATCGCCGCCATTCTGGATGCGTCTCGAGAATATTCCCGGAGCCGGTTTGGTGACGAGACGGCCGGCATGGCCTCTTGCTCGACGGTCATAGTACACATATTCGCAGTAAAAAGCGTGGATGTGACCGGGGAAATATCTGCAACGAGCTTCAGTATCAGAAAAATCATAGCCTCTCCTGCGAAAATGCATGGCATACCCGAGCAAGGTCAATGTTATATTGATCAGAAGATCCGCTGAGCAGCCACTGACGAAGAACACGCCGATCGGGGGAACTAAGTATCGAGCGTTAAATCACCGATAAGCTTCCCAGTTGAATACTCAGGACATACGCAGCAGAGTCGAGATGATGAGAATGACGGTAGCACAGTATTCAGACATTTTCGTAATCCAGAAGCGCACGAATCGGCTTGAGAATACGTAAAGTTGGGCTGAATATCGACAAGGCCGCAAGTTACTTTCTGGAGGCCAATGATAAGAAAATAACGTATACTGATAAACGAACGTTGTGCCGACGAAAAAACGATAGTAGCGAAGAAAGCAAAAGATAGGGAAGAATCCTAAGTTGAGTGTTGGCTCCGAGCAACGATCGGCCTTTCTCTGGTGTGACGGTGTTGGATGGAGGAAGCCACCATCCGGCGACAGGAAGCCGAGATTCAGGTCACTGAATGTAGGGGACATGGGAATATCTTCTGGAACTAATTCTCATGCAAAAAGTAAACGAAAGTACGTATATACATACATACGTTCCAATCTTGAAGTAGTGTCTGATACAGGAAAGTTGACAATGATAGTGATAACGCTTCACCACAGCTGCGAGGGCTAGGAAATGATAATACGAAATCATGCACTAGAATGGCAGCATTCCGGTCTTGGATGCCCGTGCTCCTCGATGGTATAGTCTGACCCATAGTCGTCATCATCCTCAAAAATGCTCCCGCTATCCAATGAATCGGCGAAGCATGAAACAAAAAAGCTTTCATCATCCGCATTAAAAGACTCGAGCTCCTGTTTGGACTTGTTTCTCAGCATCTGTACAAATGAAGCTCGTTCTTCACGGCCGATTAGCCAAGGATATCCCTCCCATGGTTCTTTACTCTCCTTACGCCGAATGCCCTGTTCTGATATCGGCGGCGTCAAAAGACCATGTGATATTATGGCATAATCTCCCGCTCGCGAAAGCTCGTCCCGTTTTCTCCTGTAAACGGGACTATTAGAGCCATCAACGCTGTCTAACTCAAGCGGAGAGTCGCCCTCGACATAAGAATATGGGCTCCACCCAGCATCCGGGACAAAGCTCACACCACTGTCCGCCCGATTACGTCCTCCCTCAAATAAAACGGGAGTATAGAGTTGCTTTTGCACTTGTTCAGTGACCACGGGCTCTGGTAAAGAATGGTCATCGTTCCGCACTTGCTTAACTTTGTCCAAGAATGTTGAGTCTATCTTCGAGGAATTATTCTGTTTCGAATTCAGGCCACTAGCCGCAATCCCCCACGGGAGGAACTCTGTAAAAGGAAAGCCAGTATAGAACGAGTGAGATAGGGGCGCTGAAGGCCACTCGTAAGTGGACATGAATGTTTCATTTCTCCCTTCAACATTAGTTTCCGAACAATATATACCGCTAAACAACGAGCAGCTGTCCTTAACCACCGGTGGAGAGCGGCAGACACAATCCCCCGTAGGTCTCAAAATTTCTGAAGGCCTTGCCGGCTGCAGGGCCGGCTTTGATTGAGCAACGTGGCTCATCTTGTCGCTCGGTTCTGTGGAAGAGCCGTCGCAATTCCCCGGTGAAGTCTTCCCATCCTCCGGTTTTGTAGCAGGAAAGTCCGGAACTCTTCCATACTGAGTCGATTGCTCCCCGTCCGCTTCACTGGAATCTGAAAAATCCGATAGCCCACGACTTGGAACTTCATTGAGGCTAGAAGACGCTGAGTTATCCAACTCCATGATATGAGCCCTTTTAGAAACATTGATTGCAACTCTAACTCTGATTGTCTGCTTGAAACGCGCTTGGGCGGTAAAACATTGAGTGAGGGTGGCTTTGACTGTAAAATGAAGTATGTAGCAGGTAGGACCCCTGTCTTCCGCAAATTCAAATGGGTCGGCGTTTGGGTGCAGGTTACGCTCTGTAACATCAGAAACGAACGGCACGATACCTGAAAAGCTGCCAGTCTCGGGATTCCAATGAAGCCAGGACGCCGCCGTTGAAAAATGGATATGTTGATGTCGCTCGCTTATAAGGGCAGAACAGCTGCGGGATGGCGCAAGGTATCGTGGGACCAATTGAAGTTCGTCCCCCTCGATAACAGGGTGGTCGAATGGTTCGAATGTTATTTTGTCAGGGTTCCAGATTGCTTCCACTGGGTGTTCGTCAGTCTGAATTGAATGCTTTAGTTGGGTTGGCATTTTGAACCCAATACGGAGCTCTCCGGGGTCGGATCCAGTTTGAATAAAACAGTCATGAAGTCGAATGAGCTCCCCCAATAGATCGGACATATGCCCAGTAGAAGCAAACCAATTGAAAGGATTATGGCACTGTTTACAAAGATGCTTGGTTGCCAGTACCACATCTGCCAACCTGATGGCTACATGGAAAAGCTTTGGCTGCTTTTCTCGTAAGCTCGTCTCCATGTCTGGAGGTCTTTCGAGAGTGAATTTGTCCACATAGCGAATCTCTTCGTGCAATAAGTGTATGAGTGCCGTCCGGAAATGCTTCTCCCAGAATAAGATTTCATCCGCTTGGTCCGTTGTAAGGCCTAACCAGGCCTTAGTGATATCAAGATGCTCCACTCGCGGCGCCCTCCGAAGAGCTAGCATGTCGGGCGGAGCGAAACCACCATTATTATACTGATAGATTTGCGGAGAATATATATCAGCCAGGGAGCTGAAGCTGGGAAACGAGTTTCCAACTAAAAGATAGGCTTTCTTAGGTATGCGTTCACTGAAAAAAGGGCTCATGTCGTCGCAGCCTGGGCTATCATTGCGAAAGGTGGCCTATGAATATCAACAACCAGGAACCTGAAAGATATCAATCGATAAAACCAGAGTATGCTAACCTGGATGTTTGAAACCGGGCCGAAAATAGACTCCCGCGTTAATTTGTCTGACTTTCTAGCAGGCTCTGTTGTAGCATTGTCATCGCAAGCAATAGACTGTAAAGAATCAGTCATAAAGCCCGCAGCGCAACGAATAAAAGGCGAACCAACTGTCTGAATTGGACGCCGGTGTACGTCTCCAGTCGGAATAGGGATTCTCTCGGACACAGCCATACTGGGTTTAGGCTGAGGTGTGCAACTCATGTCTTTAGACGCGGGCTTTTAACTAAGGCAAACTTTATGTAATAGGTGCAGGTTTGTTGATGCCGGTGTACAATATATAATATATATATATATATTAGCCATTCGACGATACGTCCCGAGAGTTGTGGCGAGAGTTTAGCATGTTGGACGATGCTGTTAATAGTGACCTAATGACGAGGAAAGCACAATAGGGGGACTCGATGGTTGGGATATAGGGTAGGAATCATGGACCGGCAATGGCAGTGCGAACCGGTCTTCCACGAAGATTAAGAAGTTCGTTCGACCACGTACGCTTGGTACATGAGGGCGTTCAAGAGAGCAGATCTGGAATAAATACTTTGTAATTATTGCTCTAGGTCTATGTCCCAAAAAGGTGGCGATGGAGTTCAAGCTGGGAATAAGTGCTAGTTAAACGGTAGGAGCACACAAGTCCGATATTGAATAGATAGGCTCGCCAAGTCATGCCCGGTATACTGAGAGTCGTGGAAGAACGCGAGGAGATAATATCATCCCAAAGCATTGGAAAAATTAGACGGCATCGATTGATGCCCTCGTAGTTACTTGTTCATTCTTATTCCCCAACTTTGATATTTGGAGAAATGCATCCACCCCGTACCCTTCAAGGCTGTGAACCTCCAGATTTCCCGCCCAATACTCTGCATATACCCGGCTCATTGGCAAGCCCATGCCTAGGCGTAAATTAGGCGGCCTTGAACTAAGAGACGAAAGTGAACTTTCATGGTAGGGGTGCTCTCTTGCTGCATTTTCAGCTTCTGGTTTATTGCTTGGCTGCGAAAAGCCGGATACCTTTAGTTCTTGCATGGTTGCTGCGAGAGTAGGGACTTTGCCAAGGTTGTGGAGGCGTGCCTCTGTTCGGGGCCCTTTGCAGAAGGACCATAGATAGGGCAAGATATCTCGTGGAATACCTCCACCTTGATCAGAAACGCGAATGATGACGTGTTGTGGAGCTTCGCAGATGAGAACGTCAATCGGCGGTGGGTTTCCGGCGCAGTTTTTGTATTTTTCTGTGACCGCTTGGATAGAATTCCGAAGGATTTCGCCAATAATGTATTCCAGGTGGCCGAGAATATATGGGAAAATGGCATCCAGGTGGCCCTGCACTGTGATCTCCGGGATCTTTTGGCCAGACTCAAGTGTAGGCCGCAACAGGTCTTGCGCCAACTTACCGCATCGTTCGACCACGTTCTTGGCGTTGCACTTCAAGAACACCTCTCCAACAAAATCGGCATTCAGGTCTGTGCGCGAATTTGATTCAGGGAAATGCCATGGGGAGTTGAAGGTATCGGTGAGCGCGAGATGTTGTTCGGCAATAACACGTCGAGAGATTCTCTGCGCCCAATTAACGTTAAAATGGATAGCTTCTTGAGTATATCAATTGTTAGCCATACCGCACGCAGCATAGTATTCATAAACTGATCCATATGGTCCGGTTTGACCAGCTCCTGACATTCAATCACGCCCATAGCGAGATTGGGAATCACGGTCAAATGCTCTTTGAGCGTCTTCCGTAGCATGTCGCAATAGCGGTCATTGTCTTCCAGTGTTCGAATCTCCGGAATACTGCGAAACCGTTCAAAGGCTTTGTAGTAAAGCTCGTAGACATGTGATAGGTGCGGGTTGGTGACCACGACGTATGGAAGTCTTTGCATATCGCGGAGCCGATGCGCCAATCTCGTAGGAAGCTCCGTACGGACATAATTCGCGGAGCTTATCAGTCGATTTTCCGTCAAGGTACGACCGAAGAAGGTCAATTGTCGAAGACTTATTGGTCTCACGTCTCGCTCCACCCATCTGCGTCGACTGTTAGCAGTTGACACACAGCCAGTGGGGATTTCAGCGCAAAGAACGTACTCATCGAGAACCGAGCCTGGCCGCCAGGGTGGAGGTTTATTCAACTCCAAAGAAAACGGCCTTGCGGGCGGGCGACGTCTCAGCCGGATGCCTTGACAGCATCGACCGAGTTTGCTGTGGAACATGCTGCCCTGCCATGCACGCATGCAGTCACACCGTTCCCAAACAAAAAGGCAAGACAGAAGTGTCCAGGCAGAAGGGCTGTATGCTGCATCCTAACAGTGTTAGATCATGACTGCGGGTGGGGAGTTCACAGGTCAGGGTGGTGTGAGTCAAGCTTGGAGGTGAAGCTGGAAGTGTGGTTGTCCGTCCATCCTCAGGCGGTGAAACTCGCCACTTCGGCTCTCAGGCTCAAGCAGCCCCTCACAGACCAGACAGATGATCTTCACTTCACAGATGGCAGCTGGTTATCTATCTGCACAGAGTGTTTTCACACACAGTGTGATATTCAATTCTCAGCAACTTTACAGAATACAGTGTCCAAGCTCCCTAACTAGTTCCCAAAGGTGGTGTGCCGCATTTCTTCAGTTCCCCATTAGCCCAGCTTGTTAATGGCACCCTACCCCTGTCCAAATGGCAGCCTGGTGTTGGCAAAGGGAATTGCTTTTTCCACTTCGAATGGAAGACCAGCCATTCTGGTTCTCGATCTTCATCCTTGGCCAGAGCATGCGCTCATCTGTAGGCGAACTCGTCCATAGCTCCTGTGCCAAAAATCCCAGAAATGATCAAGACCAAGTCATTGCCTACTCAATGGCCCTGGAACCGCTCTGTAGTTTGCTTGCTGTCTCCAACCACCAACAAGCTCGCTGCCCACGGCGTTGGTGCTGGCGCAATTCCTCTTTCACATGTGCGGCGGAGCAGGCTGTGAGGGTGAGCATAGCCGTGGTGTCCGTGGCAGTAAGCATCCTGGAGTGAATGGCGGCTTCTCCAGCTGCGGTTTGGCGTGTGTGCACAGCGGGGCATCTTCGGGGTCACTCTGATTACGTTATGTGCAGGTTGATATTGAATTTTGTACTGGCGGACAGCAGCTGTCATTCCTGATGCTCAAACTATCGGCTTCTTCTTTCTGTATATATCCCACTGCTTACTCTGTCCTTCCAGCCTCCACTGCATTATCGATCCACTGCTTGCTTGCAGACAAAGGTGCAAAACAGCAGTCTGCATCAAGAGCAGCAACTGCAACATTGTTCCACAAGCAAACAACCAAGTTCTCAACCCGCCCTTGTACCCTTTATGTTGACTCTTTTTTAAAGTTGTCTCGCCTTTTTTTTTCCTGACCTGAATATCGATTTTGAAGCCTTGCCAGAACACAGCCCGTACCCATGGACAATGTGAGTTTGCTTAGAGTCGGCTTCTGTGCAATGTGAATCTATAAGAGCTTTCCTTGCTGACCAGGAGTGTTCCGGAACAGCTAGAGGAGAACGGGATGGTGGTGGATGAATATGACCAATATAACAATGACCAGACTGATGTCGTTCTTGTTTCGCCGTCAGGTTCGCCGAGCGAGCCGGAACCTGAACCTCTCGCCGATGATTGTATGCCATCCTTCTTCCTTTCTCCATATCTGGCCTCAGTCTCCATTCCTCAACAATCTCAGTTGTGATAATGCTGGAACACTGGATGATTTACTGGAGAGCATGGCGTACTATGGCCCCTGCTGCGGTTTCGCGCCTGATCGGGGTTCTGCGGCGGGGTTCCAGCCGTTTTCTTACGTTTGCGTCTAACTGGATTCCACAAACAGATGATTCGATGATGGCCAGAGTCCTTCCTGAACTCCCCGATTTGGAAATAGTCGCACAGGGACACCACACATGGAATATCGAGAACTGGACGAAGCTGTCGCGAAAGGAACGTGGCCCAATCTTTGAGTGTGGAGGGTCTCCTTGGTACGTCGTTGGAAATCGAAACTGCGTGTGGCTGACCTGCGCCTAACATCGACCAGGAGAGTGTTATTCTTCCCCTTCGGAAATCAAGTCCCCGAATATGCATCGTTCTACCTTGAACATGGTTACGAAGACGGGCCTCCTGAAAACTGGTACAGTTGCGCCCAGTTCGCGCTGGTCCTATGGAACAAGAATAATCCTTCGATCTACGTCTCACATGGTATGTCTCAACCCGTCGTTGCGGCGCGCATATTCTGACCTCGAAAAAGTTGCGACACATCGATTCAACGCGAGCGACGGAGATTGGGGTTTCACAAGGTTTTGTGAGCTCCGCAAGTTATTCCAAGGCCCTTTTGACGAGCAGGGCTCCCCGCTGGTAGAGAATGAGCAAGCGTCACTTACAGTTTATATCCGAATTGTAAAAGATCCTACAGGCGTGCTATGGCACAGCTTCAGAGAGTGGGTGAAAATCTTTGCCTTTCCCTAACTTAATGCTGATTAAAAGATAGCTACGATTCTAAAAAAGAAACTGGCATGGTTGGCCTTAAGAACCAAGGAGCCACATGCTATTTGAATTCTCTCATACAGTCCCTCTATTTTACTAACGCCTTTCGAAAGGTATGTACACAAATCTGACTTCGTAAGTTCTGGTGGCAATAGCTAATCTAAAACCTCAGGCCGTATACCAGATTCCCACCGAAGAAGATGCGAACAGATCAAACAGCGCCTGGACGCTGCAGCGATTGTTCTATTCCCTCCAGACGAGCGATTGCCCAGTGTCGACGCAAGAATTGACGTCCTCCTTCGGATGGGAATCAAAGCAAATCTTTGAGCAACAAGATGTCCAGGAATTGTGTCGAAAATTAATGGAACGTTTAGAGGAGAAAATGAAAGGCACCCCAGCAGAAAAGGCACTTCCGGAGCTCTTTGTCGGCAAAACGAAAACGTACATATCATGCATTAACGTTGATTACGAATCGTCACGAATAGAAGATTTCTGGGATATCCAACTTAACGTTCGCGGTAATAAGACCCTTGATGATAGTTTCAAAGATTACGTTCAGGTGGAGACGCTGGAAGGGGAGAACAAGTACGATGCGGGCCCGCCTTATGGGTTACAGGACGCTAAGAAAGGAGTCATATTTGAGACCTTCCCTCCCGTTCTGCATCTTCATCTAAAGCGATTTGAATACGACATCAATCGTGATGCAATGATGAAAGTTAATGATCGGTACGAATTTCCAGAGGAGTTTGATGCTTCCCCTTACCTATCCGAGAATGCAGACAAGTCAGAGCCGTGGATATATCAACTATACGGTGTCCTTGTCCATGCTGGTGATTCAAATGCTGGCCATTATTATGGCTTTTTGAGGCCGACAAAGGATGGTCATTTTTACAGGTTCGACGATGACAAAGTCGTTAGGGCGACTATGAAGGAGACTCTCGAAGAGAATTTTGGTGGAGAGTACGGGGTTCTTCCCAACGGAAACATTGGGATGCGCCAACCATTTTCGAGGACATATTCGACAAAACGATCAATGAACGCCTACATGCTGGTATACCTTCGCAAGTCGCGAGTAGACGAGATACTAGTCGAAGTTATGAAAGAAGATATCCCCGCTCACCTTGGTAGGAATTGATAGTTCATTTTTCGATTACAAGAGCTAACCCTTAGTTCAGAGAAACGAATCGTCGAGGATCGTGCGGAACTCGCAAGGCGAAAAAAAGAACGCGAGGAGCAGCACCTGTACATGAGTGTTGGAGTGATATCTGATGAGACATTCAAACATCACCATGGCTTTGACCTCACGGGATTCGATCTGGAGGCCACGGATCCTGCCGCCCCGGAAATGTATCGGATCCTACGGACTACACCAGTAGGGGATTTTGCAAAGCAGGTAGCTCAGGAGAAAGGATTGACCGCAGACCAAGTAAGATTCTGGGTAATGGTTAACCGACAGAATAAGACTACACGACCGGATCAACCGTTAAAAGACTTGGAGATGTCCCTGGACCATGCTTTCAATGATTTTGGCACGAAAGGGAACCCTTTCCGGCTCTGGCTCGAGATAGGAGAACCGGGAGCAGATGGAAAAGTTACTTGGCCAGAGACGCGGGGATCAAATGCTCTTACTCTAATTTTCTTAAAATACTTTGACGTCCACGCCCAAACGTTGACCGGAGTCAAGCATGTTTTTGTTCGGAAGCAGTCAAAGGTTTCTGAGCTCAGCAGCACGATTCTTGACGCCATGAAATGGCCTCCTGGTACATCGTTTCTTTTATTCGAGGTAGGAAGCTTTCGTTTATGTGGCCCGCGAGAGACTAAATCTTTGTGCTAGGAAATCAAGCATTCTATGATCGATGCGATGAAACCCAAGCAAACGTTCCAGCAATCCGAGATTCAAGACGGTGACATTATCTGTTTCCAACGGTCGATAAACGAATCTGAGTATGTAACATTATACACTCTCTGTCCTGCGATGCTTTACGCTTTCACTGACATCAACAACCAGGCTACCTCCTACAGCAATCTATCGGAATGTCCAACAATATTACGATTTTCTGTTGAACCGTATTACGGTTAAATTTGCGCCGATTGATCCTGACGCCGAAGAGACCTTCACCCTGACACTTAGCAAGAAAATGACCTACGAGCAATTCTCAACTAAAGTAGGCGAGCATTTGAAAGTTGAACCGACTCATTTGCGATTTGCACCTGTTGTCATGAATAGTGGAAAGCCAAAAGCTTTTATCAAACGGAATGTGCCTCAGAATCTTGGACAGATACTTACTAGTCAATTTTCTACGTACGGATATGGCGGTCATCGGTCTGACGCACTTTTCTATGAGGTCTTGGAAACGAGTCTAAGCGAGTACGAAATGAAGAAAATCTTCAAAGTTACTTGGCTTCTTGAAGGGATTGTTAAAGAGGTAACATGGAAATTTTGATTTCAATCGTCCTTGACCGCTTCCCTGCTAACCCTCTTACAGCAAACATATGAAATCCTTATCGCAAAGAATGGCGTTGCTTCCGACTTACTGGCCGGTTTGCAGAAGAAAGCCAATATTGACGAAGAAACTATGCGGCATGTACGGCTCTATGAGGCCTATTCCGGCAAATTTTATAGAGAGCTTAACGACAGCTACAGCGTTGCTGGTATCACTGGTTATGTTAGCCTATACGCCGAAAAGATACCCGACGAAGAATTGAACATGCAAGAAGGCGAATCCAGAATCAATGCGTTTAACTTCGACAGGGACCCACAAAAGCCGTACGGTTGTCCTTTCAAATTTGTGGTAAAACCGGTATGTGCGAAACTTGCCTAGTTTTATACCAAATGTTTGGCCCCCTACTTACCATTACCAGGGCGAGACATTCAAAGACACCAAGGAGCGGTTATCAAAACGAACGGGTATCAAAGGCAAGCAATTCGAAAAGATCAAGTTTGCTCTTGTCTCCCGCGGTCCATATCCCAAAACGTTGTATCTCGACGACGGTAAGGAGTGACAAATCTATATCTATTGATAATCAAAACTAATAACGTGGTTCTAGATCATGTCCTAGCCGATTTGTTCACAGATCCTGAATATCAACTCGGTCTTGATCATGTAAATAAGAATCGGAATTTCTGGAACCGTGGCGAGAGCTTCTTCATTCGATAGATTTTTGCTCTCTCTGTTTCAGCTATTTTGCTTCTACGTCATTTCTATACGGAGTTTGAACTTGGGCGCTTGCATTTGGCCTGGACGGTGATGGATTGGCTTGAAAGCTTACCGGCGGCTGGTTTTAGCCGTGAATGGAAGTAGTCTTTGAAATAAGCACATAACGCGCATTCTTGCAGTGTCAAAATCAGTCTTAAAGCGTGATCACCAAGGCGCCTCGTTTTGTTTCAACTTTGGGCATTGGAATATTTCGTACTCTGTAGAGACCACACGTCCTACCCAGAAGCTAAGATGGCAAAGGGCACTCAAAGTGGGTGTGGGTGTAGCCTCCTATATTGATATTGATACTCCGTATTGCCCCTTTTTCTTCGCCAGAGCGTTTCACATCAGTGCAAACAATGCAAACATGCCAACCCCAAACACAGCGGCCACATCGTTGCTTACGAACGACTCGCCTCAGCAAAATCGCTGAATCGACGGGTAGAGAGCTCAGGGGCACCCAATTCACCAAAGAATATAGCGATGCAGCTACACACATTTGCATTAGGCCTTTTGGCCTATGCCGTCTCCTCGGTTTCGGCAACGGCGTTGACGTACAAGCTGGAAGCCAGCGAGCAGGGCTGTTTCTATAAATGGATTGATTCACCACCGGCGAAAGTTGCATTCTATTTCGCGGTATGCTTTGTTCTTTTGAAATCTGGGTTCTCGTCGGCTGAAAATTGATCGATTGCTGACGTGTTTGTTTGTTTTAGGTCCAATCTGGCGGATCGTTTGACGTTGACTACTCGGTGGTTGGGCCGGGGGAAAAGATCATTCTTGAGGGCCACAAGGAGCGACAGGGAGACTTTGTGTTCACGGCGCAGAGCACGGGAGAGTATCGGTTTTGCTTCAATAATGGAATGTCTACATTCGCGGAGAAAATGGTCGATTTTGAAGTTGCGGTGAGTTTGTTTCCATGTGCCCCTTCTTCCTTAACTGAGCAAAATTCTGGGTCCCCTTCGCTTAATGGAGCAATTACTGATTTATTGATATCTTTCTGCTGGTACCAGGTCGAGAACGAAGAAAAAGCCCAGATTCCCTCTAAACCAGGCGCTCCTGCCGAACAAGCATCGGCGATGGAGGACTCGATCTTCAAGCTTTCCGGACAGCTATCAACGATTAGTCGCAACCAAAAGTATTTCCGCACTCGTGAGAACCGAAATTTCAGCACCGTCCGGAGCACAGAGCAGCGTATTTTCAACTTTAGCGTGATCGAAGGTTTGATGATGCTTTCAATGGCTGGGTTGCAGGTCTTTATTGTTAGATATTTCTTTCAGGGAGCACGAAAAGGTATGTGCACTAAAAGATTCGCATGTCTTGATGAAGCTTACTAACTAATTTTCCTTTCTTGAAATAGGTTATGTATAACGGTTATTTTGTTATCGGTTTAATGGCAATAATGATTGTTTTGCGATCCTGTGTGAAACTCGACTGTTCGTCACCCCGACTTCCTTGGTCGCCTATGTTCTTACTAGACTTGTTATTATAATTTATGGCGGCCCGTATTCATTGATGGTAGACCTCTTATGGACATGATGATTATCCCTCCAAGGTTCCCGAAGAGCGCATCTTGAGTGCCGATCAACAATGCAGGCCGGGCTTATTGCCATGGCTGGATTTGATCGCCCTGAGATTTCATCTTTCATTCATCGAACTGCCCTTCAGTGCACTCCGTACAGTGTTGCCTTTTCGTAATCTCACTTTAAAGACCTGCGCATCATCCATGCCGCTACCTTTCTGTCTTCAGCCAACTAACTCGAACTAGAATTGTTATTCACGTGACCGTGCTCATCATGACGTCATGGCACCTCGCGACTTCAACCAGAAATCTTCAACTTCAGCGGCGAGATGCTACAACCATGCTTGGTCGCTTTGGCTGAGGGCCCAAAGTACTTTGTTGGCGTTTCCTGGCTGGCATCTGGACGCCGTGCCAGGTCCCGCCCTTGGCATCACTTCAACCGGGCCAAAACCTTGAGTCTCAGCGCTGTCAAGCGCCACTTGACGCGAGAGGTCTTCTTGTGGCGTGCCGCAGTTTTGCAGCAAAACTGCAGCTACCACCTATGGTGGGCTTTATGGCGTTTTAAGAGCTATGCTAAGGAGGTTGCGATCGGCCTTAATGCACGGTCCATCTTCAGTGTACCCCGTTGCTTGAGGTCCCTCAATTCGATCAACTTATTGCAAATCACATCTGGAGCAGGGCCACAAACTAGCTCTTGACATTTGGGTTCTGTCATTCGCCGAGTTTCCAGACTGTCTATGGAACCGTGAGCCATTGATCGTCTCATTGAAGCGGAGTGACGACATAGCTCAGATAAGAAAGAAAAGGGGCGAAGGCATATCGTGCCTTTTCAGACGTGGTTCATGCATGGTAACCTCATATAACTGTTGCCAAGTCAACTGCATGATACTCTTGCAGATAGAAGTGGTTCCCTGGAAGCCCATTGCCAAAAGCGCATGTGGAGAAACTGGTTTTGAGTGATCGGATTTCTCGCGAGCCCCAATTGATCGACTGTTTTCTTGCTTTAACCCCCTTTTGTCTTTTCTGGGGCCTTCATACTTTGATAATGGGCATGATATCATCATCCTTGTTGCCGTGTGCCACATTGCGGCCTTCACGTCTCGCTTGCTAGTGGATTCCGAGAAGGACGATCATCTCTGCACCAGGGTGGCACTATTAGCTGCTGTTAGGATCGGTATGGATCAGTTGTGATGTACATTGGGTTTTCATTGGAGGTGCGAGATTTATGTCATCGCTTCCCCAGTTCTTGTTTTGCTCGAGCCAGATTGTGGGACTGGGCTCAGTACTCAAGGGAGTATATTACGATGTTAGCAATTCGGCTTCGATTGACCCTTTGATATCCCCCTTCCGGCTCTTCCGTTCTAAGTCACGATTTATTCGCAGTCTGGGATTGCGAAGCCAAACTATTCGGGAACCTAACCTTCGTTATTCGGTCAATGTAACTTCCATGGTCCGAGACGCCATACACAACCACCCACGGTATTGTCTTCACTCTTCTTTGAACACAATCTCAACATGAGATCAGTGCTTATTTTGAATTCCAATATTTTAGGCAGGAGCCACATTCGGGAGAAGAAATGCCACGTGAGTCAATGCGTACGGAGTCGCCGTTGGCATCGTACTCGCGAGAGATGCATCAGCACACGCAGCGACAAATCGAAGCCCTTCCGATCAGCCCTGGGCCTTCAGTACCTAGCACGAAGGAGAACACCCAGCTACCCTCCAGCGATAGTCAGTCAAACGGTTCAACGCCTCGGAGACAACGAAATGGAAGCGGCTCACAGGAGCACGAACAAAGTCGGAGGGATTGGGACGCTTGACTGGCTACTGATCGAGGAGCCTACACTTCAATAAGGGTACTGAGTGGTCTGGATTTCTTATTCACGACTCCCCTCCCTCTCCCTCGAACTATCAAACAGTACACCCGCTTATGCACAGGCATAGGGCGCCACAAACCTCCGTGCTATATGAGCCACGATTTAACTGTGTTATGGAACCTTTTGCATAGCGGGCTACTCACTTTTCTACCATTGTGCTCTCCTGTTTTCTAGCGACGTCTCTGCTATTCTGAACTTAGCTGAGCAAATTGGCTTTCCACCGACACGAGCTTTATCGCAACATGCCTTTCCAATTATACCTCCCTCGTTAGGCGTTGGGTAGGAGAAGATGCCTTGGATCTTGACAACCTGAAAATCATAAACCCCCAACCAAGAAGCATCAAAGCAAAAGATATTTGGAAACTATATTGCCCCTTGGTCACATTTTCCCCCGTCAGTGCTCAATCAAAAAGGAATCTGGGATAACTATCTTGCATGCCAGTGTACGTGCACCAATTATTTTACAATTTGTCTTGTCATTTCTCTTTCCTGCGCTTTTTCCTCTGATGACTTCCACGCCCACTGTCGTTTTCTGACGTTTGTTTAACCAAACACGTTTCCTGATGTTCACAAACAGTTCCGCTTCAACTGTTTTTTCTTAGATATCTAGGCGATTACTAAACTGTCTCAAAATATCGATGCGATCTGCTCTTTTGCTTTTAACCTTGACCTCTTTCCCATAGCTATACAATGGGGAAACCTAGGAGTTGCTTTAGATGGGCCATACTACCACTTCTTTTATAAACTTACACCAGGGCCAGCCAACGGTACGGATAATTAATCATGTGGATAATAGGCAAGAAATTCATTGGTAAATTCAAATGCGGCTCGTTTAATTATACACGGTCACAACTTACGACCACGCTCCTCGAGACCATCCGCCGCTCCCTCCATGATAGCCCTGACCACTCGATTGCCCAGGATGTGTGGGCGGGAACTGAAATGCACCATGTTGCCCTTGGGCTGGATTGAGCCCATGGCCTTGTTGTGATTGTCCCGGGGGTGGTGGAGGTGGAACAAATGGCGCGCCGGGCATTGGGGGCATAAAAGGCTGGCTAAATCCAGGTACGTTTGAGCTCATGTTCATAGCTTGTGGGAATGAGGTACCGCCGGAAAAGCCATGCTGATTGTGCAAAGCGGGAGGTGGAGGCGGGGGTGGTGGTGGCCATGGCCCGTGGTAACCCGGAGGCCTTGGAGGCGGAACGAACATTCCGGCGGAAGGAGATCCGCTTGGTTGCCGCTGTGGGTTGAATTGTTGGGGAATATTGAACGGGGGTTGTAAAGGAGCAGGTGGAGGAGGAGGTGGTGGTGGCGGCTGCGAGGCACCTGAAAATGCAGATTTCTGTTGAATCCGTGGAGGTGAAAATGGTCGTCGAGGGCCTGCCGGAGGAGAATAAGATCCTGATCTCGAGTGCGATAGCCGTCTTCGCCGTGGAGGTGATCGAGAATGAGACGGCGATCGCGAATAGAGGTTGCGCCTTCGATATCTCGGAGAATCCGATGATTCTGGCGATCTCGACCGTCTCTCGTTTTCGATACTTCTGCTATCGCTATATCTTCGCCTTTTGATAGGAGTGTAGCTTCGGCTTCGGCTTCTGCTTCGGTCCGTAGCATCACTGTGGCTTTGGCTGGAACTTCTGCTGCGAGATTTCCCGCTTTTCCTTTGTTGCATTTTCTGGCAAAACGAACGGGACCAGCCGTAATACGCATCCGCATCAATGAATTCTCCCGTTGTCGCGTCACGTGTGATGATTTGTCCCAGTTCATCAATATCTATCTCAGTCACAGTGTCTGGATCGGCGCCGCGTGTACCGTATATTTGATCCACGTCGTCGAGCAAGGACTTTACAGCCCTGATGAGGGACTCTTCAGCAGGCCCGGCATCAAGCTGAAGGGCTTTCACTGATTGAGGCTTGATGGGAACGGATGAGTTGGGAATAATATGCGGTAGAAGGTTTCCCGTAGGTAATTCATGATACGGTGCTGTCGGGTCGCCATGAGTAGCTGGGATAATGTATGGGACGTCTTTTGGCAGCAGGGGTTTCCCAGGTTCAGCATCTGTGCCATTTCCCGCCGACTGGGAGCTCAACGCGTCTCGAAGACCGGGGTTCGCCACCGTTTCCCGCAGTTTATCGACATACCCGCTGCTGTAATAGCCATTTTCTTCCCAGATATCCAACAATTCTGTTAGGCGCCGGAAGTGCTTCGGGTTTTTTTCACGGTCAAATTGTGCTGCGAGAGCAAAGAGCTCGACTAAGCATGGTTGGAGGGAACCCGTGAGCGTCACAAACGAGAGCGCAGTCTCGGAGTGGTATTTGGTATGATGGAGAAGGTCGTTAAGAAGATAAAGGATGTGCAACCTTTTCCGCTTCGAAGATGTCTTATGAACTTCACAGTTAGAGGGCTTGCTCTGCTGCGTCTGGGGAAACGATGTCGCAAGCGCGGCGATGTATTTCCCCAGGACTCCTACACGGTTTGCAGACTCAACGATGTTTTTCAAAATCCACACTTTGCAGGTCTAGAAATGATTTCCAACAAGGCATAATTTAGCTATCTCGTTAAGCTTGAGGATTCAATTGTTCCAAACCTGGATGTTTGCGGGTGAGCAGTGCGCCAACATCGTGTCAAGCGCATCGTGAAACTCGATGATTCTGTCGCGAGGAACAGAGGTAGGGTCTGGCCGAAGAAGCCCGGCAGAGAAGGAAGCTTTAGCAATCGCAAGCTGATGGGATGTCATCTTGTTGCGACCACCCTTTGTGCCCGATGTCAAGCTCTTGTAGTTTGAGAAAAGTCATTTGCTTTGATGCTCTGTGGTTGCTCGTTGCTGACAAAGCCAGATGGCCCCAATCGCAGGCACCGGAGGATAGTGTCGACTCTACCAGCTATAGACCTTACGTGCTGTCTTCTTCTTCCGGGACAGATCAAGGTATCCGTTTCCAGGTTCCAGGGCAGTACAGTGATACTGCTGTGTGGCATCAGCAAAAAAGAAGCTATACCAGCTCCACGATGTCTCCGTACAATTCCCTGATCAGTGTGATTTCCTCCCCGCATCCTTTTTAGTTATGATGAGGAGATTTATCTCTTATAATAGTATACGCTATTTTATATACATACAATATCTGAACATTGGTACGGGAATCCTATTCCAAGCATGATAGGGCCCCCGCAGCAAAAGCAGATCGGACGAAGGGCAGCTTTAGCTGAATCGGTCTCCTTTCCGCGACCGGAACATTTCAGCAGCTTCGTATTTCCCTTTCTCTGCAACACGCTGTGCTTCTGTCTCTGGCTCGTGTCTTGTAGCTGCCGGGTCATGTCCCACCTCCTCGCTCGGACTACCCACATCATCCCGACCAAATGCATTTGCGGATAGGCTCTTGGCTATTTTACTTTCATTGGCCATTGACCGTGTTTCATTTGCTGACGAGGGGCTAGGTGTTGGAGGAACGGGTAGCGGGGACTTGGACGTGGTTTTGGCCATAGCCTCCCTTTTGGCGGCTTCTTGCTTCGCTCGTTGGGCGGCTTCATGGCGGGACTGTCGGTCAGCGTTTATGGAGCGTTTGGCAAAGTAATATGCGCCGGCACCAGCTTCAGCGGAGTAAATAAACTAGTTAGCAAGCCTGCATCTTGTTTTTCGTACTTTTCGCGCCTTGCATTGGCTTGTCGCCGAGGTGCTGGGGAGGGAGAACAACTGCGTACCGACACACAGGGAGCCCCAGCCGACCCTGTTTGATATAATTGTTAGAGCCCCATCCTCTAAGAGTAACACAGCGATGATGTCTTGAAGAAGGAATCCGGAGTAATCACCGCGTACCAAGTAGACCGGATCTAGACAGGCATCGCTTGATTAGCTATCCAAATTCAAAATATAGGGTGTATCGGCGTGCTCACAGTATTCATTATGGCAATTGCAGTGCGTTTTCCAATTCTAGATCCACGTCGAAGCTCAGTTTTCGCGCAATCGCATTTTCTCACGACCGTTTTTGCATCTTTTCGTCGCCGACGATCTAGATTTTGCCATGAATTACGTCGATTGGGCTTGGCGGCCGCCCTGTTCGCTGAGTAAGCATGGCTTGGCGGGCCAGGCGTCAACTTCGAGCCTCAGTTTGATCACAGAAGCGCTCATCAACTCTGGCTTCCATCAGTCAACACAGTCCTGTTGAGTCGTTCATCGACCTCGTAGGGTGCTATCGTCAAGCTCTTCTCGCCGATTTTGCGGACCTCACCATCACCGTACTTTTCTGAGACGAACCCGCAGCCCTCTGAACCCTAGGGGCTTTCAGTTCTCTAGAGGAGGCTTTGGTTGATCATGCCTCCTAAGAGAAAGGCGGCTGATGGTGGGCTTTCCCAAAAGCTTTCATGTAGTGACTCTGCTGATTCGAGGTAGGCGGGCGTGGAGGAAGAGCTTCCAAACGTGGCACCCCGGCTGCTGGCTCAACTCCACGGAGCGTCCTCAGCGACGATGATTATACAGATTCCGGAGTACAAGAGTCTGATGGAGATGGTGGTAATTTGAAAAGTAGAGCTTGTACCCCAGCTACTTTTTGTTTATGATGGATACCACTGACTAGCAACTTTGTTCTTTTACAGAGGTTGTGGAGAAGTTTTCCCTCCAGACTTTCAGTCGTGATAAGAAGACCCAAATACAACAGCAGGATCCTCATTTTGGCTATAAGGATTTCTCGTCGCTCCCACTGAAGCCAGACCATGCAAACAGGCCACTCTGGATCGAACCCTTGAAGGGAACGATTACTCTAGAGAGTTTCTCGCCCCTCGCCTCCCAAGCGCAAGATTTTCTTACCACGATCGCGGAGCCTCTTTCCCGTCCTACGCATCTTCATGAATATAGATTGACGGGGAACAGCCTTTATGCGGCTGTTTCCGTAGGGCTATTACCAGCGGATATTATCAACTTTCTGGATCGACTGTCGAAGACACCGCTCCCGGAAACAATTAAGCAGTTCATCGTGAATTTTACAAAATCCTATGGCAAAATTAAAGTTGTTTTGAAACATAACCGATTCTATGTTGAGAGTTCTGATCCAACTATGCTACAAATGCTTTTACAGGACAAAGTTATCGGGTCGCAGAGGCTGGAAAATTCCGAAGGGATTATACAACAAGCTGCACCGAAACTGGGCGGCTTAGTAATTCCCGGAACAAAAGATGCCGCTGGCGTGAAGCAGAATCCTGACCAAGCACCTGCTGAAAATGGGGATGGAACAGGCGCTCCACCGAAAACTGATGATATCCTTGTTTCGTTGAGAGAAGAGGACGATGATGATGATGACCAGGCCCAGGTTCATAGCTTTGAGATTCCTAACACAAGTGTGGAGGCGGTAAAGGCCCGTTGCCAGACCATGGGTTGCCCAGCGTTAGAAGAGTATGACTTTCGCAATGACGAGATTAACCCGACTTTGGATATTGATCTCAAGCCAAGTGCCCAAATCCGAAGCTACCAAGAAAAAAGCTTGAGTAAGATGTTCGGAAACGGTCGAGCCAAGAGCGGAATTATCGTTTTGCCCTGTGGAGCAGGCAAGACTTTGGTTGGAATTACAGCTGCTTGCACAATCAAGAAAGGGACCATCGTTCTCTGCACGAGTTCCATGTCTGTGGTTCAATGGCGCAATGAGTTTTTACGATGGTCGAACATTGACCCTAATGATATCGCTATTTTTACTTCAGACAATAAGGAACGATTCAGGAGGAGCACCGGTATCATCGTGTCGACATATTCCATGGTCTCACAGACTCGCGCGCGATCGCATGATGCCGAGAAGATGATGGACTGGATGCAATCCCGTGAATGGGGTTTGATGATCCTGGACGAAGTCCACGTCGTTCCAGCATCCATGTTCCGGAAGGTTACGTCCGCGATTGCAACGCAGACGAAACTTGGCTTGACAGCCACATTACTCCGAGAGGACGACAAAATCAAGGATCTTAACTTCCTTATTGGCCCTAAACTCTATGAAGCCAACTGGATGGAGCTTGCCGAACAAGGACACATTGCAAAGGTCCAGTGCGCAGAGGTCTGGTGTCCAATGACGACAGAGTTCTACACTGAATACATGCGTGAAAAGTCGAGGAAGGCTGCTCTCCTATACATCATGAACCCAAGGAAATTTCAGGCGTGCCAGTATCTGATTAAATTTCACGAGGACCGTGGTGATAAGATCATTGTCTTTTCTGATAATGTCTACGCTCTGGAACGGTATGCCTTGAAGCTGAACAAGGCGTACATTTATGGAGGGACGCCGCAAAACGAGCGCCTCCGGATTTTGGAAAACTTCCAACACAACGACCAAGTGAACACAATCTTCCTTTCAAAAATCGGTGACACTTCTTTAGATCTTCCTGAGGCGACTTGCCTGATCCAGATCTCATCTCACTATGGTTCACGGCGTCAAGAAGCTCAGAGATTAGGACGCATTCTCCGGGCTAAACGCAGAAATGACGAAGGCTTCAATGCTTTCTTTTATTCTTTGGTCTCAAAGGATACGGATGAAATGTTTTATTCATCCAAGCGTCAGGCTTTCCTGGTAGATCAAGGCTACGCCTTCAAAGTCATCACTCATCTTCAAGATATTGAGAAGATGGACGGCCTCGCGTATTCCACTGCTGCCGAGCGTCGTGAGCTTTTACAAGAGGTTATGCTGCAAAATGAGACATCTGCTGCCGTTGAAGAAGTAGTGGACGACTTGTTCAGCGAACGCTCCGGCGGGCCGAGGGCTAAAGCTGCGAAGAAGGCTGCTGTGAAGCGCAGTGCCGCCACGCTAAGTGGGCTTGCTGGTGGCGAAGACATGGCTTATATTGAGACTAATAAGAGCAGAAATAAACAGCTGAAAGAGAAGGTAAGCCACCATCCGCTATTCCGAAAATTCGAAAGAGAAAAGCAAAAGCGGAAAAAGTTATTGCAAGAGGGCCATTAGGCGTCCCGACCTTGATATACTACAGCTTGATATGCTTAAAACACCTTTTTATTATGCAGTACATGTACCTTTTAGATTGAACCCTATAGATACATTTTGAGGGCTGATTCACTCACAAAGAAATACATGGACCTTCATGATCCTTGTTTATGTTCCTTACATTCAAACAGAGTATGCATACAGGGTCGATGAGAAAAGCATCCAGAGCAAGTATGTTCAAGCTCATCATCAGAGATTTGGGGGCAGAATTGAAAGTCGAGCCGTGAAGCCATGACTCAAAAGGTAAACCCATAATTTCTAGGCGTTTCTATATCAGACTGCCTATAACTTGCTTTCTTTATCTGGATAGTCAGAATAAAAGACTACTTACTGTCTGTTGAAGCAATTGAGCTCTACCCAGGAGGCGAGGACCAAGTAGGTTGCTCCGTAGTCAACACTGTGGCTAACTTGCTGAAGCCTGAGGCACCAAGTGAGAACCAATCGTCAAGCTTTGTGTTTCAACTGACAGCCCAAACCAAACTCCAACAACTCATCTACTGAGAACAATCGATTGCTTCGAGCAACTCTTTTCGCAATAATCAGCTTTACACAACATCTCCGCGACCATGGACTTCGCCTCGTTAATGTCCAAAGAAATCGCCAAATCCAAACCGCCACGCGCCCAGTCCTCCGAACCCCAAGCCGACAAGCAATATGTCCGTCGATCCGAACTGGAAGCGGCCCGTCTCGCAGCCTACAACGCCGAACAGGAAAGGATCCAGAAAGAGCGCGAAGAACGCGCTGAGAAAAAGAGGAAGATAGAGGAAGACGAGGCGGAACGGAATCGCGTTCGGGAGGAGAAGCGGCGCCGTCTTGCCGAGGAATCGCGACGGAGGAGGGAGGCGGAGGAGGAAGCGAAAGAGGCGGAGAGGAGGAAGAGGCTTGGACTAAGTGCGACGCCTGCGGCGGAGAAGACTGAGAGCGAGAAGGAGAGCACGCCGTTGGAGGGCGAGGAGGGTTTGAGTCAGGAGGAGCTCGTTGAGAAGCTGAGAAACATGGGTGAACCGAGCCGGTTGTTTGGCGAAAGCGACAAGGGCCGTTTAAAAAGATACAGGCGCCTGGTGCAGAGGTCGATAACGCCGCGGAAACAGCTGTCTGATGGACCAATACCTACGACCCTGGAGCTTCTCCCGGAGGCGGAAATGAAGGTTCCGGAAAAGGTTCCGGCGAATGAAGAAGGGAAGAAATATCTCTTTAGGCAGCTCGCGTCTTACTTTACGATGGTTCTGAAAGAGTGGGAGATTGCATTGGCGAAGAGAGATGCGAGTGTCAAGAATACGTTTCAGGGTCGGCAAGCTTACAATGCCATGGTGCAGTCGAGGGAATACATGAAGCCACTGTTCAAGAAGTTTGAGAACGCCGATGTGGAAGACAGCATCCTGGGACCGATCGTTGAGATCGTGAGGAATGCGCAGCATCGTCGTTATGTAGATGCAAACGACGGGTATTTGAGGCTGAGTATCGGCAAAGCGTGAGTTGTTACCATCGTCTGTCCCTGAAATCTACCCTTTATCGTCGCTGACGCTTTATACCAGCGCTTGGCCGATCGGTGTTACTATGGTTGGCATCCACGAGCGTTCTGCTCGAGAAAAGCTCCATGAGGGCGGCCAGGACAAGGCACATATCATGAGTGACGAGAGTACTAGGAAATTCCTGCAAAGTATCAAACGATGCCTTACGTTCGCACAGGTCCGCTGGCCACCGGATGATCAATTGCAGCTTATGGGATAAGGGTCAGGGTCGAATCAGGAATGAAAAGAAGGATCCGGCTTTAGCGTCTAAACCGGTTCAAAACGTGAATTCAGCAAGCAAACGACTTTTCGTTGAATGCCCTCCTTTCGCTAGAAAGGCGGCTCTCCGGTTACGATCCGTGGAACTTTTAGAAATACTGGATGGGAAACTGAATCATATTTAAGAGTTCTTTCACATACCTTTTGGGACCGGGTCGAATCACCTCAGGCCCAGGCCGCGCCACAGGCTCTCTTTTTCCTACGTATGTATAGTACATACACGCATGAGCAGCGAAAATCGCAATGAAGATTTCAAGCATAATTGAAACGGCTTTGGTAAGATAGCTATGTAGACAGAGAGAACCCAGTTCCCATATTTGAAGGATCACGCACTAACGCGCGAGGAGGATAGTATAAAACGTGAAACTAGCCTCTCGAGACGCCAGCCTTGTTTACCTACAATCAAAGAGTGAAACAGCGGCTTGCGGGTATATATACGCATAATATAGCAGCCAAAATAACACCGCGACGGATAAAAATCGATAAGGGAGGAGAATAATAGATCGTTAAACAGTAGTACCTGGAATTTTCCCACATAACCAAAGATCAGCCACCTTGCCTTCAAATCAATTGCGCCGGCTCTCCGGAAGCCGGGACGGCGCCATGATGCTGGAAGTTAAAGGGTAAAGAGATCGATGGCACTTTCTCTTCCGTCGTGGCTCCCGGTTTCAGTTTGGAGAGTCGCCTTCGTAGAGGTTGATGCCCCGTAATTTTCGACTTTGTTAGGATGGAGAGGGAGAGTGTCCGCGCTGGGCTTCTCGGTGGAGGAGCCGGTAGATTGTTGAACTTGTCTGCAGACAGAGAGCGCGCATGCCGAGAGTTGAAAACCGTTGCCTCTGGCAATGGTGGCATAATCCGCTCCGCAGAAAGGGTGCGAGCATGTCTCGTACTCTCATAGGAGAATCCGAGGGGAGTCAATAGGTCGCGGGACATAGGATCGATTTTATCTGCCGAAAGGGCGCGCCCGTGCGTATAAAATCGAGTGGCCCCAGAGTTTCCAGGATATACGAGTTCAGGCGAAGGTATACGTGCCGGTGCTGTATGGGTTCTAACCGTACCGCTCTGAGCCACTGGTCTAGAGCCTATATAGGATGAACGTAGCGCAGACTGTTTAGAATCAAAAGACGAGGGCCACGTTGGGGACGATGTATTGGACCCAGCCGATGAAGCAGGGTTGTTACTGCCAATGTGCGAAGGCTCCCCTTGTATCCGGCCGGGAGAGGGAAATACCAAAAGTCTAGAGGAGCTATTGGATCTCCTGCGCCCAACACTTTTGGAGGGTGAGTACGAAAGAGTGGATTTCTCCAAACCCTCAACGTCACTAAAAGAAGACGAATCTTTTTGAGAAGAAAAGTCGGAACCAAAGGTAGGGGAGTTCGGGGCGCTCTCATCAGATAAGGTATTATAATTCTGCGCTGAGGACTCCAGTGCAGCCATTTGGCATCGCATGCAAGCTGCAGCAGTAACTTCAAAAACTTTCACTTTTCTTGCAATCCTTGCTCTAGCATTTCTCACTTCATTGGAATCCGCAGCGAGGCGCTCAATCTCCCCGTCTGTCATTTGCGAGATCCGAGTCGGGGACATAATATTTTCAATACCCTCTATAAGACAACTCTCAACCGCTAATCCGGCAACGTTATCGAGGAAAACTCCAAGAGCCATTGAATAATATGACTGCATGCAATCAAGAATCCCATTGCATATCGAAAGATTCATGTCATCTGATGCCCCATGAGGATCTATCTTCTGGGAACTCTCCCGTCGGATGTGGCGCAATTTAAAGATTAGTTGTTCATTCAAAGTCGACAGCATCATCCTCCTATATGGAACCAGCAGTTCGTCGACTTTTGAATTCGTTTTCCGTAGCCTTTCCTCCATTTTGCAGTTAATGATCTCACGCATAATAGCGTTGCTTGTGCTTGAGCCAGCAACGTGATGAAGAACCCCATCTAAGAACCGTTTTACCTTTTTCCAAATCTCCGAAACGTGAGCCTTCGTTATCTTGTCCCATTTTAGGGAATGGCGTACAAATAACTCGCAAATGACCTGGGAATTCGCTAGTCCAGAAATCCCGTGAACGTTATTGGATTTAAGGAGCTGCAGAATGCCACTGATGTACTCTGATTTCGAAATAGGTTGGGGGTCGTCCGCAAATCCTTGTGCCGGGATGACATTCAAACTTGTATCTTCGTATATATAGTGACTGTGGCCCCTTTGTCGCATGTCTACAGCAAAATCCTCCGCCCATTTCCGCAAAACCGAACGAAGACGCCGTACTGATTCATTCGAGTGGTGTCTGAAGTAGGGATCAGTATATTCACCAAGGACGGCGTCCCTGGTGAATTTCTGAACCTTTTCGCCAATAGTGGTAATGTGCAATCGCCGTTCTGCTGCTGTAAGCATGTCCGGCCCTAGCTGGTGTAGTGACTCTCTTTGAATTTCGAGCTCCTGCTGAATTTCGGTTGACAACATAGAGAGCTGCAGCTCGACCTGAGCCAATAGTACTTTATTTAAGCGATCTCTAAGAGAATCGATTCCAATTGAATTAGGTGAAAGCGTCCTCCACGGAATAGAGCTGCTGAAAAAGAGACTCTCCGTTTCATCTCGGTTCAATCCGAAAGCATCTTTGTGATTGGTGTCAACATTCTTTAAAACATGCCAACCCAGCCGCAATGGAATATCTTGGTACTTTACTCGTGCATGGAAGGTAGCCAAGGTAGAAGAATCTGGGTCCAATACGTCCGGCTTTGTTATAATTCCCATTGTCCTCGACTTGCAGGGCGCTGTTAGCCGGATAACAGAGTGCTGAGCAAGAGGCATGTTCGCGGAAAGCACAGCAAGAACAATGCTTCGAGGGTTATTCGTGTATGCTTCTGTAAGCTCCCTGACTAAAGCAACATCTTCCGCTGTTTCAGTCCCATTAGGATCCTGGAGGAGCCCGGGTAAATCAATGACGGTCAAATCCGGAAGTGAAGGTCCGGAGACCTCGAGTTGCAAGACATCTTGCGAATATTGTCGTTCTTTACTCAAGCCTAGAAACTGCTCGGCATCGGTAATGAGCTGAGAAACATCTTCGAGCCAGTTGTGCGGTGTTGAAAACGTTTGAAGCCTGTGCTGATGGTCCGGCGATGCGTTTACGCCTGGTCGGATTTTGACGCGAGTCGACACTTCCGGTGATCGTCGAAAAATCACTTCGATTGCAAATCGAGTACGAGCGCCATGGCCCACAGGAAACGAGATGCCGGTGATTGCCTGGAATACTGACGTTTTCCCGCAGCCTTGGTGTCCGCAAACAACTAGCTGAGGTAGGCAAATCCGGTGCCTAAAGCCCAAATTCCGGAGCTCGTCGATGCGGCTAAGGAGCTCTGCTGGGCCTTCCGCCTGCAACAGGTTTAACGGCATGTGCTCGACGTTGGCCATTGCGTCGGTGATAGCACTTTGGCCCTTTGATAGCACTGATCACCTAATTTTGGCAGGGCATGATGAGGGTGGATTCTGAAGACCAAGAAAAGTCGCATCCATGCTTTCGAAAAGGATTGATTCCCCGGGTGGTGACGGGCCTATATTTCAACCCAGAGTTTGATATGAACAGGAATCATACATATCGGTGACGAAAGTCAGGAATGTGGATTGCCCCAGATCATGCAGGTCATTGTGTGGAAACTCAATCATGAGGTAGAAGCAGTGGCATTGCGGCGACGAAGCCATGACAAGGATATGAAGGTTAGTACAACCAGGAAGTCCAATGCATGCAGAAATCTTGTCGGGAGCGGCTTTCGTCCTATCGGTAAAGTAGTGGCAAATGGAACTACTATAACTTCAAACCTGGCGCCAAATCAGCCTCCTCTTTCGACGTCCCAGCCAGGCTCAATGAGGGGTGCAGAGCTCGCTGAAGAACTGAGATCGGCACCTGACCAGATCGTCTAGGCTAGAGACGGGTCAATCATTGGGAGACCATGGAAAGCCCTGCATACGGCCAACCAAGACGGTTGCAATCAGCCAGGATCGCCCCCATCGTCGATCAAAAACTCCGGGGTAGTTCACCGCGGGGTTCATATCAAGCAATCCTTGTCTTCGAGATGGTGTGTCGCAACCGACGCCACGAACCCGAGGGCTTCGGCATTCTGCGTGGAAAATAGCCAGTGACGTGGCCAAAATCCAGCCCGCTTATTTCTTTTGTCATTATTCGCTTTGCAATCCAGTCAGAACAGCGGTCGACATTGAGTCTGCTCGAAGAACTCGAAGGACGTCGTCGAAGCAACTCGGAGAAGCGGTGAGCCTTTGATCAGTAAGCATGTTTCTGCCTTGTTTGCTCTGTTTGCATTGTAAATCACGTGTGGCCATTATATTACATAAGCATTGCCACCGCCACCACGTTTTTCCGCGATTCGCGGGCAAAAAGGCGAAAGAGCATCAAGACGGCCGATGCGAGCTCGATCTGATATCAGTAAAAACTAACATCTTCATCAAGTGCATCTTTCTGGACTGATCTGTGATGGCGCCCGCAGATAACAGCGAGAATCGTCCTTCGAACGGACAATCCGCACCCTCCCAAGAACGTCGCACTAAGCCCGAGCCAGCTGAAGATAATCCGTTCATAGCATTCCGACGCTATGCCGACGAGCATATATCGTCCATGCTACAGTCGATTATTGGACTTCCCTCAGTAATATTCCCGCCGTCCACCAAAGATTGGTTGGTGTTTAATGACGAGGAGCTGAGTCAACTCATGAAGAATTGGCGCCGTGTCGCAGACGAGGAATTGAACAGAGCAAACAACCGAGATCCCCAAGCGTCTCGTCGGCACGCTGATTATGGAAAATGGGACGATTGGCGAAATCAAGGCCATCGATATCCAGGCCATGCTTTCCCGTCTAGTATTTTCGACGCAATCTTCGACAGCAATCTTCCTTTCGGGTCGTCCTCTTTCTTTCACGAACTCTCACCATTTCGAAACCCTTTCTTCTTTGATTTGATGTCGCCAGGCATCTCTGCTGGCTGGCCGATGTCTTATATCTTACTCTCGCCGTATTCGCCCTTGCACTTGGAACACCACCAGCAACTGGATAAAGGTAGCGACCATGGTTTAATGTCCTGGGCTTCACCCTTTGATCCGGCCCATGGCGGCCAACAGAGCAAAGAACCTCGATGGAGGGAAGCTTTCGAAGACCTGTTACGCATCGAAAACGGTAAGGATATGCTCGATCGAAACGTTGCTTTGCAGAATAAACAGGTGTCAGGGAAAGACTGGCTGGTTGGAATGATTGAGAGAGGAAGCCTTGGTGCCGGTTGGAAATATGTTCATAGAGATGGTGGTCGAGGGGATTACTTCAAATACACATTCGAAGACCTTGCTTCGAAGGAGGATCCTAAACAAGCTCCACTTCAGCGGAGTGAAGGACGGGACACTGAAGAAGAAGGGTTCACTGAAATGGATCTCTACGACGCATTTCTCCGCGACGTTCATGACGAAGACCGCCCCCTAAAGAGCCCCCTTTTGAACCTTATCCTAGAAAGCCGAGAGAAACAGAGAATGGAGCATGAAGAGTCACGACGGCGGAGAGAATTTGATAATGATAATAAGAATAGCGATATACAAGATTTTTATGACACCGAAACCGAGCTGGACCACTATGAGCGCCAACTGAGTGGCATTTCACAGGGACCATCCGCTCTTTCAGAGTCCGAGCTAGACCTCCCGACTATCATATCAACCGTCACAACGACAGAACGCCGAACGCTCCCAGATGGCAGTGTACGGACCAAGAAGGTAGTAAATAAACGGTTTGCTGACGGCCGGGAAGAAAGCGTCGAGACTGAAGAAATCTCGAGCTCAAATCAGCCACACCAAGTCAATCCAACTGAAGATAATGATGCAGGAAGCCTTGCAAAGACAGAGCCCAGGGCCTCAACAAATAAAGATAAGCGAGGTGGCTGGTTTTGGAGAGACTGATCGTCTGCACTGAGCGCTGGTTACTCTTCTCTTGTTAGTGTGCTCTTTTCCTTTCGACTTTATTTCATATCCTCTCCCTTGGATTCTCCCAATTATGTCTCAATATCTATCAAGCGGATAGCTGTAGCAGCCTTTTTCTCTCTCCTCTTCGGTTTTGGTTTGTTGCTGGCCGCTATACCAACCCTTGCCCCAATTTCCATCTGGTGTACATACGCGAATTGGGACATCTGCTCTCTTTATCGAATCAATCCCAGACTTATTAATTCCAATTCCGTGCCGACTTACTCGGTGCTAACCTTGTCTCTTTGCTTTAGTCGGTTTCCGCCCTGCGTTTTCAAGTCCCGAGGAACATCGCGGTGGCGGGGGATAATCGCGCATCATGACAAATCCCACTGGGCCATCACCAACCAGTTCCATATCTCGCCCTTCGCCTACACAACGCTTGCATATATAGAGAGCTGGTGCGGATTGATGTTGTATAGCTAATTGAACCACCCTGGCCTTCTTTTCCCCTGCGCCCCGCCCTTTGCCCTGCCTCCCACCGCCGCAAGGATCATGGCCCATCCCGTCGCTGATATGCCAAACCCTGAGCATATAGAACACGACTCGATGCTTTCGCGCAGGTTCGGCAGAGAGACTGCAAATTATTTTTCAAGTAGGGCTAATCCCGGTTGGAGCTCGTTTTGGTCCTTTTGCAGCCCGTTTTTAACGTTCCTTGAATAGGCTCTCCTCTCAATCGGGTTTCATTCCTCCGATCGGAATCGCCCTTCTTAGCCAGCGCTTTGAGACACCCTACTGCTCGCTTCTTACTCTTTAACCAGCTTGCGCCTCTCGTACGTAGTCCAGCCGAGCTTCACTATGCGACATACCAAGACGTGGAGTCACTCGTACCCGCGGATCTATACGACAAGTCAGAGGAAGAGGTGCTAAGGTCCTACCATTCCGGCAACGTGCTTCCATTGCTAGTGTTTTTGGGATTGGACGAATCGCGCGCGGAGGCATTGAGATATAAAAGTTATGCGGGCGCTCCATACTTTGCGCTGGACATCACGCCAAAAGGCGGGTTGGCGCAGAAAGCACAAAAGATAATCGACGCCATGGAGGCGAAGGGACTATCATTTCAAAATACACGAACTATCACCAGTTTATCTCCTGGAGACGGTATGGGGTATCCCTAACAGAGACAGGATACGCTGATTTCCAACATTTTCTCTCCTTCCCTAGCCGCCATCTACGCCCAATCTCGCGCCATCGTAGACTGGAACATCCGCAACGCGTTTTGCGGCACCTGCGGACACCCGACCATCTCCATACACGCCGGCACCAAACGAGCCTGCCCACCCACCGATCTCGGTCTCGTCGAAAACGGAGCCTCGGCCGGGGCCGCACGACCACCCTGCCATACCCGCACCACGATCTCCAACCTTTCCTTCCCCCGAACCGACCCCACCATCATCGTCGCAGTCCTCAGCCACGACAGCAACCGCATCCTGCTCGGCCGCCAGAAGCGATGGCCCCCAAATTGGTACTCCACCCTAGCAGGCTTCATCGAACCAGGCGAATCCGTCGAAGACGCCGTGCGTCGCGAGGTCTGGGAGGAATCCGGCGTGACGCTATCCCGCGTGCTCATACACAGTACGCAGCCGTGGCCGTACCCTGCAAACCTGATGATCGGGGCGATCGCACAGGTGGCGAAGCCGGAGAATGAGAAGATCAGTCTCGTGCATGACCCGGAGCTGGAGGATGCGCGGTGGTTTGAGACCGCGGAGGTCGAGGAGGCGATGAGGGTGGGGACGAGTGCACTGGGTAGCGAGCCTGGGCCGGAGTATAAACAGGGCGGACTCAGACTGCCGCCAAAGACGGCGATTGCGTACCAGCTCATCTCCGCGGTGGTCAAGGGTGAGTATTTGGGAGCTCCGCATGAATCCAAGATATAATGGGCATGTGTCAAATGATAAGAATTTTGACTTGATAGCCTGGAGCGTATATAAGTAGCGACCTACAAAATATAGACTGGATATATTACGATCTTTCTAATGTGGAATGGTCTTCAAAAAACAAGCCACGAGTTGCGATAAGGTGTTTGTCTAAATCTAAGAAATCTTCGAATACTACAGATAAGCTTCAGACCCGAGTCTTTTTAGAATTAGAGGAATGTTAAAGAATCTTTTGTCAAATGGGTGAAGGGAAGACACTGAGATCAAATCCTTCAAAGGGGACCCGACAACGCAGCGCCTCAAAAATGCAAAGACCACCACACATTGCGTTTACCCTCACAATGCCCATTGGTTAGCCTACCTGGCTTTGGTTCTATCCTCAGACCGAAAATAGTGTCGAGAGCATCCATTAAAACCATAAATTAAAAATTCGCACATACAAAAAAAGCCTGCTACCCCACAGAACGCCGTCAAATGCTATGTGATACAGAACCTCGTCAAGCTGATCTCATCGTACGGACCTTTTGGGCGAGTGGGAGAAACCGAGAACTCAAGGCACCGATCAAGTTTCGACGCCTTGAGACGTTGGCATAGACGTGTCTTCGCCTACTTTTGTCCGTTTGCGTTCCCTGTCAGTTGTTTCGCCAGTATTTGTGCTAATTTTCCGCTTTTCCCTTTCGCGTTGTTCTGCCCGGCGAGCTTCCTTGTCCTTTTCTTTCCGATGTGCTTTGGATTCGAATTCATGCCAGTCACCTTCGACGTCGGCAAGCCTGTGAAAAGAGCACAAAGATCAATAGACACGCTAAAAATCATTCATCGCTGAAGACTTACTCAATAGCTTGTTGCGGCGCTGGTTCCTCCTCTATGAAGTAAGGATGGGCGAGGACCTCCTCGGTTGACGGGCGTCTGGCGGGGTCGTACTGAAATATTTTTGAAACAAGATCAAGGGCGGCTGGTGAGAGAAAACCCCCATAACTATCTTCAAAGACTCGTTTCTTCCTCTCTCGGGGTCGCATGAGTTCGAACCACGGCATATCAACTATGGCAGGCCACTCAGTCCTTGTTGGAGTGCCTAACGAGCCGTATAGTTTATCGAGCTGGTTGATCTCGGAGCCATCTCCTGGGAAGATGGCCTTTTTGGTGAACATTTCCATGTATACACATGCAGCACTCCATACATCCACAGCTGGACCGTAGCGCGTCTCACCCAAAAGGAGCTCGGGTGGGCGATACCAGATAGTAATGACTCGGTTAGTATAATCAAGCTGTCGACTCTTCGAGAAAAATCTTGCCAGCCCGAAGTCGGCAAATTTCAATTGGCCCTGGTTGCTAATAAGGATATTAGCAGCTTTAATATCGCGGTGGAGAACGCCGCGATGGTGTAGATAATTCAACCCCTCGAACATTTGTTTAGCGAGGTGCTTTTTATGCGCAGAGGATAAGGTAAACGATGGATGGTTGATAAGGCCGGTCATGTCATGGGCAAGGTACTCGAATACCATGAAACATTCATTCCTCTCCACCATAACTTCTTGGAGACTGACAACGTTCTCATGCCGAAGGTGTTGAAGGAGTCTGATTTCACGGACAGCTGTAATCGGAAATCCATCTTTCTCCCCCTCCATCCGTATTCTCTTCAACGCGACCTTGTTCTTCGTAAAGACGTGAACAGCCTTGAACACTTTGCCATATGTACCGGCACCAATAACCGACTCGTTGCCAGGCTTGCGGTAATAAACGGAATCGGACTTTGAGAACTCTTCTGGTAGCGTTGGACGGGGCTTCATTCTTGTTAATACCACTGTCTTCGGTTTCTCTGAGATAGGTGATCTCTCGCGCTCTCGCTCGCGCTCGCGTTCTTTCCGTCTGTCTTGTTTACTATCTGGTCTCCGATCCTCTCGTCGGTCCCGGCGTCGATCATCCCGACGATCAAATCGGCGGTCTGTTCTCCTTCCATCACGATCACGCCTATCGGTGCGGCGATCTGGACGGCTTTCAAGCTTTGATCGAGATAGAGTAGATAGAAGTTCTTTTTTCGGGGGTTCTAGAGGGCGAGGAGGCGGTTCACGCATTTTCTGTGCAAGTCCAGATACTGGCTTTGGTACAGGCGTGGCTGGTGCCTTTGATTTAAAGGCGAAACTAAACTTTCCGGTTTCTTTAGGTTGTGATGATCCACTCGATTGTCGAGGTGGTGGCATTTTTTTCGAATCGTTGCTTTCATTTTTCTTGGCCGACTCTTCATCTTCCACTTGCAAATCTTTAGACGGCCGAAATGGATTATCGTCGTCATCATCAATGCCAGGAGACATACGTTCACTAACAGCATGGTGGGGTGGTTGAAGCGGCGGTAAAGATGGAGCTGGAGGGCCCGATTGGGACCCTCGGCCACGGCCACTAGATGCTGTCCATTGCAGGCTTGTGAAATGTCCGCTCCTAGACCTTTGGGGTTGTGCTGAGGACCCATAGCTTTGAGAGCTTGTTGTTGAGAAACGACGATCTGTTGGTGGAGGTGGTTGGTTATAAGGATTGCCGCGATAGGTAGAATTGCCTCCGCGATAATGTGGTTGTCCAGAGTAACTCGGTTGTCCGGTGTTAGGGGATGTAGGATACTGAGATTGCTGGCCTTGATAGTATTGCGCTTGTGAACCCCCCTGAGACGAATAATTTGGCGGCCGGTAGGAGGGGGAATATCCATGTACTTGTCTAAAAAGAAGTCAACATCGTCAAATTCCACTTAAAAGAAAGGAAAGAAAGAAAGAAAGTAACATCCGCATAGTAAGATTGGTTAGGTGACTAACCTCTGTTGTCCATGGGCGTATGGTGGTTGCTGCCCTCCTGCCCATGAGCCTCGAGTACTACCGTAAGGTGAACCGGACTGGGGAGACGAATGGCGGGAATCGGTGCCTGGTACGTATTGAGGAGAAGTAGCATATTGTTGTCTAGTGTCGACAAGCGGACGAGCTTGTCGGCGAGAGCCCCGTGAATCCGAAGGATGCATATCGTGTGATGATAATGAGTCACGCATATGACTATCGCTGTCAACAGAGTGATTGGAACTCGGGATATCTGAGTCCAGAGTCGGTCGGGACTTCGATGGCAAATCCGAGATATCGTCTAAGCGTGGCGGATGTGTGCTCCGCAAGCTCAGGGGAGGCGAGGTTTCTTTTGATGCCTTCGACACGAACGAATGACGGGACGGCGGTCGAGAAGGATGCTCTATCGAAACGCGTGAATAGCGACTGGGCGAATGGGGAGGTGATGCACGGCGTCCAAAATCGGTGGGAACTGGAGATCTAGAGCGCCTGCGGCGAGAAATGGACAGGGAATCAGACCTTGCTGTTTGGGAATAATGAAATTCTCGTCCATGCTCTGTTTCCCGCGGCGGCACAAACCGCTTTGGAGACGGATAACGCTGCGGGCGTCTGCCACCTCTTCCAAAACGATCCCCTTCGTCATGATCTCTCCCTTGCTTGTGGCTAGGACGACGATGGGAACGAAATGGAGAGGGGCTTCGACTCCGCCTGCGCTTTGGGAAGGGAGGATGTGCTGACGACAGGAGAGAATCTTCGCTCTGTCGAGACCTTACCTGATTTTCAAAGGAAATCTTGGCGTCTCGATTTTCCCGTCGGGTGGTTTCGAAGCGGTTTGCTTTGGTATTTTCACGGTCTTCACGCTCGCTGCGAGGGTTAAAAGGTCGGCGTGAATGGTAATGGGCTGCAGAGCTAGCACCACGGCCTCGACTGGATCTTTCTCGTTCGTGAGGACGCGAAGGTGGCGGCGATCGTTGGCGACGATAGAGCCTATCCCTTTCTCTTGGGCGATGGTGGTTTATCTCTCTGTCGTAATCGCCGTCGGCTCTCCAGTGGTCTCTCATCGACGGGCTCCTTCGCGACGGGGCCATGTAAACGTTGACAGCATGGGCGTTGGGTGACTTGTCGGCGATGGCAAGGTGCGTAGAGCGAGAGAGGTGGGTTTGATATGGATGGGCGAGTCTGGAGGTAAAAGTGCCCGTGGATTAGCAGCAAGTGCTGGAACGGCGCTTTGGTGGCTTGTCAGCAGCACGGCGGGCCACGCGCACCACTCGCGAAAGGTTATTTTTCGCCCATCAACCAGATATATCCAGCACCACGGCGATTGGGAACCGCGCTTCCGGGGACAGTGATTGACTGACCTGCACTCCATGACCAGATCTGGCTGTGTGTTGTAAGCCCGCTGGTGTCGGGTTGCGCGAGAGTCCAACCGATTAAACATTGCTCCGTGTTGAATCCGCTGATATATCCTTTAAGGGCTCAGCGCATGCTGCAAGTCCCAGTTCCAGTGCTGAGTCGGCACGAATTTCAAGGGCTCGGTTGTTTCTGTGGTGCCGTCAGAGATCTTTGCGTGCTGCTTGACCTCCTCTTTGACCTTGCCTTCGGACAAGTCCTGGAGCCCGCCGTTGCAGCTGTGAAGAATCTACGATATTTCTGAAGTGACGGACAGTAACCCAGACAAATGTCCGGTAACTCGGAGCAAAACGCAAGGTCAAACAATCTCGACCTCTTGCCGATATCGCAACTCCCATGAATGAGCTTTGGGAATCGTGGCCGTGACGCAAGTTGGCAGTCCTCCTGGTTCAGATAAAGAACCAGCATTTTTCCAAAACCCAGCTCGCAACAAAAATGTTTTGCAAATCCTGTGATGGTGCGGACATGCCAGAAACACCTATCTATCTACGAATTGAAATTGCGAAGCATGTAACCCCAATGCCCATAGTCTTGGTCAGTAAAGGGCGGACAACTCGCTCGGCAGACTCAAAAGTGCAGCCTAAGGATCTTCTTGAATCTTCAATCCCGCCTGAGGCGTCCAGGCACTGCGAGTTTGAAACGGGTGCTGAGCAACGGATCGTCCAATGGCCGGGAAGTTGGGGCGGTTTCACTGGCGTAGCCCCCAACACAGTTGTACAAAACACACGACCTGTAAACAGTCAGAGTATTTGCCGCGATAAACCAGTTTAGTGTCAGAATGAAAGAAGTAACGCAGCTAAGTAACTGTGGCCCTTTGAATGACAATAGCTCATTTTACTGCTTGGTCGTCCCATGTGCGCCGGATAGAAAGACATCCGTGGTAGCTGATTGAATAAGGATGTGCCGGAGCACATTAAACTGGTTAGCAAAGACCCATTAATATGAATCCTCATGCAAAGATGCGTCTTCAACGATCAGTGCCATACACCTTCGAACTGTGGTGAAAGCAACCCAAGACCTCCGTATTATTCTTGTCCACGCTCATATAGTGCTGAGAAGATGATGATCGCTGGGAATACTCAGGCCAGTCAATTCCCAAGGTAGACATCCGGTGACGTTCCATCCGATCTAGCTTCACGCAACTCGACAAAGCGGGGGCCGCAACTTGTGGTCGTTACTGCTGGATACCAAGTTCGACCACTACACGAATAGCAACTCAGTTGTAGGCCACCGGCGTATCCCACGAAAACCGCCGCAGAGCCGTAGAAATCATCCATTTGGGCAAGGAGGAGGCGCTCGGTGTATGTATGACGTTCTGGGCGCTGGGACAGATGAGCCGATCGGGAGACCCCCGCCTCGGTGAGGAGACCACTTGGAGGTTCAACCCCATCATTGTACCGCCTTTCTAGTTTGACCGTGGAGTAGGAGAAGACTGCTAAGATGAATGACACGGAGAAAGAATACAAACCCGAGAGATGAAGACATTGGATTGCCCATGCTGGTTGTGATTCAGGTGGTTCGAACTAACCCCATATGGAGGTCACGTGCTACTCTGACTAAGCGCCCTTGATTTCAACCTTCAATCATGGAGTTGATACAAGTTCAGTAGATATTGGTAACAATTTGCCTAAAGAATTACTTTCAACCCTTCGGATACTGGTCGAGCGTCAATACAACCGTAAACCAAAAAATATTACCAGTCAACTATCCGATTCGTTTTGTTCAGCAAAACTAGAGTCTTGCCCTGTCTGGAACGTCTTTCCATGCCTCGGGGAACCCAGTCGACCTTATCCATAACTCACCGGGGCCTTGGATTGAATCGGCAACTATAGCGGAAATCAATGAGGTTAGAAGAATGATGTGTGTCTTGGTAAAATTGATAGGCAAAGGGTGGAAGCTTACCCATGTTGGCGAGCTTGAGCCACATGTCACCTTTAACAGGAAATCCGTTTTTATTTTCATAAGGTTTGCAAACTTTTTCGCCGTATGCTAGAGTTCGGAGGAGTTTGACTGCATGGCCGTCCTCTTCCCTGTTTGCGAAAGCGGCTGCAAAGGTTTCTTCCCATGTTTTAACTGGTTTGTAGTTTGTGATCTCGTCGAAACGAGGTTCAGCGCAGTGTCTGGACACATAGACAAGCAGGTCCATTCGACCCTTCCACTCAAGCAGACGCTGTTTATTGTGCTGGCTTATCCACGGCTGGGATACGAAGACGGGAAGGAAAATGGAGCTGTTGACGCAATGGATGTAGAAAAAATCAAATTTCACTCTCTTCGGTGGGTTCTGCGCGGCACCGGTGTAGTATGCTAGTTGGTCAAGTTAGTACAACATCCTTTCAAAAGTAGGCGGCTGTCTAAGAAGCAAAGCATATGCCTTCTTACCAACAGCATTAATCAGTTCTGCGAGCCGTTGGTCTATCTGGTCAGGGCCGACTGTAAATTGACTTGCAACCTTCATCATTTCTTCGGGAGCACGTTTCAAGACGCCATCGAAGATTTTGTTAGAATCGGCCCAATGAGCCGAATCTCGGAGACGTGGATCCGCACGGCAATCATTTTGGAGCTCTACTAGAGTTTTCTCTCCACTGTGCCCGACACCGCCGGCCTTTTGTTCAGAGTTAACCAGAAATTCCTTGAGGCGTGCATCATGAGCAGCAGTCTGGGCAAGAGCTTCTGCAACAATTGCAGGTTGTTTGAATTCTAGGCCAAAGCCAAGGTGAATAAATGGATGAATAAGGCCTATCACACAATCAGCATATGCCCGAGAGCAGGTTCAACAAGAGTCAAAGTGAGATGGGGATACTAGCCTCCGAAAGTTCGAACAAGCATGTCATCTGCAAATTCATCGCCTTTGAATATGTACTCATCAACGACGGCCTCGACGCCTTTTGCGTCAATCTCTCGCTGAAAGAATTCTAGGAAATGAGGGTACTCTTCCCTCTTTCCGGCCAAAGCTTTGAATTCGTCCCTGTTGCTTAATTTTTTGACAATCTCTTCATTTGCAGGGCGTGCGGGTCTCTGATACTCTGCTGCCCGGCGATACGCTGCCTGCATGTCTTCTGGCGAGGCGCCAAGTGCAAAGAGCGATAAAAGGTGATGGGCTGTGTGATCTGAAGAGGCCTATCAATCTCCATTCAAGGCAAGCAACCCTTTGAATGATTTTAAAGAGTATCAAACCGAGTGAAGGGGTTTCGAAAAGCCGTAGGACCTAGGCTGGCTACCTACTATGAAATCCTGAATCATTGAAAAAGATATTGTGAACCTTCATATCCTCCTGCAAAAGTTGGCTTGCCTTTGATGCAGAGTCTGCCCTCGGGTTGCATCGGAAGACTCCAGAGTCTTCAGTAGACAACTTCACTGACCTGGCGGTAGCCATTGTCCTTCGGCCTTGTTTCGTGCAAGGGGTATTGATCAGACAAAAAGATGCTCTCGCTAACGGCGGCGATAAAGCGGTTCTCAGTTGAGGTGAGGTCACCGAATACAATAAACGGGCTGAAACAGAAGCAGTGCGAGGATGGTATATCATATGAGAAGCAATGAGCCAGGCAACTATTCTTAACCCTCTCGAAGAATCGACCTCTCATACACCTCCTTGCCGACTCTTATATCTATCCAAGCAACTTTCAAAACAGGGCGGAAGGCCGTGTTCCAGATTCTTTGGTGACTAATTGGACATTCCGTTTGCTTGGGATGTTCCAAAGCATCAACGGAGTGACGGAGTCTGTCTGCCGCCGGCCGATGCTGCCAAAATCCCGGTTTAACAGTTGCTGATTAATCTGATGTCAGGCCTCCTTGGCGCCAAGATTCGCTGTGTTTATCTGCACCTCAGAAGAACCTCAACTCATGGATTGCGAGACGAACAGCCTGTCTGCCCCTGCTAAGCCATACGACCGAAGAGCCCATTCGATTACTATAGCGGATGCTTGCTATTGAGATGTTTCTTGGTGCGGCCCAAATACAAGTTCGAGTTTCTAGCTCAGATATTGGCAACGGCAAGCCACACAGGTGTATACGAGTTCCGAGCCTAGATGAGGGAGGATTATCAATTACAGCCATGTCTGTGAGTGGCATGAAGCGTCTGGAACTATGCTCTATGCTGCTGTGCAGCGGACTTTTTGGGAGGCTCCGGAACTGACCATCCCTTCTTCGTTGACGCCCTGAGGCCCGACTTGCTAACATTGTCTGGCATTGATCGAGTTAACTTTGTAGGATTTCGTCTTATGTGTCCCGTATATCTTCATATCGAGCAGCCGCCTGCTTCATATGAAAGATTATCAATTGAGATAACTACAGTTTAACAGCACATGCACGGAAAATAAGGATATTAACTGCTAGTTGTGCTCCTTATGCAGCATACAGATTGGACAACTCGTCGTGAATCAATACTCTCTCCAATTTTTTTTTTGTTCATTTTTCCCTCCCTTTTTTGTCAAATTTTGCAAAATATTGGCACATTCTTCCTTTTTAATGAACGCAGACCTGCCATTTGGTCAACTGTCGACTGTCATGGACCGGGTGCCTTTCAGCGAGCCGAATAGTGTATGATGTGGGCCACGTTTAGATAAACACAACCCGCTCTGAAACAGGTTTTCCGATTCCTTTGTTCCTCTTGTCCTCGTCGGGAACCAGCAACTCTTCCATACCCTCTAATCGCTCTAAATTCCGCCGCTCCGGGATGGGCGGGATGTCCTGCAGGCTTCTTGGGTTGACATATCCCCACAAAAACATATCCGTATAGTGCGCCTGGAGGTTCAACCGCCGGTGAATAGACTCCTTGAGAATGATATCGTCCGGGCGCTGCAAGCAGACTCGGCTACCTGTGCGTCCCCATCCTTCAAATTGCATGATGCCGATCTCGTGAGCCGGGATATCGAAGATAGGCTGGCCTGTAAGGCGAGCAGGAGGTTGCCATTTCCACCGAACGAACATTTTGACCGCGTCCATCTTACTTGTCAATGCTGTTCGCTTTAGAGTTTTCCAAAATGCCGACAAACTCGGTTGCGATAAGAGCATTCGGCGCATTCCATCTCGACCACTTCCAGTTACCGGGTCTGTAAAGCGCATGTCCATTTTCACAAATAACAAGGTCGCAAAGAATATGTCGGCATCAGTGAAAATTTCGCGATTTTGGATCGTTCCGATTCGACGAGTGCTATCCGGAATGTCCATCACAAACCATATTTTCTTCATGACCGATTCGCATTGCTCGGGCAACGGAGTTCCGTCCTCGGCCATAATCATCCTAATTTCGTGACAAGCCATCTCGCGGAAGCAGATCATGAGGAGCCAGCGGAATGATGGGACTTTGCGATGATGCCCAACCGCTGCGCGTTGTGCGATCGGGTGTGGCCGCTGTCCTGGATCATCAATGCAAAGCTTCGAGTAGCAACGGAACGGGAAGATCTTTGCAGATTCAGGGGCACGTCGCAATGCTTGGGAAAGAATCACGGTTGTATAGCGCTGGTTGATAATATTATGGAATGGCTTGCAAATCCTATACAGGATAAGAAGTTCCTGCACGCGAAGGTGGCCTGCTAATGTGATTATCAACTCTGGCCGTTTGAGGAGCTCCTGAAATACGCTGAAACGCGGCTCACACTGCTGGTGCGCACTTGTACGGCCGTATTCTGAGGCAGTTCGAGAAAACTTCGTGATGGAAAAATGTTCCAAGGACGGAGATGGCATATCAACCTGCACTAGGTCACCGAAGCTACGATATCCATTGCTGGGTCCTCGGAACATTAATCGATGGGGACGAAAGCTTCTTGGTGTCACTTTAACGACCCGTCCACACTGGTGGGACAACCCCCGAATTACAGACGCTCCGGCATTGATGTTCGGAATTGTTCTGCCAAGCGTACCATTTCCTGGGTAGATTTGGCGTGCCCGTACTGCCTGAAGTCTTCTTTCATGATATGCTCTTTTCCTTGCTTCTGCTTCAGCCAGGAGCTGCTTGGTGACGGCTGGTAACTTTCCATCGACATTTCCTGGAAGGCTGGTATCCCTGGTTTGTATACTCGGCAAACTTGTTGCATTCCCGCAATGATTTGTTCGCAAACTGATTTGACCGTCGCTTGCAATGCGACTTGGGTTTGTCGATGATATTCCTGCGGGGCGACCGACTTGCATGTTTTGGTTAAGCCTTAAAACTGATAGGTACTGCTCAGTTGTCGCAAGCATACTGGATAATTCTTGTTGATTCACGGAGGGCATGCTAGCAGCTCTTTGCTTTGGCAATACTACTGTCAACGCAGGTTCAGGCAAGTGTTGCTCAAATGGTCGACGTCTCCGTAATACCAGGTTTTGGGTATGAACTGCAGGAGATTCCCCCTCCGTGTGGGTTTTGGGTGCAAGGGGGTTCACACTGCTGGTATGTGCATCAGCCCTCCCTTGTTCTCCCGGATCCAGGTTTAATCCTTCTGCTTGAAAACCTTGTGGCAATGCCTGACGAATGCGCATCCTGCTTCTCTGACTTTCACTCTGAAACCTGCTCTGATTCTCTTCCTCATTTCTTTGCGGAAACTCCTGGTTCGTATTGCGATCATTGTTCGATGCGTGACAATTTTGCTGAAGTCGGCTCTCTTGCTGGGCTGGTCGTTCCTCGCTTGAGATTAAAGAACTGGAGGAACGAGACGGTTGACCTTGATTACCGTGGTCCACCCTACGGCTGGTTCCACGGACACGGGGAACAGAAGCCGCTGGCATTGGTTTCTTCTTCGGTCTCTTAGGCGCCATATCAACAGTCTTTGACCTGCAGTACAGGTATGTGAGCATCAAATTTCCTCAAGATCTAAAAGATTTTGAAACCACGTTAACTTACTACCAGTGGATTCCTTTCTGCATTAGACTACTCTGTGCCTGACTGGGGTCCACCAACCTTTGATAGAAAATCCTATGGCTCAACGCAAGGACGAGTCTCAGGACGCGGTGGCGATACTAAGCTAGGCTTGCCTGGAAGATGTCTGAGGTCAGAGCAGATGTCTCAATGGCAAGTTCATAGGCACATACTAATCCAATGGGTTTCTGTTCAACTCTTAAGGCTCACTTAGAGTACCTTCGACAGGTAGGCTTTGTGTGGATCCGGAAAGTTCCCCTCTTACACAGATGTGTTCCTGTGATGATGGTTTTTATTTCCTCAACCCAACAATATTGGCAGTTTGGTTCAATAGTCTTGCTTCACCAAGGACAGAAAGAAATGGATGAGAGAATGAAGATGTTCTTGATCATAGAAGGTAAGTGGACAGAGAAAGTTGGCAAGCAATGAAAAGCTATATGCAGATCGTCCTCCTCCAACAGCACTTGGTTCCCACTCTTGAACAAAGTGAGGTGAAGTGAAGTGAAGCAAGGTGAGACGAGGTGAAGTGAAGCTAACTAGTTGATCGTGGCCTTGTTTATTTTGATACTCAGACAAACACACCACTCCGTCACGTTTTTAAAATGTAATTCGGAATACTCCGCTTACCAATGCAATTTGTGTTATGTGAGGGCGGCAAGATGATATTCCATGCTTATATTATCCCTGATGCTGGGTGGTTTGGCTTGGTTAACAATGGTATTCCCCAGCACTTTCAGCACAGGGTGCACTATTGGTTCTTGATATGGGAAAAAGAAGCATCTGATGGTGCGTTCTGCAAATGTTCGAGAAGTAACCAAGGGCTATTCTAGAACGCTGATTTCAATTAGGTGACTATCTATTGTGTGGCCTTTACAAATATACAATTAAGCATAAGTTGAACTAACGTTCGGTGACGTAGTTAGATTGTAGTAGAAACAATGGTCATATCTTGTGCTGGATAACAACTGCACTCAGTAATGATATTCAGCGGGTGTTGGGCGCCCAATTGAAAATCCTCAAAAAAAGTTTGTAAGGGGAGGGCTTGATGAAAACCGCCTTCTGTTGCCCCTTGTGGTCATACTGTGACTCATCTCATTTCATTTTTTCCCTGTTGAACAGGACTCCGCCTCACATTGGGGAGAATTGCACTCAAAAGGCAAAGAGGGGTTGAAAAATTCCAAAAAAAATACATGCATGTGGTATCCAGAACACCTTTAGAAACCTGTTGAAAGGCCACAGTAGAAAATCCAAAGTTCAACCACCCTGTGGAAAAGATACAAGTGTATATGTGAGTAAATTGTACAATGATAGGTTTCGTCAAGCGTGGAGTTGTAATCCTCGTAATCGGCGTTGAGTCTATGAAGAAGCTCATTTGCGGTTTAGCAGGCTCAGAAATTCTTCCCGGGTCTTCGCGCTTGACCTCATGCAACCGAGCATGCAGCTGGTAGTAGTGGTGCTACCGGTTTTCTGGACTCCCCGCATCACCATGCAGAGATGGCTTGACTCCATAACAACGGCAACGCCTTGGGGTTTCAGCACTTCGGCAATCGCCAATGCGACTTGCTTTGTTAATCGTTCTTGAACCTGGAGACGTCGAGAGAACATCTCCGCTAGACGAGCAAGTTTGGACAAGCCAAGGACCCTTCTATCGGGGATATAGCCAATATGCATCTAAAGCAATATTAGTGAGTTTCACCGGCATAGCAACGTAAAGGAAGGTAAATCTTACCTTTCCTGTGAACGGAACCATGTGGTGCTCGCATAGCGAAAACACTTCAATATCTTTCACAATGACAAGCTCATCATGGTCTTCATGGAATACAGCGCCATTAACTAGATCCCGAACATTCTCCTCATATCCCTTGGTAAAATAAAGCATTGCCTTGGCATATCGCTCTGGGGTTCCAAGCAATCCTTCACGTTCTGGATCTTCGCCAATGCATTCAAATATAGTCCTCACAGCGCCTGCAAGCTTTTGAATTCTTTGTTCTGTCTCTTCAGGAGTAGACTCGAGTCGCGCTCTGGTTCCAATACCTTGTGAAGGGGAAAGCGAATGTTAGTGATATTCTCTGAAAAGCGAGGGGGATCAATTTACTAGGCCAGCTGAGCCCGTCGAAATCTATTGGCGGATTTAGGGTGTATGGGCTCGCAGGTCGACTGAGAAGTGGAGTGGGGACCATGTGGTCTCTTGGATCTCGTGGGGGCTCGCTGATGTTTCGCTTCGCATCTGTGCTGCCATCAAGCTGTTTGCTTAGACCGCGGCCACTGTCCCTACTTTCAATGGCATCGGTCACGGTGGTCCGTATCGGTAGTGAGATGCCGTTGTCCCGGATCTCTTCGTCAGAAATCTGTGTTCGCGCAAATGAAGTTTGTATAGACGAATTGAGGCTGTCTCTCTCTCGTTTTCTGCTCGGCATACGATCCGAAACACCTCCATTAATCAAATAGGAAGGAATTGCGGATTTGGGCTTCGGGCCTAGTGGTGGTGAAGTCTCAGATCCCATGGCGAACGTCGTCCAAAAGGCAGTACGGCGAAAAGGGGTTAAAGGTATTGCCCGGAGCAACGGGGATATGGGTTGAAGAGACGATTATAATGAGCAAGCCAGCATCCAATCCTATGTTTTATAATAGTGATCACTTCGTTGACCAGAGCAAACACCCAGCGTTGGAGTCGCAGAGCTGAGATTGCGGGATCCCAGCAGGAAAATTGCCAGTCGGGATTAGATAAGCAGCTGATAAGGCGCAAACCTTAATCCATATCGGGGAAGTTTAACTACCCCGCAGGCGCTAGCCTCTTTGGTCGTTAGGGGCGTCAGCTGCTACCTGGATGACTCAGCAGAGATATCAAATTCCTGTTTCAGAAGCGGAAGGCTGGTTGATCGCTTACTTCGTGAGGCACTCGGGCGGCTTTGCATACTTCCTCTCCAGGACCGAGGATACAGAGACCCAGAGCTTAGAGTGGGTTGCATTCGCTGGTATTGGGCGTGACGTGCTTGGCGCTTGATCAATACGGAGAAGATACAAGAAAGCTGCTCAGTTAATTCGCTTCTTCATCTGGATATAGTACAGGCCCTGTTGTAGTTTATTATGATTGTCCAATTCAGCCAGGGATCTCGCACCCGCTTAGATTGTAAAATCATCGACTTGAATTTCACGTTTCCAGTTCCTCCGTGGGCACGTCCTCCATATCCTTCCCAACAATCGCATCCGCCACTTTCCAGACTTGAAGCAGATTGTCTTCAGCGGCAGAGCAGAGAACCCAAGGATCGTTAAGATTCCAGCTGAAATCGGAAATACGGTTGGTGTGGCCACCATGTACAAACAGTCTGTAACAGCAATATGATTAGTGCCACCGCTTGGATTGATACACAGGGTGTAGAAAGACTTACAACTCTGGCGGACCATCTTGGGAGTCTTCTTGCGTTTGCTCTTCGCCCGCTCGACTAAGATCCCAGAACATTATCCTCCGGTCGTAGCTCGCACTTGCCAAGACCGCTTCTTCAAATGGATGCCACGCTAAAGTAGTAACCGAATCTTGATGGCATTCTAAGGCATGGAGCTTGGATTTCAAATTTCGTAAATCCCATAGGCCGATGCTTTTATCCGCAGAGCCTGTGGCGAGTACCGTTTCTGCCGCGGGATTGAAAGCGATAGAATTGATTGCATCTTTATGTTGGCCCGTAGCTGATGCAGCAGATCGCGATGTGTCGGGTTCACGAATATCCAAAATTTGGAGAGTGATATCGTCGGATACCGTGCCAATAAGAGATGAGTGTAGCGGGTGGTATTGGACGTCGTTTACAATCGAGGAATGGTGTGTATATGTCCGCACAGGTTTCAAAGCCCTATTCCCTTTGGTGTATTGGGTAAGGTCCCTAGAAGGTGTTAGAACGCGTTTGGAGCTAAGCAACATTGATCGCACGAACCAGAGCCGAACGGTTTCGTCTTCACTACCAGTCGCAAGATGCCCCGCGCTATGCGGGCTCCAACTTAGACCAAATCCTTCCTTTGTGTGCCCGAGCAATTCCAATTCGGGATTGACGGTGCCAGTAGGTAGGCTGGGATGTTTAGAGCGGTCCCAAATCATAACCCTTCCATCGGTGCACATGGTACCAATTATATTCGGGTTTTGCGGTTGGTATCGCGCCTTGTTCACTTCTCCTTTATGGTCAATCTTTTGCACGATATGAAATTTGACTTCCATGGGAGCTTTTTGGGACCCCGCGCCTCCATATCCTCCGATTTCTCCTTTCTCATCATCGTAGTCCTCCGCGTCGGGGGTTCGTGGGTTTGGTAGTTGCACATGGGCAATCTGTAAGTAGTTTTGCGCGTCATTCGAGGTATGAGTGCCAATCAACAGACGATGTGTTGAATATGGTTTGTCAGGGATTCTAAATCGACGATGAGCGTATTCGATTTTGTTTCGAAGCGGGGTTCATGAACGTACTCTTGTTTATCTGGCAGCCATTGAGTGGTGAGAGTAGGCCACTCTAACGCTGTACTCAAGATCATATCATACAGAAACGGAGCATTTTTCTTCCATGTTTTGTATTCTGATTCAAATTTAGCTTCCAATCCGGTTTTATCCATCAGTAAACGGCGTTGATTACCTTCATTAATGATCTTCTCCTCCGAGATTTCTTCCTCTTGTTCTTCAGTGACACCTGTTGCACGCGTTTAGTGGCTATGGCTGGTTTCCTCAAGGTCAATCAAGCTTACTCGGATCGTAGTCCTCCATGGCACTATTTTCAATCTTGCAATAGTTTTAAGGTATGGTCTCAAAATAGGCACGCGCGCTGAAAAACCGGGGAAGGAATTGAAACTAGAGACTCACTTGTCTTCAGAAGCACGACATGAGAGCTCTTCGAATCACGATCGTACCGCGTGAATCGATTGGGCTTATGTCAGCAAAGCTATCCCTTGGCAGTGTCATGTGACTGATAGCCGGACTTTAGATAAACCGGTTTACATTCTTTACGCAGTTGAATAATTAAGGTATTTCCCCAGTTGATGCAGGTATCCAGTTGGCGCCATGCCGGTAGGACTGGTCTCTTGGTCTGTCATAAGTGTATTAATATATAGCTATACATGTGACATCTGCCACTGGGGAAGAGGTGATGTCCCACCACGAAGCCTGGATTTTAAACGCCAACTTCGCACTTTGCAAACCTGCCACCTGGAAATTTAATTACCATGGAGCCCGAATGCTCGCTGAGTGATTTCTTCTGGGTCAGCGAGGGAGCCAATTGCTATGTCTATGAGGTAAATCCTCTCATAGTAGTAAAGGTTCCTAAAGCCGGGGAAGAAGAGAGAGAGCAATTCCGCAAAGAGATTAAGATCTTCGACATCATCTCACGCCATCCTCCCTCTCCTTATGTGATAACCTGCTTCTTGCATACTGATGATTGTATCTTTCTCGAGTATATGAGAGACATCTGCCTCTCCTAGCGAATTCAACAGAATCACACACGGGACCACAAGACAATGCGGGTTACCAGTGTGGAGAAATCAGAACCACTCCATCTGCGAAAGACATGGATGAACGACCTCTCCCATGGTTTCACTTTCCTCGAGTCCCTGAACCTTGCGCACGGTGATCTCAGACCCGAGAATGTTCTGCTTGACCGCAACCGCCTTAAGCTTTCCGATTTTGACAGCACGGCAGAGATTGGATCAGAATTCGAAGCGTGCATTGCCCCATACGGACGACTCCTTTGTAGTGAAGGCGGGGCCTATCAGGGAACTGCGGGCTTCCTTGGTCCACGAACAGAGCAGTTTGCTCTTGGATCGTTATTCTACCTGATAAATTATGGTTTTGAGGTTTACGGTGACCAATGCTTCGGCGACGATCCCTCTGGTAAGGAGCATGGGCCTGTTGTCTTGGATCTGCTACAAAAGATGATATTTCCGGAGCTGAACCGGGAGCCAGAGATCGACTCCATAATCAGGAGGTGCTGGTACGGTGAATATAAGACAGTGGCCGAATTGGCAATGGATACAGAAAAACTGTGCTGCAGTATTGGTGATGTTTCCAAAGGCAAGATTGAAAGTGCTAAGTGTTCAGCAGCAATATCTGCTAGTGACTTCTCATTACAAAGGAAATTCTGCCGGGATTTAGTCAACAGCGGGATCCCTAAAACACTCTCTTTGCGGAACCCTCGAGATCTTCGGCTTCCCATGAAGCGCAGGCATATTTGTTGGGACTTACTCCGGGAGTAAGACATTGATTATGTTTACAGGGACATGACAGATAAATTTCTTTACTACTTTGTCAATCCTAGAACCCAGCAAGACCATTGACAAGCTACCTTCCTACATATGTGCCCTTCAATCTGTAATATCAAAGTTGCGAAGCCGTCGAAAGGCCTGGTAATACAGCATGGCACAGCAGCGAAGAAGAAAAGAAGAAAGAAAGAAGCCGGACCAGCAGTAGCAGGACTGAAAGAAGTGGTTACAATAAGTGGTTGCGATGGTGATACGATGTTGATGCTAGCTTTTTGATGCGAAAAAAGTCGTGGGAGCCGTTTGAGCCTGCTGGGGTAAGCAGATTTTTGGCACTACGACCAAGGCGACCCGCTTATGTAATCAAATCTATGGGGCCGCCACGTGACTCCGTCGATGGCACATCACAAGGCCCTCGTTCAGAAGCTCTCCATCGAAAGGTTGCAGTGTTGCGAGACACGCTTCGGTTCTGCTGGTTATTTACTTCTGAGTGCTAATTCTTTTGTACAATTGTTTCCTTTTCGTCACGATATTCAGGAATGGTTTCATAGCTTAACACTTGCGTCCAAACACATTTCCGTCGAGTTCATCTTCCAGGTTATCTTACGCGCCCCTCGTCACGACCGCCTCTCCTACCTAAGACCCGGCCGCAATCATGGGCGTTCCAAAGTTCTTCAGATGGCTCTCAGAGCGTTATCCAGCAATTTCGCAGCTCATTGCAGAGAATCGCATTCCCGAGTTTGACTGCCTCTACCTCGACATGAATGGGATCATCCACAACTGCACACACAAAGACTCAGACTCGCCCACTTTTCGCATGACGGAAGATAAAATGTTTATCGCTATATTCAACTATATTGAACATCTTTTCGGCAAAATCAAGCCAAAGAAACTTTTCTTCATGGCGATCGACGGTGTCGCCCCTCGAGCGAAAATGAACCAACAACGAGCTCGCCGCTTTCGGACGGCGTTAGATGCAGAAATGGCGAAAGAAAAGGCAATTCGAGAGGGAGTCGAGATGCCCAAAGAGGATGCTTTTGATAGCAACTGCATCACTCCGGGAACGGAGTTTATGGCGAAGCTCACGAAACAATTGAAATATTTCATCAACAAGAAGGTATCAGAAGATGCAGAATGGCAGGGAGTGGAGGTCATTCTCTCGGGTCATGAGGTCCCGGGTGAGGGAGAACACAAGATTATGGAATATATCCGACAGTCGAAAGCCCAGCCGGGCTATGATCCGAACGTCCGCCATTGCTTATACGGTTTAGATGCTGATCTAATCATGTTAGGTTTATTAAGCCACGACCCCCATTTCTGTCTACTTCGTGAAGAAGTCACATTTGGCAGGCAAAGTCAAAAGAAAGTGAAGGAGTTAGAGCATCAAAATTTCTACCTTTTGCATTTATGCATTGTTAGGGAGTATTTGGAACTTGAATTTCAGGAATTGGAAGTAGAGGGAGCTCTGAAATTCGATTTCGACATGGAGCGGATAATTGACGATTTCATTCTGATGGCTTTCTTTGTTGGCAATGATTTCTTACCCAATCTTCCGAACTTGCATATAAACGAAGGCGCATTGGCGTGGATGTTTAAGGTATACAAAGAAGTTTTACCAAAACTGGATGGATACATCAATGAACGCGGGCGGATCAATTTGGATCGCTTGGGTGTTCTTCTCGACTCGCTGGGCGATGTCGAGTTCCGGTTCTTCGAGGCCGAGTATTCCGATGCTCGATGGATTAAATCCAAACAAAACGTTGGAGAAGAGGTCCAGGATATCTCACGCGACCCTAAAACCCTAACCATCTCCCCAGCCCAGAAACATATTCTCAGCAAAGTCAAAAAATACATCTCTCATTGTCCGGTTAATGACGATGGCCAGTCCATTCCGCTGGACCTCTCGCCGTCTCTTCCGGCAAGGGATAGGAAGTTCGTTGAGCAACTCGCGGACGACCTACGTATTCCTTGGGCCTCGGTAGCCAACGACCATGGCGATCGCTTCTTGAGACTCCAGCTGCCTTCGAACCAGAGGACGGCAAACGATGATGATTCAGGCGATGAAGACGAAGAGGCCCAGATCGCCGTGCTGCGCGTTCTCAAGAAATATGACAACGCGACGGTCAAGGAGACTACTGCGGAAGATGCTCAACAAGCCGCAGAGAAGAAATACGAGCAAAAGTTCCAAGAGTGGAAAAATAAGTATTATCAGGAGAAGTTCGAGTGGGGCACAGACAACGAGGAAGAGATGCGAAAGTTGACCGAAAACTATGTTCAAGGCCTTCAATGAGTTCTTTACTATTATTACCAAGGTGTAGCGTCGTGGCCTTGGTTTTATGAATATCATTACTCTCCGATGATATCTGATGTGAAACGCGGTTTGGGGGCGGATATGGACTTCAAACTAGGCCAGCCTTTCTTCCCATTCCAACAACTTATGGGTGTGCTACCGGATCGTAGTAAGAAGATAGTACCAGAGGCCTATCACTCATTGATGACGTCTCCCGACTCTCCTATTATCGATTTCTACCCTCGAGATTTTGAATTGGACATGAATGGGAAAAAGATGGAGTGGGAAGCTGTTGTTAAGATCCCATTTATCAACGAAACCCGCCTTTTGAATGCGATGGCCACAAAGGAGCACTTGCTCACGCCAGAGGAAAAATCAAGAAACAGTTTCGGCGTTACGCTGAAGTTTACTCACTCGCCTGATATTGAATTTACCTATCCTAGCTCGCTAGTGGGCATATTTCCGGATATCCCCAAGTGCCATTGCATAGAAAATGTCTACGAGTTGCCAACAATGGAGGGACTAGAGCCCTATGTTGGACTGGTAGATGGCGCTAAAGTGGGTGTTGAGGCGCTGGCCGGATTCCCCAGCCTGAAAACGTTGCCACATTCAGGTCAATTGGGCTTCCATGGCGTTACAGTGTTCCAGCAGGAAAGCCGCAATGAAACTATGGTCGTTACTCTTATGGAATCAGAAATTCGCGCGCGTACTGAGATTGCCAAGGCGAAAATAGGGAAAAGGGTGCATGTCGGGTACCCTTTCCTTCACGAAGCACTGGTCGTGTGCGTCTCGGACGAGCTTTTCGACTATGTTCAGGTGGACGGTGAGCAACATATTGTTCCAATTCCGCATGGCCCTGGGCAAATAGAGCATTGGAAAAGAAAAGCGGACAGGATTGAATCATATTACAGCAAGAGGTTGGGCATGATAATTGGCGAAGTAGAGTCGATCGTGCACGTCCACGTCCTAAAAGGCCTTGTCAAAACGGAGCTTGGAGCTACTGTAAAAGAATTCGCAGAAATTCCCGGTATCGAAACGGATTACGCCTCGCAATTGATCGTGGACGAAGTTATCAGCCAGGACGATCGCTTCATTGAACGGGAGGCAATTCCTATTGAGGAGGAATTTCCAGAGGGCACCAAGGCTTTCTTTTTAGGCGAATTCAACTATGGCTCTCCGCTACATATTACGGGCCATGAAGACGGCAAAATGTTCGGCCTTGTTTCTACCATCAAAGGCTCAAAAGGAACCCGATTTCGGCCGCGAGCAGGTTGTTATGGCCGAGAAAGGGTTTCCCGTATACACCAGCTTTCGCAGTTGCCCGAAGTTTACGGCTAAACCCACTGACGGTTGCCAAAATTACATCCTCGTTCTCCGTCATGTCGGAAGGCAAGCGCGTTAATTTGGGATTAAATCTCAAATTCGAAGCGAAAAAGCTGAAAGTGTTGGGCTACTCCCGCCGCGGGCAAAGCGGGTGGGAATTCAGTGAGAAAGCAATAAGCCTTCTACAGGAATACATGATCAAATTCCCGGATTTCATTGCAGGAATTCAGCGAAAGCCCCAAGGAGACCTTTTTGAGCCTACAGATTTCTACCCACCTGAAATCGCGGCGGCTAAAATTAAAGAAATCCAAACTTGGCTGAAGTCCGTGGAAGCGAAAAATTTCGAACGGGTCCCCTTGGAAGCTGAACAACTTGACTCGGATGTCGTGGGCGCGATTGAAGCTGCCGCAGATGAATGGTTTCGTCATAAGCGCACCGGCATTCCCCAGAAGATAAAAGGCGTTCCACGGAATGCTGTCCTGAAACCTGCAGATGCTGAACATCGGTTGGGAAATCAAATATTCGGCCTTGGTGATAGAGTTATTTATGCACAGGATTCCGGCAAAGTTCCAATTGCTACTAAAGGTACCATAGTTGGTTTGACGCGTACAGCTAGAACAGTGCTGCTAGATGTGATCTTCGACGTTTCTTTCATGAGTGGCACTACACTTGCCGGCCGTTGCTCGCCATTCCGCGGCCAAACAGTTGCCGCATCCTCGGTGTTGAATCTCACATACAAACAACTTATTGCCATGACTCGAGCGTCCAATGAGCAGGTCAGGGCACAGCAACAAGCTCCAGCTCAACAAGGCTACGGTGCTCCTCTTGGTCCTGGTGGAGCAGGACAGTTGAGGGACGCTCCCACGCCGCCACCATTAAGAGGGTCATATCGATCTGCCGTCAACGGGCAAGACAACTCAAGAGGAATGGCCCGTGGGCGCGGTAGTCCCCGTGTTTTGCCATTCCGTCATCAACCGCATCATGATCACGCACCACCCCAGGCGTCAGAAACCTCCCCGGGACGGAACTGGCGGGGCAACGGCCACCACCACCACCAGCAGCACCATCACCACCAACAGCAGGGCAATGATAGCACTCGTCAGAATACGGACAGTGAAACGGCCGCACGCCCAGCGGCGTCTCGCGGTCGTGGTCGCGGAAGAGGAGGAATCGGATCAACCCAGCTTCCTCATTCGCGTGGTGGGTATGTATCTGTGGAGAAGGTCGACCCTGGTGCAGGCGTTATAATGAATAACCCGAATTTCAGGCCAAGATCTCACAATGCTGTTCCACCCCCTGCAAACTTGAACCAACGGGGTGCATACCGCGGTAGAGGGTTTGCTAATCGTGGATCCCCACGCGGGAGAGGTCGTGGGAGAGGAACAGCGACTGCTGAGAGCCAAAAGACCTGATACATATTTGCCAATTTTACGTACTTGTATGCACACTCTCCGCCTCTCTCCATATTGTTCTTGTATATTCTCTCGCTGGTTTGTCTACATTAGGAGGGGGGATGGTCTGTACATTTCTCTGGGTTCCCGGGAGTGCGCCTCTAGTACGGATTCACAGAGGTATCACAGTCTTTGGTTGCCATATCTTAAGGCACGGAAGATAGTTTTGTTTGTGTCAATAGAACCTAGCAGTGCTGTAGCTAGATGCGCAATGGAAAAATATGACCAGACAGCCATATTCCTTTTTATGAACTTCTACATATAGGGGTTCATCTTGAAATTTCACCGTCAAACAACACCACATAAGATTAACTTATGGCGTACTCGATATCATTTCTCGACTTAGATGATCAAATGACTATTGCTTCAGGTTGGAGTCCAACTCCTAGCACTTTGTGACTGAGCCTGCGATGTGAGATACAGATTGTCCATAGATATATGAAACAAAGACTGGCCATCCATACAGAACTTCGTTACAGTAGGCGAAGGCAGAAACGGAAGGGCGAGAGACTCTTTGACGGACAATATTGGGGAGGCGACGGTCCTGGCCCTATTTGTTTGCCTATGACCTGATCACTGATAACCGTATCCGCGAGTGCAGTCGTTGCCAAGTGAGATCTCCTTACTCGTATGAATCATCCGAAAACCGAAACGCTTCCTGTATGGCATCATTAGCAACAGCAGTTTTTCATGAAGAATTTATAGTTCAGCGCACCATTGGAGCATCCAGCAGCCCAGTTCTTCCCTTTTTCATTCCATGCCACGCAGCTCACGACCTTGATATCGCTACCAACAGGCACAGAACTTATGACATTGCCACTTAGAACATCCCAGGCAAAAACGTGCGCCCCCGGACTCTCATCGTTCGGCTCACTGCCGCTAATGACAGCACCGTCTCCCTTTGCGAAGGTCGATCTTATCCGTAATTCTGTATTTTTATATGCCGGCTTTCCTGCATCTTCGCGCTCGCCACCGAAGCTCTTCAATACTGAGCCATCTGCTCTATCCACGATCCGTATCCGTCCGTCAAGGCAAGAGGCCAGGACAACATTGCCATCTGCTGAGCACCGTATGCTTGTAACAGGATGGCCCATGACATCGACCTTCACCACCCCCATGCGCAAGTCATATGTACGTATTCTGCCGTCATAACTCCCGCTTATGATGCTGCAGGTGGGCGTGTGGATGCGTATCGATGACACAGTGTCAGTAGCTTCCGTCAAGGTCTGCATAGGTTTCGAGGTCAGGGAGCGGGTATCCCAAATCTTGACTGTAGTATCAGCGCTTCCTGGATTCGCCAATTAGCAAAAGTATACAGTGACTCTTCTCGTAGCCATGTCGTTTCTCCCATCCGGTCCAGGGACTTCATACGCAAGGGACGTTCATAATACCATCCCCGTCCGGCTTCTTAAAAGTCCTGAATCGAACCTATCGTGACAAGAATATAGCAAACACCTACCAGAGACAACAACCGAATCCGCCTCGCCCCCAAACTCCACCGCTTCCACCCTGGCATCATGCCCACCCCATCTCCTCACCGTCGAACCCGTTTCCACATCCCACAAGAACACCTGCTTATCTCCGCCCACGCTCACAAACCGCGCATTATCCGTCGTAACCGCCAGGTCGAGCACCGAGTAGCCATGGGCCTCATACTTTTGGATGGGCCTGGTTGTGACGGAGTCTGCGGAGGATGATTGTGGGACTGCGCGAGAGAGGTGGACGTCGCGGTCCGACGAGCCGGTGAGGAGATAGGTGCCGGGGGAGCTGGAGAAGATGACCGCGTTTACCGGGCCTAGAGAGAAAATTTGTGTCAGCTTATGAATCGTTCATCAACGCGTGGTAGAAACCAGTTCAGATGTCGAGAAGGGTGGTGGAGGATCGATTACGCGCGCCAAATTGTTCAATCAAGACTTCTACTTACCATTATGGGTTTTGATGGTATGTAGACGGGTGGTCGGAAAGCTTTGCGTGCTTACGGACATTTAAATGTAGGTGAATCTCAGCATTGAATGCGCTCTTTGGTTCAAGTTGTGGCACTAATTGAATCCGGATGATGAAATCTAAAACCAAATATAGGCACATACTTCTATCACTCTCCCCGAAACCATTGCGGATATGCAAACTAAGGCTAGGATGAGGCTACAAATAAACAGATACCATTATTATCAATGAATCTGGAAAGAATCGCTAACTATTAGGGATATAAAGGCCAAAAGAGCTCTTGGTTCTTTTGGCGTAAAGCCGCAGGGATTCAGTTCGAGGTCAATACGACCTGGCGAAATGAACAAAACTGCCTAAAAACACAAAGCACTGCCATCCAAAGTCGAAGTTCCGAATTGATCAAGCAACGGTCGCGATTCTAACGACGGCCATGGCTGCGTACAGCGGAGCCCTGCATCTGCTCGAGTTCCTGTTCCAGCTGTTTGATGCTAAAAAAGAAGTCAGTATGATTGTGGAGCAGGTTGGTTGAGAGAGCGAGATTGGTCAGGAGCACATACGCAGCGTGGGTGCTTTCCAAGTCTTTGTTCAGACGATCTCTCTCTGCAATGAGTTTCTGCTCCCATTGACGGAATCTCTGTTCTTCGACCTTGACTTGTTCTGTGAATCGCTTTCGTAGAGCTTCTTCCTCTTCCTTGAACTTGGGATTGTCCAACTTCCTTGGGCGAGCCTCTCCGAATTTTCTCGTCTCCATTTGCTGTGCACGGTAAGCCTCGTAATGCTGCTCTTCGGTGGTGTGGATCAAGTCCAACATGTGGGTTCGGATGAGGATGGAGCGGAGCTTTTTGAAATCGCAATGTTCCTCGTTTTCGACCTCTGCAACACCCCAGGCATATTGACGGCCTTTAACAATATGGCCATCAGCAGCCTTGACATCCTTTTCCGAGCCGATCACAGCGAAGGGCATCGCGGCCATGAGGCTGCGGGCGTGTTGAGCAGCCTGTTCGTCGTCCTCTTCGACGGGAGGCTCGTAGATCTTGATGCCCTGTGCTTCGATAACGGCGCGAATCTAAATTCAAGTCAGCAAGAACAGCCCCAGGACTCCCACCCATCAAGATTCATACCCGTTGTTTGAAACGTGCGAGGTCGGAGGGTGTCAGAGTGTCGGCTTTAGCGACGACCGGGATCAAATTGACACGGGAGCTAAGACGCTTCATAACCTCAATATCTAGCGGTTTCAGTGTGTGCCCAGTAGGTCGAATGAAGTATAAACAAGCATGAACCCGAAGGTCGATCTTGTCAGTGCGACGAGGTTGTTGTTCCTGCAACATGTACGATTCATGCTGGTCATCAAGGAACTCGATAATTGGCATCCATGAGTCGCGGTTGTTAACGTAGTCGCCAAATCCGGGGGTATCAATAACGGTTAACCGCACTACGAGGAGGGATTAACTTCACATAGCGAACGAGTGCCACGGCTATCTATCTACCTTTGAAGAATTTCTCTTCCAATTCAGCCTTGGTGATTTCGATTTCGACGGTTTTATCGACTTGCTTCTGATGTCGGCGTTTGTGGTCGGCGTAGTTTTTGATTGTGGTTGAGAAAAGCGTGTTGATGAACGTGGTCTTTCCCAAACCTGACTCTCCAGCAACCTGCAGACAAGTTAGCCCGCAATGAGGCCAACGTTCACAGTGGTTTCGCTCATACCATAATAGTGAAAGCCGCGCCTCGTTTCGCAACAATCTTGTGTCTATGCGGGATTAGCTGCCTTGTTTACAGGTGGTGGTGAGGAAACCGAGGACATACCGCTGGTTTGGAAGCTATTCGCGAACTTCAGTGAGCATTGTAGACTCTAACTTTGAGCATCCAGAGCGTACTTACGTTGGCAATCCCGATAGGGGATGCAGTCTCGGATGTGGGCGCCATTGGAAAGCTCTAGTTCCTCGTCCGTGTTAAAACTTCAGGTAGCAATCAACTGAGCGTCTTCGAGGGGTGGGAGGCAAGCGAATTGGAGATGGTGCCAAACAAACCAGGAAAGATTGTGAGGGCAAAGCAAGAGCAAGAGAGCAAGAGAGCGAGAGAGCGAAAAGAATTGATAGCCGGCTGTCTTCTCTGCTGCGTCTCAACAACGGTTGTTTCTCTTCGCTGCTGGTCGAAATGCCCCTGAAAACGCCAAATTCGGCCAAGACCTGGCTTAGCTAAGCACCCCTGATGACACTAGAACCGGATCTGGCCTAGCGTCGAACCTTAGCTCTGTCGGCACGGATTATTGTATATCCGTTATCTCCGATAATAGCTGACTAAGCATATAATTTTTGGGATTTTTGGAGAAAAAAGGACGAGAAGACGAACTGCGCCAGCGGGAATAATTGGGTTCTGGATACTGCTGGGGACCATGAAGACGGATTTCAAGGTACGCTCGACATATCCCGCTTGTCATGCAGCTTCCTCTATGCTGGCCGCTCATACTCGCTAGTTTTCCAACCTTCTGGGTACGGTCTACCGCAAAGGAAACCTCCTCTTTACTCCCGACGGAACATGCTTGCTCTCACCTGTCGGTAACAGGGTCTCCGTTTTTGATCTAGTACAGTAGGTCGCTAGAATCGAGCATTGTGAAGATACTTGTGACTATGCTAATACGTACTCGACCAGCAACAAATCTTACACCCTTCCCTTCGCGCATCGCTCCAATATCGCGCGCATTGCTCTCTCACCCAATGGCAAGCTTTTACTTTCGATTGACGAACAGGGGAAAGCCATTTTAACAAATTTTCCTCGCCGGATAACCATCTATCACTTCTCGTTCAAATCGCCCGTTTCCACACTTTCCTTCTCCCCGTCCGGGCGCCATTTTGCGGTGGGTATTGGAAGAAGGGTTCAAATATGGTGCACCCCATCCACTCCCGGAACCGGCGCCAGCGGCGAGTTAGAATTTGCCCCGTTCGTTTTATATAGAGACCTTGCCGGCCATTTTGATCTGGTACAAAATATACGCTGGTCCGGCGACTCCAGGTTCTTCTTAACCGCATCCAAGGATTTAACCGCAAGAATATGGAGTCTAGATCCTGAAGACGGGTTCGAGCCCACTACGTTAGCTGGTCATCGTGAAGGCGTAGTAGATGTCTGGTTCACGGATGATCAAGAATCCGTGAGAGTCCTGATGCCATTGCTATGAGAAAGAGGACATAAAACTAACGTTTTTTCAGATTTACACAGTCAGCAAGGATGGTGCCCTGTTTCGATGGCAATACGGCTCCAAATCCAATGATCCTGATTCGATGGGCGAAAATCCCGATCTTCGTTGGAGAATAACGAAAAAAGACTATTTCATGCAGCAGAACACGAAGCTCACTTGCTCAGCATTCCACCCGAAGACGAATCTCTTGGTTGTAGGATTCTCGAATGGAATTTTTGCCCTATATGAATTGCCAGAATTCAACCAACTACATCTCCTTAGGTATGTCACACCAAAAAGTCATCCGTACCAATTACCTTGAAAAACAGGTATGCTAATCTTAAGCAGTGTTTCTCAAAGCAATATAGATTTTGTAACAGTGAACAACTCCGGCGAGTGGCTGGCGTTTGGTTCGTCCAAACTTGGTCAACTATTGGTATGGGAGTGGCAATCGGAATCTTATATTTTGAAGCAACAAGGGCATCTGGACTCCATGAATTCCCTAGTTTATTCCCCTGACGGCCAAAAAATAATCACCGCCGCCGACGATGGGAAGATCAAAGTCTGGGATATCAACTCTGGGTTCTGTGTGGTTACCTTTACGGAACATAGTGCATCTGTCACTGCCTGCCAGTTCAGCAAACGAGGGAACGTCCTGTTTACGGCATCTTTAGATGGCTCTGTTCGGGCGTGGGATCTAATACGATACCGAAATTTTAGGACATTCACCGCGCCGTCGAGACAGCAATTCTCTTCTCTAGCGGTTGATCCTAGCGGAGAAGTAGTGTGTGCTGGCTCCTTGGATTCATTTGATATCCATGTCTGGTCCGTTCAAACGGGGCAACTTCTTGATCGGCTAGCGGGCCACGAAGGACCGGTTTCATCTCTTGCGTTCGCTTCAGACGGCAGTCATCTCGTCAGCGGTAGCTGGGACCGCACCGTTCGGTTATGGAACATCTTCGCCCGGAGCCAAACCAGCGAACCCTTGCAGCTACAATCCGATCTCTTGTGCGTAGCATTCCGACCTGATGGGCAACAAGTCGCTGCTTCGACACTCGACGGGCAGTTGACCTTTTGGTCGGTTAACGATGCTGCTCAGCAGGCGGGTATTGATGGCCGGCGTGATATTTCCGGAGGTCGTAAGATCACGGATCGCCGTACTGCAGCAAACGCAGCTGGCACGAAATCTTACACAACGATAACCTACAGTGCAGATGGGTCATGTCTCCTGGCTGCTGGAAACAGCAAATATATTTGCCTATACGATGTTGGAACAGGCTCTCTAGTAAAGAAGTTTACGGTGTCTGTCAACACGTCGATTGATGGAACATTGGAATTCCTCAATAGCAAAAACATGACCGAAGCTGGGCCACGAGGCCTTATTGATGAAACCGGCGACGCATCCGATCTCGAAGATCGAATCGATCGCACTCTACCCGGCGCAAAACGGGGAGACGCAGGCGCGCGCAATACCCGTCCCGAGATCCGCGTAACTGCTGCTGCATTCTCTCCGACAAGCCGATCATTCTGCGCCGCATCAACTGAAGGCCTCCTTATCTACAGTTTAGACACTGATTTGTTATTCGACCCCTTCGATCTCGACATCTCAATCACACCAGATAGCATCCTCGCCACCGTAGCAGCCGCCAAAACTTCCGCGCAATCAAACGCAAATCCATCAGACTCCTCGTTCCTTAAAGCCCTAATAATGTCTTTCCGCCTAAATGAATCTTCCCTCATCCGCACAGTCTATGAATCCGTCCCACCTCGCGACATTCCACATGTCGTCCGCTCCCTGCCCACTGTCTATATAACCCGTCTCCTTCGCTTTGTGGCCAATGCCGCTGACGAAACCCCTCACTTGGAGTTCAACCTACTCTGGATTCGTGCCCTGCTGAGTATACATGGACGATATCTCAAGAGCCATTCTGGCTCGTTCGCGGCGGAATTGAGAGCCGTTCAGAGAGCTGTGGATTCGATCAGAGATGATTTGAAGAGGTTGGTTGATAAGAATATGTACACATTGGACTATTTGTTAGAGAAACCCGCCGTTACAGCCTCTTCGGACTCTACGGCCTCTTTGGAGAAGAAGGCAAGATCTGCTATCGGGGCAGCTAACGGCAATGGCGTTGATGCTATCAGTGAAGTGGAGGACGGTAGCGAGGGAGAGGGCGAATGGATGGGAATAGAAGACTAATGACCTTACCAGCGGAGCTGAAACATATTTGGTGGCGTCTGGGTGTCTGCTAACTGTTTGTCTCTGGAAATCTTCTTATGTTGCTCTTTGGTGCTGTGGGAGTAAGCTGCGCAAGGAAACGCCCTGAATTGGCCCAAAATTTTTGATCCTGTAGATTAATGCATCTTAAAATAAACTACATTTAATAACGCCCAGAACTCGCAGCATAGCAAGCACTAAACAGTGATACATGTTGAGCCGAACGCCATGGAAATAAGGAGAATATACGGATATGCACGAGCTAAACCCAGTTCAACTTCTTCTTCGCTCACCGTCATCACTGTCTTCGTCGCTAACCCTAGCTCTTTTTGAGCCACGCGCCTCAGAACCTTCAGCTTCTTGAATGCCATATCGTTTTTGGCCTGCGCCCGACGCTCCGCTGGTGACTTCAGCGATCATGCCTTCAATACCAAAAGGATCCGCTGTGTCCTTCTCAAACTCCACAGGGCCGTCTCGAGCCTATGACGAATGAAATAGTCAGTATGAATAGATAGAATTGGAGTTCCACCCCGACGCCACGGATAGACGGGAACTCGAGAGTGGGAATTGCTTACCTCTGCTTCGGCAGCGCCTTTAAATCCCTCTTGAGCACGCCCAAGGACTTCAAAACGGTTACTTCGGTTTATTTTATCCATTTCAGCCCCACCGGCTTCTTCATCGTATTCATCCTCGGCCTGTGCTCGCGGTCGATAGATGCTATTGATGGCATTCTGAGCCGCGAAAAGCGGTTTGTCATACGGATTATCTTCATTGAACCCCGAGTCAAACCCACTTGTCTGATTGAATAACCGTGAATCGTACATGGTCTCCGAGCTCTGAGTCGGTTTCGCCAGGCCCAAGGCAATCTTTTCAGAAATATCCCGATTTTGCTCCCTGGCCATCATCTGTATTCGTCGCTCTGCGCCCATTCTAGATTGACGGAGCTGTCGCTCAGCTTCCTGTCTGCGTTCACGGCGCATACGCTCACGCTCTCGGGCTGCTTCCTCATCTTCGCTAGGGGATGCGGAACGAGATGAATATGGGGACGGGCTCCGGCTACCGCTAACCGAGCGTGCACGAGATTCGCGTCGACCACTCGTCGCAGCAGCTCGTGCATCTCGTGCCTTTTGAGCTAACTGCCTTAGATGCTCTTCCTTCTTCGCCTTCTCTTTCTCCGCTAATTTTTGTTGCATCTGAGCTCTCTGTTTCACCTCTTCTCTGGCATGGCGGTCGGCCGTGAACAGCGCCTCTGCGAACTGAGCGAATTTGTCATTTATTGCAACGTCCTGTAATCCACGGCCATCTGCAGCCAACCGTTTATCTAGCGGGACAGTGTATCCTTTTGGATTCTTCCAATTCGACACAGGAGGGGGGATTCTCCATGCTTCTTGATCTTCGGCAGTCAATTTCCTCGGCGGAGAATGCATGACCGGGGGAGGGGGCGACGGCGGGCCACGAGGGATCTTCTTGTGCTTGAACTTTGGTGGTTCCATTGGATCAATCTGTTTTTCCACAATCTTCATGATTCTATCATTTTTCTTGCTCGTATCTCCCATCTGATTCGCAGGCGTATATCGCACGAACGTAGGCTCACTCCTCTTTCCAGTGTTGACATTTTTGGGTTTCTGCGCAGCAACAGCACCAGTCACCAGTTTATCCAACGCAGCTTTCGTTTTCTCCATCTGCTCCTGGACTTCTTCTTTCGAGGGGCGGTCTAAGGATATTTCACCCATGTCGACACGCTGACGGAGCGGGATCAAGTCTTTAAAAGAGGCATGCACAATGCGACCTTCCGAGTGACCCTGCCGAGCGATCGCGTCGTATTTAACCTTGCCTTCGGCATCGACTTGAATCGCTAACGCATTGGACTTGGTCGAGGTGCCCTTTCGACCCATGTCAAGAGGATACTGTGCAACTGGGATTTCGGGGAATGCACCCCCGTCTCCAAAATCTTCCGGAGCTCGTGGCCGCCATCCTGCGCGCTTGCCATATGCTGGTGGGCCCGTTTGCTATATGAGATAACAAGCTCGGTCAGTTGTGGTTCATAGATGCGGTATATCCATTAAGAAGCATCGAGCCAGGACCGACCTTGAGTATTAACTGAGACTCGTCAACGGAACCTGCGCCGACAACTCGGGGCCCACGCGGTTGGGTATGGGGAGGCGGTCTTTCATGCTCGCCCGTGTATTTAGGTTTTGGCAATGATTTGAAAAGGCCCTCGGCAATAGATGCCATTGTCTAATATAGATTAAATGCTTGGAATGGTTCAACAGAGTGCACTGAAAGAAAGAATGAAACAGATTTCGTGATCAACGCTTGCATGGCGATGATGCTTTTGCGAAAGTTGATAATGCCTGCTGGTTTGGTCTAAATGGCTGCCCGTAGCGGCTAGCTGGCTGATTACTAATAAAGAGTAAGTTAAACCGCCAAGCCACAAGTCATGTGCCACATTGAGGTCAAGCCACAGCCAGGCAGTGATATCGGATTCGATTCCACTGAATAGCGGTAAATGTAAAGAGTAAATGCAGGATATTCGTGGTGCAGCAGCTGCTGGCTACTACATGGCTCATTAGAGTTATGGACCCTTTCTTCCCAAGCTAGAATGAAGTGTAGACAGTTAAAATCAACCAGTGAAGTAGTGCATGAAAATAACGAGTCAATTTGGTCTTCATGATCAGCTATGCCTGTCTGTTATTACGGTGAAGGTGGATAGGGCTCTCTCAAGGGGGAGCTCTCACAACAGATAAACCCCTTGAGGATGTTTTATTATTCACATGCTGCATCATCCATCAAAACATGGGTTGTCTGCTGTGACACTGATGATCATTGAATAAAGAAATAGGGTTCCCCTGAGTGATTCTGGCATTGTCCGCTCACCGCAACTTGCCGTTCCTGGCTGGACTTCTACCCCAGAGCCCTATCCCCCGCTCCAATCGTGTTGTAGCCTTCGAATCAAGTTACGCAGAAAAAAGCAAAATAAGATAGACTAAAGCCTTAATACATCAGCTTATGTTGGAGTCAGGTGCGACATAGCATAGGACTTAACAAACATTGCGCACAGGGGGTACTCACAATAAAGACGTCACCGATAAGTTTACCATCTAAGTAGCCGGCTGGCGAACAAAGTATGGGAACCCAGTGCTCGAATAAACCCATTTCCCAGGCTGCAGATTCTCCATGATATCATTTGTGGTGCGAAGAGTGTAGGAACCGTCAATTTCTCGACACCACCACTGCTGACCATCGGCCGGCTTGTATGGAATCATGCTCTGAGGTCGCGTTGCCCCAGTGGCTTTTGCGATAGCAATGTTTTGCGCATCGATCTCGGCTCGAGTCGCACCAACCCAAGGAACAGCTCCAGGAGATGCTTGAGCCACCGGTGCCATGCGGGCCGGGGGCTGATAGGCTTGAGGCTGCGGAACATACTGGACGTGAGCTTGCTGCTGTGCTGTCTGGAACCCGAAAATGTCAGCTTTTAATCTAAGTATAAAATTGAAATTACATAAATAAAACGAGACGGGTCGCTGTACAATGGGGACTGAGCCATAGAACTGTTGAGTCATGCCAAAATGGACTGTCGGGGTGGCTGAGGTATTGCTTGGAGGAGGTGGAGCTGGAGGTTCTGCAGCATTTTGCCCTGGGGGAATATACTGATAGAGGATGGGTTCCTTGGGGATTTTTGGTTCCGAAATGGACGTTCGGTTCGGTTCGACGAAACCATACTGATAGAACTGAGCCATGACGACCCAGGAAAACAGGGGTGCGGCGTGTAGGACGACAGTGCAATAGGACTGATATCAAGCTTGGAGAGGAAACAGCAGAGGTTACAATATCAGGTTATGTGGGAAGCAAGAGCAGGAAAGTGAAGGTAGTGAGAGAAGCAAGCGAGAGAGAAGGAGAAGATAAACAGAAAACTGGCGTCACACCAAGCAGGATGTTGCAGGCAGGTCCAGCACGCGCATGAAAAATTCCAGGGCTCAAGGCGCAGGCAGCAAACCAACGCGGGAGATATCAGCATCATTTGAAATCAAAAGCCTTACCGCGACGGGATACATGGTATCTCCCGGCTGCACCATATACCACTGCTTCGTCTCCTTCTTCTCCCCTTTCTTCTCTACCTTCTTTGGTGCGTCTTCAATCACAAGACTGCGATATGGGAAACAGCCGAAGCACATCTTGATGGTTTGCGACTCTGGTTCTCTTGACTTGGATCTGTACTGGTGAGGAAACAAGTGATTGTGCAAAGTAGGGCTGGAAGCTAGAGAGTATTCTTCTCCTGCAAGATCGAAGCTGCCGTGAATCTTCAGGTGAAACAATAAGGCGCAGACTGAGATGCCTAGGTGGGGCAACAGAAGAGTCGAAGTGAAGAGGGATGTAAGGGCAGAGATGAGGCGAGCAGAAGCACTTGAGCAAGGGATCCTTCTTGTGCACGTCACTTGAATGTGAGTTTCCGATTGTTTGCGGCCGAGCTGTCACCGATCACCACTATCGTCTGACTCACAAGTGAAGTGGCATCCTGAGAAGCCTTGAAAGTGAGGTTACTCCTCCTTGAATATTGACGTAGTCTTCTCTACCCCGTCATGAGGCCTGCTACGAGCTAATCCAGGCTACAGTGAATCATTCAGCTTTGGCCAGATGCGGGAATGTTTGCAGGCAAAACCTGTGGCAGGCTAATCCGGACATGCTGTGAAACCTCCTCGCTGCAGTCGAAGAAAAAAGATGGGTAACGTATAGCTTGCTCCTACACATGGGCCGGCAGCAAGTGATATTGTACTGAAAAGAAACGATGATGACAGGGAATCAAACAAAGACAAGATATTGTCTTCTGTCATATTGTGCAAACTGCTTGGCTACAGCCTTCCATACTATAGCGGTGAAATGTGGAAAGGCGTCTAATATGTGGGAATAGCAGAGGCATGCTCTCGGTCGGCCGACCGACACTTGGGCCAACCCTTTGTATTCCGGGCAAAAGAGACAGCCGACGCCACCTATTTCTTCTCATCGGAGCGTACCGCATCCATGACTTAACGCCTTGTTGAAGCTTCGAGAAAAAAAAACGAGGCGGAAAATCTTCGTTTGTGCGTGACACTGATCCATTGGTTAGACTAGTGACAGGTAGCTCAACATTTGCAGCGGGAGTGAAGCGTCTCTGAAAGAAGACGTTGCCGCGTGCGGGATATGCCTCTTCCTGTCAAGATCGTCGTCATGAGACTTTGAAGACAACCGGCGACGTGAATCAGTCAAGATATATACCCAAACTAACTATGAAATTAGTCTATCTGTCAAGTGTGAAACCTGCTTCAGGAAGCCGCTCAAACCTTCGACGACCACGCTGGGCTAAACCATATGCGACCGCATGGGAATCGTTACGCCTTCGGTATCGTTCACCTCAACAACATGTTCTGCACGCATGAACTGATATCGTATCCGAAGCACCTTTGGCAATAACGGCGCGGGATCGTAAAATCCCAATATTTGTGACTATGAGAGTGTGAGTAGCCTAGACCTAGGTGAAAGAAAGAATGTCTACCTTCGTGACTTGCCGGGGGATAGTCAACTGCCCTTGATCTACAAGAGCTGCAACAGGAATTGTCACGTCGACTAGCCGCTCGGGCTCGGAAACAATGGTATAATTCCTGTGTTCAGCACGGGAAGGAACATAGCCGTACAGCGCCCGAAGGATAACAAGGCCGTTCCTATCAGACTCCCTCGCCTGTCTTCTCTCAACTTGCTCGCGCATGAGCTCAATAGCTTGGTCACTTTCAGCTTTCCTCTTTGCCACCAAACCCCTCAAACGTTTACGCTCTTTTGCAAGAGCTTGCTTCTGCTTTCGCCGCTCTCTTGGTCGCAAGAAGCCAAATTCAACGATCGAATAGGTTACCCACGGTATGATGACAGCAAGGACACCGACATCGCCGTCTAGATGTTGTAGGGGGCATACTGCAATGGGGATCTTGATCGACTGACCCAGCCTGTGCCACGACAACGAGCAGACTAGGCCCTCACCGCCTTGCACGCCGACACCTAGCCCCATGCGAGTGAAATTACCCACCTGTCGAGACCCAGAAACCATCCAACCAAGAGATAAATCTACACCAACAACCGTTTCAATCTCTAGGCGCACGGCTCGACTAATCCTCGTCTCTTTTTGTGGCCGATATCCCTCATAATTCCATTCGGACCGGGGAAGCTCTTCAGCTTTCCCACCGAAAAAGCTTCGTGCGTAATTCATGGACAGCTGCATGGACAGAGGGGAGGAGTGTAGTTGAAAGCCCCATGTTTCAAGTGGTTCGCCGGTAGATCCATTGGCCCCTTTTCCAGAAAAATCATCTTCGAGTTCTTCATCGTCGTCGTTGGTCCCAGGTCTGTTTTGTGCACGTTTGACCGGTAAAGCAACATATCCAATCTCAAATTTACTGGGATTGTCTAAAGTAAGCGCTTGTTCGCTTTCAGCGGAAGTCAGAGGAAACAGAAGATGCTGAATGAATGAGGGCCAAGACCATTTTCCGCTAGACCAGTTGCAATAGGTCAGGCCGCGGGTGCCGATGTGTCGTGAAATGGATGCGTTTATCGTGGGGCCACATTTAAAGCTCAAATCTGACAATAAACCTTGAACAGTAACATTCAAAGGCCTCGTGCCCTTGACAGGTTGTATTCTTCTCGTGAAAGTTGTATGTAATGTTGGCGCTGGCAACAAAGAGCTGCCAACTTCGACCAAAGAATCCCCAAGAAGTGGAAATAGTAGCACCGACATTGCAGGGCTCTTCTGAGCTGGTATGTGTATTCGATGGCGTAGGGTGGCGCCGAGCGAGATGTTTTTAGCCATGAGGACATGCGGCACTGTAACCTACAGCTATGAGCTCAACAAATCTGTAGAAGAAGGGAGAGAAAATAAGACGAAAAGAAAAGAAAAAGGCTGATATACCTCCTTAGTCTCTTGTTGCTGGGTGGCTTGATCAATGACACGCACCGCGTAGGTCAAGGTCTGAAGCTTTCCTCTAACACCAGTATGGATCTCGAGTTCTGCATCTTGTTCGTTTGGTAACGGGACGCCCTCGTCGTCTTCAGGCTTGTTGCCTTCGCGACCGCTACTTAGCTGCCGGAGCCACAGCAGGGGGGCGAACGGGGTTTTGAAATTGAACCCTAGTGCAAGAGAAGATATACGAGAGAGCGGTGCATCTGGGGCAGCTGAGGGCTCAATCATTCTCATAGCTAGACCATGCGTATCGATATTAATAGAGATGGACCCCTATCGCGGAGTCGGTTAGCCCAGCTCACCAAAAGCGCACAAGCCGCCATTCCAAGGATACTCCAGTAATCTTGAGCAAGTACATGTCGGAATGAAAATTCTCTTGTAGAATTATTTTAAAACAGAAGTATGCGTGAACTGCGAGTTTTAAAAAAGCTAAAGTACTTCTGAGGCGAAAAGTCACGCACCTTTGAATGTACTAATTGCTCAATCGCTTTCAATTCTTGAAGCTTCATCCTTCTCAGGAACCACCGCCGAAACTGCTCTATGTCCATGGTCTTGACGCCAATCTGATATCTTTCAGCCTCTCCGCTCCTCCCGAGTATCCCGCCAACTCCCCATTGATCTTTCACGCCCTGTTCTCCCAGCATATCGTAAACGACACGCTTCTTCGGGTCCATAAGCGTGTCATACGCCTCCCGAATTCTGTCAAAATGTTTCGTTGCTACATCACGCAAGTGCGGAGGTTGTTTATCTGGGTGGAAGCTGAGTGTCAGCGTTCGGTATGCGGAGCGTATCTGGGCTTCCGTTGGTGGTGGGTGGTGCGGAAGAGCAAGCAAGCTGTAATAGTCCACATCGTCTGAGTATGCTGTAATCTTGTCGTATTCTTCTTCCGAATAAGAGCCAAAGCCCGATGCCTCTTCGACGTTGCCGGCGCCTTCGTCAAGGCCTATGTTTTCGTTCCGGGTCGGCATCGCTCTAACCAAAAAGTGCGCCACCAATTCTCGTCAATCGATGTCGTGGCCAATCCGGCGAAAGGAAACAAGTTGCTCCCGCATATTTCCTCAAATGGCCCAAAAGCAACAGTTGATCAATATCGGTTCGGATGTAAGGACAGATCGTTGAATGATAGCAGGCTCTCTTGGCAAACTCAATTGAAATGTACCTGGAATCCGCCTTCAGGCTCCTCAAGAGGCCAGCACTGACAAGGGACAATTGAAGTGCCAGAGATCTGCATCTATAAGCTTGTAACTCACTCCCTGAATTCACTCTTCACATCTTAAGTCAAAGAGAAGATGCCCTTCTCTTTGACTTGCTCACCAACCAGCACGTCACATGACTACATGAGGCTCAAGTGCTTAGTCATATAACATATCTCTTGGCGTGTCAATAAGCACTGCTGCTGAACCGCGACTCTCGTCACTCTTGCTTTCATTCATCTCTGCAGACCCTCAAGCTGTGACCGCTTGAGACAAAGCCCAGTGGTCAGACACTCCAAGACTGTCTGCAAATGGTTCTGTTAAAAGCCCTCGAATCTCCTTCTTTTGTGGCTGGGTCTATCTCATAAATCGGGACAGCCTGACGCGCCGACTGACATTCTCTGGCCAACTGTTCAGGTGTCATCTTTGGTGAAGAAGATGGGTGATCTGGCTGCCTTGGGTGACGTGCCTCCAGTCTACCGAATAGACCTCTCACTTCCCCCAGCTGAACGCTATGTGGAACTAGCAACAATCTATCGCGACCACTTGCATTCACTTACAGGACTTTTCTACGAACTTGCATCATCTCTCCATCCCAAAATCTCGCCAGATTGGATTGAACGCGCTGCCCGCTTTTTCCTAAGGAGATTGTGCACGCATGAAGAGACAGAAGAGATTCGGGGGATATCTAAAGTCACTGGGATTGATATGTATTTACTCGTATCCTTCAATGTGCTTCTTGATCTGTTGATGGGCTGCACAAGTGGTGCAGCCTTAACCAAAAGACACTCCGAGGACCCTACAATGCTGCATTTTCGAACCTTGGATTGGAGCATGGACGGCTTGCGGAAGTTGATAGTGCAGCTTGAATTTGTCCGCAGCCCAGACACTGAAACCGTCCTTGCTACGAGCATTACGTACGTTGGGTTCGTGGGCGTGCTGACTGGTGTGCGCAAGGGACTTAGCATCTCCCTCAACTTTCGACCAAACCATAACGCCAATAGCGTATGGGGAAATTTCAGATTTTATGGCAGCCACCTCCTGGTTCTTCTTGGTATTCGACGGTCAATATCGTCCTTACTTCGACAATGTCTTCTTCCATCTACGACCTCAGCACTGCCCTGGAAGGGCTGGCTTCTTAAAAGGACTCCGCCGCAAGCGCAAGACATTTCTCTGACGGAGATAAAAACCTCTTTGCCGAAGGTTCCGACTACTGCTGCCTATTTGGTTTTTTGTGATGGTACGTCAGCCATAGCAATGGAAAAAGATTTGCGATCCGCCGTCGTCCACTCGTCGTCATCTTTTGTTGTCGCAACCAATAGTGACTTTGAAACCACGTCTCCCTCGTACAAGCCACCTACCGGGAATCATTCTGGCTTACAAGCGACAAGTAACGAAGACTTGACGATTGTCGACCTTATAGAGGACAGTAATGAACGGAGGGCATGCATGCAAGCTAAATGGGACAGAAAGGTACAGAGAAAAATGGCCCAGGTGTCCACTAAAACCAATATAGCACAACCTCAAGCAGATACAACAGCGCGTCGAAACCCGCAACGAAATACATCATCCAAATATGCGTCCAGACTGTCCACAGATCTTTGCGAGACTTCTTCGAGTTCTGTGATTCCGGACGTTCAAGTTACAGTGACCCCAGCTGAACTTATCAGATGGACAACAACGTATCCTATCACTAATGAAATGACCCATTTTTCGGCCATAATGGATCCTTCCAAAGGAAAGGTCTACTGGATGAAGCGATATGAAACACATATTGCCTTGGATAACCTAAATACTTGAGATACCCATACGAGGATAACGCTACATTGGCGGGTAATGCACTATTTGGATACAAGAAGAGAAAAGAAAGTCAGTCCTTGCAGATCACTTGTGACTTCCTTCCTTATGTTCGATTTGCTGCAGCCTGAACGCCCAAATATTCAGTGCCACATTTCATTTCCTTTCTAAACAGAGTATTCCGTACCCATCAAGATATGCTACTTCAAAATTTTCTCGTAAATTCTTGGCCAAACCAAGCCCTTGACTGGGAATTTTGAGCTAAAATACCCTACAATGTTTCTGGAAACGCGTCATTATGGGCAACATAAACATACAGTAATACCAGATGTACCATATGCATGTTGGTGCTACCAACCAACTACAACGGTGCATACAATGAAAAGGGTCTCACGGTTTACCCCCAGCCTAGTTGCGATTGTTCACCCGTTGGATGCAAAGGGCTAATTCTGTACGGGGACAATGATTTCATGCCACCAGGCTTTGTTTCAGGAGCCAGTGGCATTTGTTTGCTGCTGCATTAGGGTAGATTCCAAAAGCTCGGCTTGGTACCTCTCGACAAAAAGCTGGTGTATGTACAACATTCATGCACCTATATGTATGTATGTGTACATACATATAATCATTTCTTGATCTTGCCCGGAGAAAGGTTCCACTGTTCATGCTGTGTCTTCCTCTACTAGCAACAGATGGAAGCTGTACTGTATTGCAAACAGCGAAATGCCAATATAAAGGTTGGAATGAACCAGGTGCGGGCCTATAACTATGAAGTTGTTCAACAGACTATCCCACCATGCAGTTTCTCCTTGCCTTTATGCTCCTTGCAGTTTTTGCAGGCTTGCCACTTACTTTCTCCATTACTTCTGAAAAGCCTGGCTTAAGAAAGATCACTCAACGGGATGAAGACACTATATCGGGTGCGGGCAATCAACAATATTCTCATAACTTGCGCACACTTCCCCTTCCGAAACACATGACCAAGACTATGACAAGCAACAAAAACGGAAACTCCGATATCATCGCTAATATCGTGATTGACAATCGAACACCGCGGATCTGGGCCAGGAAAGGGCGTAGCCTTCCGAATATAAAACCGGACGATCATACCCAGCACGCTCCTACGGCCGGTGCGCGGACCGAAACCATCACGCGAACCCTGTACAATAACCCAACCCCAACGCCCAAAGCGAAGGTTGTTGCACGCCAAGGTGAAAATACCGGTGAAACGAAAAAGGGAGTCGACAGCACTAACACTGGAGAGGGTAAAAAACGCGTTAAGAATTCGGGTCGGAACTGGTTAGACTAGGCGTAAGGAAGGGAAAATATTCAATTGATGGTTAATAGGCGAGCGGGTATCCGAGAACGTCCTACGCCGATGAGATCTGGCCATTATTTTAATCTGTTTAATTTCTAGTTAACCCGACCACCAGTCTCGATAGACTTTTGATGTAGCTATCGGACACAGTCTTGTTTCGGATTTACTTTGCCCTGGTGTGATAGACCTCGAGAAATGGAAATGCTCTACAGGAAGGTTGGGAGATACGAGGTGCTCCATGGTAGAATCTTTTGAATTTTTATACCATGTTGATACCACATATAGGTGTGTATGTAACAGATTCAAGAGCAAAGTTTAAAAGATATCATTTCCGTACGCAAAACCCCAACTTCCACGTTGAAAACCCATCATGCACAGACCAGCTTAGTTCTCATTAAGAATTTTGTGGAAAGTCTCACCAGCACGCTCTGGCTTGCCAGATTCGACACCAGCTTGACCCAGATTCTGCTTGGAGAAGGCGGCAGCATAGGGATTGAGTCGGAGCATAACCTGCTTGTTCTTGAGGGGGTTCTTCTTTTGGACGCCGGTTCTCTTGGTCTTGGCGTCGCCGCGGGGTGCTCTGAGGACGGACTGGACTTCGGAGGAGTTGATGAGGCGGGTGATATCGGCATTGGAAACGATGTTGGATGGGAGGAGGTAGTCTTTCTTGAGGGCGGATGGAGCGGTGGTGGTGCCATAAAGCTGGTCCAAAGCGCTGAAAGCAGAGGAGGTCCAGACAATGAAGCGACCGAGGTGGCCACCAGGAGCGAGTTGGAGGAGGTTCAAGGCGAACACGGAGCAAGTCTCGACACCGGGGATGTTGCGGAAAGCCTTGACAAGCTCCTTGCCGTCGACTTCGGGGTTGTAGACAACGAGAGGTCCACGGCGCTGGCGGTATCTGCGGCCGCGCATCTTACCCTTACCAGCACGAATCTTGCGGGACTTTTGGACCTTGACGAGTTCTGCGCCAGCACCGAGGGCCTGGAGAAGAGCAATGGCAGCCTTGGTCTTCGCAATAGCGCCATTCTCGAAGGTCTTGGAGTCAACAACGAGTGGGACCTCTGGAATGTTGGCAACGCGGTGACCACGAGCGAAGAGGAGGGATGGCACGGAAGAAGCAGCTAAGGCGGAAGCAGTAGCGAAACGCCTAATATATAAGTTAGCACCACAAAAATCTCACCTGTACCAATTGCTTCAGGTATGCTCACTTCTGTCCGACATTGATCTTCTGATGCCACTTACGCCACACCTTGGTGGGAGCGAACATACGACCGGAACGACATTGGTTACCGAAAGCGGCCTGGCCAGCACGGTGCGTACCACCACCAGAGACACGAGGAATACGGGCAACAGCACGGCCTGAAGAGACGAGTCAATTTGGCGTTCCAATCCCTCCTGTAAAACAAAACCTCGTAGATATATCCCACATACCAGTACCCCAAGACTCGGCGGAAGTCTGTTCACCGGCCTTCTCGCTCACAGCATATGGTTGTCTCCTGTTCTTCGCAATACCAGTGTGCACCGACCTATCCCATAAATTCGTCAGCCAAAATGTGTTCTCCTCGCTCTTTTCGTTGAGCATTCAAGGTGTTCCATACTGGACAATATCGGGACGGATTGGGGCGGTGAAAACGGTAGGGAGAGGGTGAGTCGCGCCGCTGGGCTTGCCATCGGCCGTGGCGATGGTGACGGTCGGTCGGGAAGCCATTGTTGTCGACAGGGTGGCTGGTCGTGGTCGACGTCGATGTTGAGCAAAAGGATCACGATCAGCTTCTTTCAATGTGGGTTTTCTCGCTTCGTTTGGCGATGCGGCTCGGGGTCACGGGATAGAGAAGCCCTATCTTTGTGGCTGCCCGAAATGGATGGGGGGTTTCACGTGATATCAAAAGCCCTAAGTGCCAAGACCCCCTTGGAGAACATCGTTTGTTCTCCCTATCACGATGGACTCGTCGTCGGCAACGGGCTGGGAGGATTCAGCGCTTTCTTTATCAAGGGACTTCCGTAAAAATGGTGACTTTCTTCGGGAACTCCCAAAGGGCATTTCTATGCAAGGAGAACTTGTTTTCAGTAGTTCAATATTGCCTATTCGCTATTTCCTGGCCAAAGGATGCTTGGCTACAGAAGACTGCTTGACTTGGGCTTATTATGAATGATGCCTGAGTGATGAGTTGATATATGTATCCATGTTTTATGCTAACCCATGCTGCTAAATCACAAATGCAAAATGAAGTCAAATGTTAAGTACTTTCACCCGGATAAAGCACCGAAGATGAACAAGAGTTGTGGGTTATCAGAAGTATGTCCTGTGGAAGAACGAATCAAAGAGTGCTGTGGATCATGACCAGCAAATAGAAGCGCAAGTCTGACAAGGAAAAAATGCAAATGCCTTCATGAAAATAATCAAGAGATGCAAAAAGAGGCAAGGGTGAAAAAAGAGTGAAAAACAAAATGATTGGAAAAGAGAGTCCCTTATTTATCCCTTCCCGTAGAGAACGACCACATCATCTACCCCTTGGTAGCATTCGGGTGATCGAAATCAAAAGTCGATCGCGGTCGACATTTAGATCTTGTGAGGCCCCGCATGGGCGTGACGACGGTGCAAGTGCACGGTTCTCTTGACGGTATCCAGCTTCAACTCGTTGGAAATCCCTCCGGTGCATTTGGTGCCCTCTGCCACGGCGACAGATGGTGACCATTGCCCACTGGCGCAGCGCTGGAAGGAAGTTCCGTTGATGCAGTTCCACGCACCCTCTTCAGTGCAGGGACCGGTCTTTCCGGCGCCGCCGTCACCACCGGTAGGTGGGCTGGATGGGGTTGGGGGTGCAGCAGGCGGGTTTGCAGGAGGATCTGCTGGAGGATTTGCTGGGGCTGGAGGGTCTGCGGGAGCAGGAGCACTGGTGGGAGCAGACGTAGGAACAGCGGCGGATGGCAAGAAGATACCAGGAGCGTTGGTAGGTTTGGATGCGTCTGGAGGAGCTTGTTCGCCTCCGTCCTTTCCGTTGCCTCCACTGCCACCTTTGTCACCATCACTTGGGCTAGGAGAGCTACCGCCATCTGCAGGTGCCATTGGGCCGTTGCTTCCATCCTTCATCATGCAAATTGGCTTGCCAACTGCCAACAGGTTTTGGGGCGAGCCAGGACGTTCGACAGATTCACCGGCGTTGGGGAATCTGATATCGACACCTTCACTAGTGATACAGTCGTTGATGTTGGCGACAAACATGTCTGGGAGGTCGGCACGCTTAGCAAGGGGGATGAGGCTTCTTGGCTCCTGAATTGGTGTGGGAGCATATCGTTTCTTGGACGCGGTAACCTTGATGGGAGCGCAGTTCATATAAAATTCACGGTTGCCGATGCGGTTGATCCAGGTCCAAGCAAGAGTATATTCGCCTGGAGCAATGCTGGGGGGAACTTTGAACTTGAACTGCGAAGCTCCACTGCCATTGGGATCCTCGGGCAGGTTTCCATCAACATTTGCAGGGCAGCCACCTTCGATTGAGTGAATGACCTTCCAGACTGACTCCTTGGTGGGTTTCATGTCGGTTGTGAGAGAGACCTGGCATGAACCACCGCCGTGCACGGCACTTCCTCTAAAGCTGAGAGTCTGCTCTTCACCGATGGCGAAGATGTTTTCCTGTGCTGGTGGGTCGTAGACTCCCGGTCTCTGCTTGCATGGGAAGTCTGCCAAGTTGTTCATGAGCGGCGAGTTGTTCAGACTGTTCGGCCCATAGGGATAAGGAGTTCTCATGTCCATGTGGGCGTTGGCTGGAGCAGCGAGGAGGGCTGCTGCTGCAGCGATCAAAGAAGTTGAGAAATACATGGTGATTGAAAGTTGCTTTTTTGGGGTATCGGGTTTCAAGCGAGTAATGTAAAAGGTGAAATCGAAAAGCGAAGAGCCCTCAATTTATATCTTTGTTCTCGGGTCGTTCCGGACGAGGAGAGAAACAAAAGACAAAATATGTACAGCGAGTCGGCTGCTCAGATGGCGTAGGAACTGTTACGCTTATGTCAAGCCGTGAGGGGCCTTATAGTGAGAGTTAGCCCTAATTGTATTCATAAGAATGGAAGATGCCGCATGAATGGCAGAGTAGAGCAGAATGTATTGAAAAGTTCCCGCCAGTGACGGCCAATCGCATCAACACAACCCAAATTGAACGACGCACACGTAGGGAGAGCAATACATACTTTGACTGTTCCTTGGGCAGCAGAGGGAATGATACGAGCAGGGTTCCGGGTTTCCCAGTTGAACACACAGGATATGTGCAAAGGAATGGAAAGACTCGAGCAAGAATACCACAGGCAATGCGAGTCGAGGCCGACAGAAAGGAGTGTCACGAGAAACAACCCAGGAACTAGCCTGAGAGAACTGAGAGGAGGGAGAGGGCCGAGCAAACAAAACGATTCTCAACGAGCCAGCGTGCGTGAAGAAGAAAGAAACAAAACCTCAGCCATCGGGGAGGTGAATGAAGGCTTAATATAAGAATGAGGGAGTCTGGTGGACATGGCCGGCGCGAAGTTTCCAGGAGTGAAGCCGACGATGATCGAATGGCAGACTGTCACGCTGCAGCAAGCCGACCAGGGCGCCCATTCGTCCAGATTGGTTCCTGAAGGCGCTGCCAAATCGAAAGGTTCATCAAGTGAAACTGGGCATCTCTCCACATCGCGCTCGCGATGGCCTGGACACGACGATTCGAAACGGACTAAACAGAGCAGACCCCATCCCGACCCCTTGAAGAAGATTCCTGTCGAGCTGAGAAGAGTGTGTGCAGTGTCCATTCAGAGGCCAGAATCGTCGCTGGCATCGCTCATTCGACACGCCGGCCGGGGTGCCCCTGTCACCCTCAAAAGACAATCGGTGCTATTCATGTCCTGGCCCTGGGATGATGACTCCGGGGCGGTTAGAATCCTCGTCTCGATTCTTCACGGTTTCCCCATGGGAAAGGGTTGAATAATTCGATTAAAATCTGACTTGCGTTGTCGGCTGCTCAGCCTCGTAGCAAAAGGGCCCTTTACAACGGGCCTCGCAGTGTTGCAAAGAGCTGAGAGTTTTGCCATCACCACTTTAGCTTCATCTTCCTTCAGCGCCCCAGGGAGGAGACTGACTGTTTTGCACTCTGATAGGCCCGGCCTGCATCCAGCGAACGAACGGCGGTAACACGGCTCGCCATCCCCATCAACGCTCGCCCAGTCTCTGTCTCTCTGCCCGAAGGTTTCCAAACACTGCAGGCCAGGTGGAGTCGTGGAGCGGGCTTCCACGAGGGCTGGAGGGGGACTGTGCCTTTGGATTCGACCAGAGGCTTCATCGGCGCTTTTTCGTTCTCAGGGACCAGGCACAATCCCATGCCCATTGGACACGCCACGGCGCCAAGGGCAGACTGGACAGCGTTCATGAAACATCCGGCAAAAGCGAGGCCACACACTCTTTCGCCACAAATCTTCCGTTGACAAGGGCACAAGACAGTCGGGATGCGACAATCTTTTGCCCCGCCCAAAGAGATGGAGTTGTTCAGTCACAAGTTCCTCTGGTTGAGTTTTCTTCCCCTGGCGATTGCAAAACCCAGCGTCATCCAAGTGCTGACCATCAACTCCGCGCCGCAAGGGATTGAATGTGCAACTCTCGCAGCCCACTACTACCTGCAAAATCCAACCCGACATTCCAGACAAGATCCGGGTGACGTTGAGGGTTGACTCGGGATCCCAATCCCTGGAACTCGCAGCATGGCGGGCCGCGAGCCCACAGCCAGTTCCACTGCGACCAAGGCCACTATCTGCAGCGGAGACGTTTTCCATTGCAGTTTACGCATTACGGGATAGATAGATCCAGCAAAGAAACCCGACAACCTCGAGTCTCGCTGTTGAGTACTGCCCCCGAAACCCTGCAGCCGATCCGCTGATCCGTTTGGGGATTCACAATCATGCTCCCGAGGACTGACCGAACTCTTCCTTCGAATTGCTTACATTCGTCAGGCACCGAGGGATCTGCCGCATTGGCCATGTGCCAGCAGCATGTACTTGGTCACGGCGCGTAGAACAATGTCAAATGCTTCTGGGGTTATGCCCCACGGTTAAGAATATCAAGCAATCACAATATCAGTGTAAGCGCTCATGTATCAACCGGCAGGCCGCATTAACTATCTCCGCCAAGGGACGGCTGCCATGAGGTCCACGCATCTGATTGCTTTTTCTTCATCAATTTCGCTTCGTACTCTCCACATCATATCACCTTGAGGGATGGCACTTTGAATTGTTTCATGAATGCCCCGAGAGCACTCTCACTTCATAGGCTAAAAACGTTTTATCTTGCGTCACAAAATGCATGCTGGCCCCCTTGGTGAAGCTGGTTCAGGCTAATTGGCCTGAGTTGAAGAAACATCGCCTTTACGAGTCAACATTGCAACCTGATTCTATTTTTCGAGAGCATTTATGGGAACACTGAGTTTGCTCCAAGGTAGATTTAGTAACGAACACCCAAGGGGAATATGTTTGAATCTCAGGAGATTCACGGTAATGAATCAAATTTCATACCAAATTTAAGGACAATTTGATACTATGTATTCGTCCAGGCCAAACCAGTTGGATCATCATTATCAGTTGTTGATTGAAACCCTAGAAATGTCAAGGGGCCGAATATACACCTTCTCCTGACTGTTTTTGGATCAGTCACAATCACAAGTTGATATCTATCAGAGCCGGGCTACAACCCAATCATAACCCTACTGCCGTTGATGAAACCGTTCCGCTGAGATTCTTGAGCCGTTCCTTGTCCATCCAATCGAAGACCTCAAGCCTTCTATTCTGATACTGCCTTTGTTCCTGGACACAATAGGAACTCTCCTCCCAGAGGTTTGCATTGTTGCGCATAGAACTTTCCAGTCGACGGGGGCTGAAACAGCCGGAAACGGTGGAGTGTGCCTGATGAACACGCATCAATGAGTGACTGGTCGGAAACGTTGCTTTCCATCATTTGCTTCCAAATCGATACAAATCCCTCTCCTCCACTCAACTTATCAACAGGGTTGGGAGCTGATGCACCCCCTAGACGGACGATCGCATGGGTACGTATGGATCCCAGCGGTGTTTTTCTATTTTCTGATCACAGAGCTATCAAAGAGATTTTCTCCTGTGTTTCTCAGCCTCGAGCATAGATCTATAACGCATGGGTATCCGCTTTGAAATCAAATCTGCGTGCGCAGTCTCGCTATGATCGAAGTCGTGATAGGCATTCTTGAAAGCCGAAAGAATCCAACTGGCTTCCTGGCATTCTGGGAATCAGCTGGGATTCACGTTTGAGGTTGCTCAGAAATCGTACCAATTGGTCGTTTTTTCCAGATGACAATAACACCGGGTTGAGTCGCTTTTTCATAGAAAGGGATGACCTCCATCTAGAGGGATAGGAAGCCCTCTAAGCAAAGCTCATCGCTTTCCCT